CAAACTTTCTTCTTTCTCTTGCAGTCATCCATCCACGTCTCTCCACCTGAGCCACCACCCTGGGTTCTGTCTCTCTTTTCATGTAAGATTCTTCGTATCAGTATCAGCTAGATCCCCTTTTTCTTCAGCAGTCACCAGGTTCACCACCCATATGGTATTAAATCCATCACCCGACTGTCATCATCCAACAGCACATGAGGCGTCGGCTCAATGCTATCGCATCTGCTCCTCGTCGGCTTTCCAGTCTACACATACACGTATGTATGTCTGTCCGGCCCATCCGGTGAACCCGGAACGCATGATAATGATACAGTCTTCATTACGTGAGAGTATCTCACAGAAACCTATATAGAGTTGCCGGTTGCCGAAATGTAAACGTACCGGCTGGCTTTCGGTGATTGGTGGAAGAGAAAGGGGCTAGTGAAATACTGCCTTGACTGCTGTGCCGGCCTCTCTCCGACAGAGTCTGCCCCCTCGTTATGATACCACCGGTAGGTTCTGATAGTCCATGGAGTTAGTCTATTATGGTGACGAGACCTCTTTCAAATTCCGGCAGGCGTCGGGCTCGGGCGCTCGGGCGGACTATGCAGCAAGCCCCACAGAAATCTGACAGGCCTTGCGCGCTGGCAGATTGGCAGCACCCGGTCCGGAAGTCTCAGTGACATAACCTTGGAAAGACTTGCCACGGCACCAACCTTATACGCTGCAAAATCCGAGCGAAAGGGTGGAGGCCGTGGAGGCGCACCGGATGGTGGAGGGCACCTTCTTCCTTCTGCTCCACTTTGCTCCAGCGTGCACCCTGGGCGCTTATAGAGTAGCTAGTCTGACATGGAAATTTGAAAATCACCACTCAGACAAGCATGTGCAGCGCCTCGTACCATTACTGAAGAGAGGGCAAGCAGATCTATCAAGACGACAAGTACGGGAAGAGCTATAGTTGCTCCCCGGGATGGCGGGGCTGGCGGGCTACCCTTGACGCTGAGCTTGATGAGCTGCCAGGGAACGATGCGTCTCCCAGACCGAGGGCTTCTTTTCAAGATCCCAAGTCTAGCTTTTCATCATAAATCATGTCTACAGGGTCACTAAGGGTTGGAATCCTTCTGGGCTCCGCACAGCCGCACACGTACGCATGTCAAGGAGTATCTTTCAACCTCTGACACATGTGACTTCAACTTTGCTTGTACACTTTGCGCAGCCACTGCAGTCTGATAGAACCTTGCAGGGGCCAGGGGACCCAGGGGGCAGAGGAGAGGGATCTCGAATGTGGCCTAGCTGATAAGGTCTTAGGTCTTAAGGCGGTGAGTACGGGTGAGGTCGATCCGACGGCAGCATCCCTAGACTGTAGGAAGGACACCATGACAATGCATACCCCGTCCCCGGATATCGCTACATCTATCAGAAAAAAGACACCATCTACTTGTGTTCGTGCAATTGTATTTAGAACTGTGCCCCTCGTCAGCAAAGCTGTCACCTAGGGGTAAAGCGGAAGAGTCACTTACCTTGGACAAATCTCGACCAAAGATACCTCGCTTGACCCAGTCGAGCATCAACAACAACCTCGTCCTCATCGATGTCTGTTCCGACCAGTAAATACTGAGCACTATGTTAGCTCGAACCCATCATACGATGCGAGGAAAAAGCGTACGATCGCCAGGCGTACATCGCCAACAATCCACCAGCCACAGACCATCCCTCGTAGTCAAACACCGCCGAGTTTCCGATATACGCCAAAGACCCGAGATGCATGTACTCGAAGGGCTTGTAGTAAGCTTCGTCGTCGAGGTCCATGATACCGTTCTTGGCGAGGGTTTCACGCTGCTTTGCGAGCTTGCCGAATTTAGCACCGAGGTACTTGCCTTGCTGACTTGCGACTTGGGCGGTCTGGGGAATCCGTCAGCTAAAGCAAGGCTGTGCAAGTAGGAGGAAAACATACAGCAGGGTAACTGGTGACCTTCTTACTCAAGTGGGCGAAAAGCTCGGCAATTTCGTTCAAGGTGAGTTTCTCATCCTTGTCTCGGTCGTACTCGGTAAAGACATCTCGCCTGTTCAAGCTCGTCAGTATGGGTCTCAATCGAGGAGGATGCCACTTGCATCTTGGAAAGAGACCTGTGAGCCAAGGGGTGCTTCTTCTTGATGTACTTGACCATTTGCTGCCACTCATCATAGTCGCTAGCACAGCCGTCAGCTATATCACAACAAGAGAGAGCCGAGGAACTCACATGCTACCATCCTTGTTGATATCAAACTTGTCCCAAAGGTGGTACAAGTCATTCATCAAATTGGTCTGGACGGTGGCCGAGTCTCCAAGGGCGTAGACGGTTCCCATGGGCGCGCCTTGGACTCGGAGATAACCGTCGACCTCGACGGCCTTGGAGTGATACTGGTTTGGGAGGACTTCGACGAGACGTTGAGTGAAAGGCTGCATCGCTAAGGCGTTTATCAGTTCGGGGTCTGAAAGAAAGGGGAAGGAGGCACGAACCGATACCGGTACTCCAGAGCACGAAACCGGCTTCGATATCTCTTGTTTCAGGCTTGGCGTCCTTGTTCTTGGGATCCTTGACAGTGATTGTGACCTGGTCTGGAGTGACCTCCTGAACACTGCAAGTGGCGTCAGCGTGTGTTTGCTTGACTTTGTAAACGACTTACCGAGCGTTGGTGATGACAGTAACATCGTTACGGGCAAATCGAGACTCGGCGTACTGGGAGATCTTCTCAGAGTAGGTGTTGAGAATGTGGTCTCGGCTCTGGATTACGGTGACGTTGACTTCGTTGGACAGGATCTTAGGGTACTTTTGCGGAAAAGTCAGCTTTGCACTAGGCCGACAAGAGGAAAGATACGCACGTATTTCAAGACATCCTCAGCCATCATGTCGGCAAGCTCGGCAGCAAACTCAACACCGGTGGGACCACCACCACAGACGACAAAAGACAAGAGCTTCTTTCGCTCAGCCTGGGTAGTAGTAGGCAAAGAGGCGAGCTCGAGGTTGCCTATACACAAGTCAGCCGGGTTCGGAAAGTCAAAGGTGGTACGTACCCATGACCTTTCGTCGAATAGCCTGGGCGTCAGGAACAGTCTTGAGCTGGTAGCAGTGCTCGAGACCCTTGACACCGTGGTTGTTTGTGGTGGAACCGATAGCAATGACCAACTTGTCGTCTACAGCAGATTAGCATGTGATCGAAATTCGCCACTGGTCACTTACAAGGAATGTAACATCGACTGGGAGGCTTTCCCTCGTCTCCACGGACCTCAACCTCCACGAGCCTTTCAGCCATGTCGAGATCGACAGCCGACCCCATCAAGTAGTGACCTCGGACTCGGGCGATGAGCTTTCGAAGAGGCTCCACCAAGGATCGGGGCTCGACAGTGCCGACACAAGCAGAAGGCAGAAGAGGAGTGAAAGAAAAGTAGGTTTGAGGAGAGATGAGGGTGACATTGTAGGCGTGAGCAGGGAGTGATTGGATGAGGGCCACAGCCTGATGGCACGCGTCAATTTACGAATCTACGTGACAGAAAAAGTACTCACGCCCCAACCACCACCGACAATGACCAATCTAGGCTTGTCCCTCATTGCTCGCTTCGTGTCATCCTCTTCGCTGTCCAAGTTCGCTTCGATGATAGGCAAGTTCTTCTTGCCGCCACGTCGAGGCGTGAGGGCAAGAGGGTTGCAAGGTACTCGATCGACGTGTCGCTCAGAATAGGTGAAAGCATCGTGACAAAGAATCACACCGGTAAGGACGACCAGTCCAAGAACGGAGGACAGGACCAGTCGGACGAGGATTGAAAAGTAGGGATACTTGGCGACGAAGGACTCGGGAGGGAAAGATGGGATGTGGAGACTTCGAAGAACGAGGCCCCTCTGGGCGTTTCGGAACGTCGGACGGTGTTGCGAGTGGAAGAAACGGGGCTTCGCCTGTTGGACGACGAGAGATCGGACTGGGATTGATTTTGGCTGAAAAGATCTAAAAGATGCTTGCGTGGGCATCGGCCGAAGGACTGAGAGGCGCTGGGAGAGGAGGCCCGCTGGTGGGCGAGCGCGAAGCATGATGTAGAACTACCTCTCGACGAGGGGGGAGGGGGGAGGACCAGGCGGGGGAGCCGGAGGGAAATGGAAGTTGGACGAATGAAAAGCAACGGTGAAATAGATTACGACCCGAATGGCGCAGAGACCACGACGCTGAGGTTCTGCACGAGGAACGTCATCCGAGGTCACGTGGTCTGTATATCAACAGCAACAAACAAAGGCTGCTTTTTCGTATGCATCGGGCGAGACGGAGGGCGAGCGGTGTGCCAAAGGAAGCGGGTGTAGTTGGTACATGGCCAGTACAGATTGCAGGATTGACTGGCGCAGATTGACTGACCGAGGTACTTTAAGATATGTGTTCTATTTTTTATTTTTTAGTACATGCGCCGTTTTCGATGAAACAATCTTTGTGGCAGCAGCGCGTTGTGTCGGGTGACGGAGTTCGTACCACAATATTGGGTGCTATCAGGCACAGTACATACAGGAATCACTGATAGTCTGCTTGAGCTTACTGTTCGACATGAACACCATGGTCAGGTATCCACCTCCTCGAGTCTGTTGGCCGCCGGTTTGTCATGACCCACTCTTTGCCCGACCTTCTTAAGCGCCCGAAGGACCTCGATGAGGATGGACGTACGCATGGACATGAGATTACTCATGTACCACTGATTGTTCCAGAGGTAGCCTGGGCAGCGGGGGTCAATTCATCCAAATGCCGAGTCGTTCAGATACTTCGCGGTTTGGTGCGCGGCGTGTATACGTCAGCCTCTTGTTCACGCTCGCCGCTTTTGCCGTTCATCGCACTACCTCTCGTACTCCCATAGCCTTATCGCTCCACATTATTCAGCTTTTTGGTGCGAGAAGTCTGAGCACAGACATGAGCCTCGAAGCTCGAGCGTTGATAACTTTGGATACATTGTTTGTTGTTGGTTAGATCTACAGTTGACTTCTTTCTTCTACTTCATGAGACAATCTCCATCACCCGTAGCTGTTCCCCTTCATACCAGTGTTGGGGTCACCAGCGGCGCGCTTCTGTTCCGCGGCCTCCTTCTTCTTGGCCTCCTGGTCATCGGCACCGGCATCCTTCTTGTCACCAGCGTCCTTCTTGGGCTCTTCCTTCTTCTCACCCTCGTCCTTCTTGGGCTCCTTTACGTCATTTCCCTTCTGGTCGCTCTTCTTGGCCTGCTCCGCATCCTTCTTCTTCTGCTCCTCTTCCTTCTTCTTGGCAGCTTCTTCCTCTTCCCTCTTCTCCTCCTCTGCCTCCTTCCTCTGCTCCTCTTCCTTCGCCGGGTTCCTCAGACGAAGGAAACTCTCCTTATCCTCCTCCACAAACACATCCCCCTTCACCTTTCCCTCAAGTTTCGCCGACTCGGTATTGTACCTCTCCTTCAATCTATCAAACCTCTCAAGCGGCGACACCCGCTCAGTGGTGTGGTAGAACCGCTTCGTGTCGGGGTCCACATCAGACCCTGCCCCGGCGCCGTAAAAGCTCGTACCAGAAAGGGTAGCAATGATGGAAAAGCCCACAGCGAGGGAGAGGTAGAACCGATAAGTCGAGTACCAGGGCGGTGTCCATCCGGCCGTCGCGGCCCGCTGGTCGAGGAACCAAGCACCGGTGAAACCACACCACTGCGCGGCGAGGGCGACACCATGCGTCAAGAAGGTCGTCGGCCAGGCAAAGAGCACGGGGGCGATACCGAGGGCAAGACGCTTGTATCCCTTTTCACCGCCGTACTTGGAGAATTCGAAGCCCCAGTGGATGGCACCGAGGAAGGAGAGAAGGGTGGCGCCATAGGTGATTTGGGCGTGTTCGAGGACGTGGAGGTTGGAGAGGATGGCGTGGAGGTCGTCGGGGTTGATGGTCTCGGCTGGACAGATATGTTAGATACTGACGCTTAGGCAAGGGAGAGGGCTTACCTGCACTGGCGATCGAGGCTTGTCGAGCGAGGACGATCGTACCCAGAGAAGTCACGAGGTATGGAATCGACCCGGCCATACCTATACACCCATTAGCAACTACCCCATCATGGATAGAATGCACTTGCCTAGCACCATAGCGGATTTGGGGACTTCCTTCGCCAGGCCTTGCGTAGCGCCCACAAAGTCGTCATGGAGCGACCCGGCTACTCGAGGGTTTGACTGTTCTCGTGCACCAGCAGCGGCAGCTTCAACACTGTTACCAGCAATGACCTGCGCAAATCCGCCTGCCAAGTTTTTGGCCTTCGTAGCCATGTCAGCAGGACCAGGCAGAGTGGAGTGTAAGAACGCACCTCGGATGCGGCACTCGGAGTCTTGGCCTGGGCTTCTCTGTACTCTGTGTCTTTACCGTCTTTTGGCGGCTCGGTAGCATAGCCCCTCATGGAGCGTTGCAAAGAAGACGAGAAGCCGAGACGGGCAGCAGCATGCTTTGCGAGGGGAGAGACGGGGGAGGTATAGGGCCTGGCGAGGTTTATAGGGAGGCCGGCGTGGATAGGGCGGGCGGGGAATGCGTAGGCTGCGTGAGGTTTGAGGAGGCGGAGTGAGCGATTCATGGTGGTATGGGAGGGAGAGAAGAAGGGGGATTGCGAGTATATTATATATATATATAGCTGGAGCGATGATGTATGGAACGTAACGGGACACTACGTCATACCTCCACCTCCATTCATCGCTCCCAATTCAGCAGACTAATGCATGCACACGCAGCCTGCCTACTCCTATGCATGTCACGATCGCTTGGCGCTATCTCGTTTCGCCAGGAAAGAGTCGCTGCATGCCCGTCAGCACAGCACCCGAAGAGGATGGAGAATGTGAGGCCATGACTGACCGCGCTTCAGTCGAAATCCTCTGCGCCTCGAGGGCTTCTTCAATCGACCGTTGGCATTCTAGCAGCGAGTTCTGTGTTCGGCTCTAGACAATCATCAGTGACATCCCTATAACAGTCTATTGCACTTGCCAAAGTCGCAAGCTCAAAATCCAAAGCTACAGCAATAGTCTTCTGCCACCTACACCTCATCAGCTCGTTCAACCCAACACGCAACCCCAGGACAACTCACCCTTGATGCCGATCACACTTTCTCCGCGGAAGCATGCACACTTGCCAGTCTTCTGCCCCCTCTACAACTATTCCTGCCCCATGCCCCTTGACACCCTGGTCGACCTCTTCGTCTTCTGCTATCAAGACGACTACCCAGCCACATGGCTTATCCTCTTTCGGCGGTGCTGGACCGCCCCCCTTCTTCTTGCTCTTCTTTGGTGGTGCTCCATCATCAACGACGATAGGAGTGAGGCTGTCGCACTTTTCGATCGCAGCGCTCAACACGGCTTGACGTTTCTGGATAATGTTGATAGCCTTCAACGTGGATTCGAGTTGGCTTTGGATCATCGAGAGCTGGAATTGTACATCGTCGTATGGAGATTGAGAGACATCAGGTGTCGTAGGGGGGATGTGTTGGATGATGGATACGCCGAGGTTTGGCGGTGGAAAGTTGGCGAGGCCTTTGGCGAGTTGCTTGAGGGATTGTTTGCTGGTGACAGCGCCGAGAGTGGCTTGAGAGTAGCGATATGCGCAACGAGCTGAGCAGAATCTGTTTACCTGTCAGAAACATCCATTCGCGTTAAGAAGGACTCACTTGGAATTCGATCCAGCGACCGACTTGTAGCACCCATCGCGCTTACAGGCCTGCTTGTACATCGTCCGTTGAGCAGTACCTCCAGCCCTGTCAGCAAAACCCCCCTTACAACAGAAATTACTCACTTCTTTCACAGCTCTTGCAAATATACACATCCAAAAGGTCCACCTTGTCCTCATCCAAACCCACACATTCCGCATGATACCACCCATCACAACTCTCGCACCCAACCATGAGACCTTCGTCCTCTTCCTCGTCGTATGGTCTTCGGCAGATGCAGTACACTGCGCCTCCGTCGACGGGGGCGCCGGAAGGGGAGGTATATTGGGTGGGGATTGTGGGGGCGGGAGGTGTAGCGGAACGAGAGCCCTGGGTTGGGATGGTTAGATAGAATCGTGGAAAGATGTAGCGCGGATACGTACTGAGTTTCCATCTCGTGTTCCCTTCAGCTCATCCACCTACATACATCAGCTGAACCTCCTCTTTAACCAGCTAAATACTTACCTTGGTTTTACCCTTGCCCTTTTTTGAAGACGGCGCGCTACTCGTCGCACTCTTCAGCCCATTCGTAAGGCTCTTTTTGTTTGCACCCGAGTGCGAACTACCATTCGACTGACTCCTCGCAAGGTCTACCGCTTCCATCTTTGAGGGAGAGCTAGCAGCTGTAGATGGCCCTGGTGCAAAGTCGGCGTGTCTGCTGTTGAACAGCTCTTCGAAGGCGTCGTGCATCTCGACGTCATTGTCGGCTCCTCCTGATGCCGCAGGGTGTAATTGAGGAGCATTCTCAGCCCCAGCAGGCTTTCTATCTTCCTCTCCAGCAATGGGCGTCCCGGGGGCTACATCAACGTTACCGCCGGCAACATTCGCAGGGTCGATATCGAGCGTTTGCGAAGGCTCGGGTTCAGATTCGGGATGGGTAAGCGGTGTCGGCGCTTTCTCAGACAGGCGGGAGAAAGGGCCAGGAGGACGCCCAGCTGAAGGAGACGACTGTGGTGGGGGGTCGCCCATTGTGCCGTGATTTCTGTTGACGAGGACAAAAGACTATGTCAACATTTTGCTGGTGGTGGTCTTCTTCGAAGCGATTCGCGTGTGTATGGGCTTACGTAAACAGATTCCTGGCCGTCGGTGACCACAATAGATGACGATTGTCCATTTCGGCTCTATCTTTTACACGTTCAACTCTATCCCCCATGTCCTGCTTCTTTCCCGGCCCTCGAGGGCAGATCCAGCTCCCCCCAGACGAGGAGATCAACGAGAAACAGCCCATCGCCGCTGACGACCATGATGACCTCCTCGCGCCACCGCCACCGGCTTGCGCGTCCTTTGTCAATATGGACAAGCTCTTTACTACTCTTGAGAGTGAGGATGAACTCAAGCAGAGGTTGAAGGTAGTCAGGGAGAAGGTTGGGGATGCGAAAGTGGATTGGTAGTGAGTCCAAGCTCAGACGGCGCTACTGCCAGAATGCGTGTTAAGCTGACAGGTTGTGCTTAGTGTTGTGCCGAGCGAAGATGAACACCAAGTAAGACAAATATCAGCTATGATAGCATCAATAAGGAGACCGTCTGACATTCCCCCAGTCTGAAGAAGTAGGCGACACGGAGAAACGCCGCCAATACATATCTGGATTCACCGGATCAGCTGGTACAGCCATCATCCCTTCATCGTCCGACCACGAAGCCCTCTTGTTTGTCGACTCGCGGTACTGGATACAGGCAGAACAGCAAGTGGTGGAGGGATGGAAAGTTGTCAGGGTCGGGTCGAAGGGCGGTAGTGGGAGGGGAGATGTTGTAGGTGGTTGGGTTGAGTGGGCGGTTAATGTAAGTCGGCTTCTGTCTATCAATCTGTACAGAGGCTGAGCCATCCATAGGAAGCGGAGGAAGAATCGCGAATTGGTATCGACCCAAAGTTGATCTCACTCAGTAAGGCTCTCAAACTCGACAAGTTAGGCCAGTGCTGACTTGCCACAGGTCTCGCCCAGACGATCCAATCTCGTCTAACATTGATCGACTCCAAAACCACTTTGGTTCCCATCTCTCAGAACCTGATCGACAAGGTATGGAACCCTCCAGCTCGATCTACCGGCCCTATCAATGCCTACCCCCTTTCCCTCTCTGGCGAAGACACGCCCAGAAAGCTAACCCGCTCTCGCGCCGCCTTGGCCAAAGCCATCTCGGGCAACAACTCGACAAGCCAAGACTGGGTCTACATCCTCCCCACACTCCCTGCTATCGCATGGCTTCTCAACTACAGATGCCCGGACGACATTCCATTCTGCCCCGTGGCATACGCCTACTTGGCTCTGACCCCCGACAAGTGTGTGATCTTTGTGGATCAGAAGAAGATCACGGATGAGCTGGGTAATAGGTGGGAAGATGAGGGGATAGAGGTACGACCGTATGGTGTGGAGCAAGTTGGGACCTTTTTGAAAGAACTCGCCTCTGCACAAGAAGAGAAATCCAAACTCCACATCCTGGCTTCTCAAGAGTGTAGCTGGGCCCTCTCCCATCTCACCCCATCCTCCGCCCCTATCCGCACCCTCTCCCCATGTCCCATCGACACCATCAAAGCTATCAAGAATTCTATTGAACAGCAAAACTTCCGTAATGCGTATCTGAGGGATGGGCATGCGATGGTGAGGTGGTTTGCGTGGCTGGAGAAGGCTTTGATGAAGGATGGGAAGAAGGTGGGTGAGTGGGCTGCGGCGATGGCGTTGGGGAGGGAGAGGAGGAGGGAAGACAACTTTGCGTACGTTCTTTTGTCGACCTTTCCTATAAGTGCTGATGGACGATTAGTGGGCTGGCATACGATGATATCTCTGCATCTGGACCCAACGCAGGTGAGTAGCTCAGCCTTCGATGATCCGCTCTAACCATTGATAGCCTCGCCTCACTATGTACCTCACAGAGGTACAGACCGCCTAATCGACCCCGAGACAACATACCTCATGTACGCTTTCTCCTGACTCATTGAAGAGATTGGATGACTAACAGCTATCCAGCGACTCTGGTGCTCAATACCTCGACGCCACAATCGACACAACCCGCACTCACTTTTTCGAATCCAACCCTTCTCCCGAGATCAAGCGTGCTTACACTAGGGTGCTGCAAGGGCATATTGCGGTCAGCCGGGCCAAGTTCCCTAGAGGGATGCCAGCGGATCGGCTGGCAATGTCGGCGAGGGAAAAGCTGTATGAAGATGGACTTGATTTCGGGCAGTGAGTTGATTCCGGAAATAGTGTTGATTCGCATGCTGATGACTTGGTAGTGGTTTAGGACATGGAGTCGGCTCATACCTTGCTGTCCATGAGAGTAAGTCATTGTTCTATCTCCCGTGGATGACCATCGCTCACTGAAACCCCAGATCCCATGTTCCCCAAGAATAGTGCTTTCGAGCCTGGCCATGTGACGACCATCGAACCGGGTTATTACAAGGAGGGCGAATTCGGTATCCGGATCGAGAGTGTCTTGCTCTGTAAACCTGTTGAAGTAGGCCTTGCCTCTTTGCTCGCTTTCCTATCAAACTGACGGGAGCATGACAGGTTGAAGAAGGCCAACCACCCTCCGACTTTCTCACATTCGAACGCATCACCCAAGTCCCCATACAAACCACCTTGATCGACTGGGCTCTCATGGCCAAGTACGAAGCGAAATGGATCAACGACCACAACAGGTCGGTGCAAGACGCTTTGGAGCCGCTCTTGCAAGCGGACGAGGATAAGGATGCGTTGGAGTGGTTGAAGAAGGAGTGTAAGGGGCACAAAATTTGGCCATGGGATGGTATCTGAGGCCTTGCGTGTTTGCATCAAGTGTTGTAGAATGTAGCAGAACTCGCGTTGAGATGACGTCGAATGATAAAGTGTCCATGCATGATCTCTAATCAATAAGCATCTAAACCAAGTCCGAGAAAACCAAGAATCTGTCTGCTATACGACGACGGAAAACTATACTATACACATCTGAGGACTGAAACAACACACGTATAGCAATGAAAAGATGAGAACAGATTCTAAATTGATACGACCTCGAAAGATGAACTGAAAGAAGACACTCTAACTTCTCGATCTCTTCATTCGATATTCCTCCTGCTCTTGCTCCAACAACGCCGCTTCCCTATCTCTCTTCTTCTTTGCCATAGCCCCACTGGGCGCTACACCGGCCAATAACAGATCGGCATCCTCGGACGTAAAGTTGACAAACATGGCATTGCCAAAGCTAAACCTTTGGTCACCACCACCGGAAGCCGAAGAAGAAGATGAGGGAGTCCTTTTCTTCGGCGATGTGACACGTCTCTTGCCGCGAGGGGTAGGTGCTGTCTTAGGAGGAGTGGGAGGCTCGACAATGGGTAATTGTTTGCGAGGAGAGGGGAGGCGCGCGATGGGTCGGCCAGCAGAACCAGGATGAGGAGGAGGGTGGACGCGGCGGGGAGTGGAAGGAGCACCGCCGGAGCCGTATTCCATGGGGGGCGGGTGGACCTGAGGAGGAGGGTGGACGGTCACGAGCGGTGCTGTTGTCAGAGCAGAGCTACCCATGGGAGGAGGATGGATCTGGGGATGCGAGGCGAAGAGTGGTCGGGGATGGATCTGTTGGGTTGTGCGGGGCAGCGTGTGCCGAGGCTCGGTCATGCTCACTCGCCTTGAGCGTTGACGAGCCCTCATACGATCCACATCATCAACATCTTCGTCGTGCGCCCGGGTAGACTTTCCGGAGAGCAGAGACGGATTGAGGGTGACAGACCTTGATGTCTGATGGGCGGCCGGGATGGGGGTTGTCTCGGCGCGCTGCATAGCTACAGGAGCAGGGAAGAGAGGCGGGACAGCACTCATCATGTTGAATGCTGGAGACTTGGGCGTGGGGGGATGAGCTGTGGGATAGCGAGAGAACTGGCCTTCCTGAGGCGCGGAGAACATGTCGCTGATGACTCTAGCGGCCCTCGGTCGAGGGGTGGGAGTGCTGGGCATCGCACGGGAGTGTTGGGAGGAGGCGGTGCGGTAGTATGTTGGGGATGGATCACAAGTGTAGAGCGGTCGATCACCGGAAGAGTGTTGCTGGGGGGCATAGGAGAAAAGGTCGCGGACGGGGGCTGTATATTTGGGTGTCTTGTACCCGGAAGAGGAGAGACTCCTGGAAGAGGATCAGCGCATTTCACAGAGCGGATGAAGACAACTCACCTCTTGGCCATAGGTTCAGACATCGGAGCACTCAGCGTCGCAACTTTTTCTCCACTCTTACCAGGCGCGGTCGATGGCCTGCTCGCATCGTCATCGGCATCACCCTTCATCACCGCCATAGGATTTATCGTAAGGGTGTTTTGCTCCGCAGGCGCAGCCACGTGAATGACCTGCTGGGGAAGCTCAAAAGCGGGGAAAAGACCAACATGAGCCGGCATGTTGGTGGAAGGACCGAAGCCCCATTGCGTCTCGCCATTATGAGGGAGAGCGGTATAGTACGTTGGGATATCACAAGAGTATGACTGATCTGTGGGAGGTTGGAAAGCAAATTCGGGAGTTTCCGAATTGTTGCTGTTCAACCCGTAGTCACCAAAGACGCTGTCAAAGTTCTCGACTAATGATCCTTCGCTTGAAGGACCCGCGGGGAACTGCTGGAACCCTTGAGGGTCAGCAGAATACTGAGAAGGGTTCAGCCACTCGTGAGACCCCTGCCCTTGCTCCTGAAGCTCGGGCATCGAGGTGACATGCTTGACATGGCGAGTGTTCCTTGAAGGACCAAGAGTGGGGTTGGAGGCGACGCGCAAAGGTTTCGACGAGGCAAGGGGTGCTTGGGATGAAGAGCTTGCTGCCACAGGCGCTGCTTCATCCCAAGAATAGCTGCCGGTGGGCGGGGATGACAAGAAAATCTCGTCGGTAGGGATGGAGAGAGGGAAGGAGGATGAGGAGAATGAGGGCATGTCGATCTTGGAGAACGTATCGTAGGAGGATTCAGGAGATCCTTGGCCTTGGAGGAAAGACGAGCTCTCGTAACCGGCGCTCTTGGGTGGTGTGTGAAAAATTCCAACGACATCGCCACTTGGAGGAGTCGCGGGATCGAACAGCCCCGGGTACGAGTCAAAGCTATCGGACGGGGCAGGCGATGAGGAGTCCGAGAGGAAACCAGCCGCCCCATCTGAAGAGTCGTACCCGTGGGGGTCAAGAGGTGGGGGGGAGAGGGCAGAGGAGAGGGAAGCGAAGGAGAGGTAGTCGGATTCGAACTTCGAGGAAGGGTCGAAGAGGCCAAACTCGGTTTCAAAGAAGTTTGCCATTATGATTGTGTGGTTGCCAGCTGGGGCTTGTGATTATTGTTGTGGGGAACAGCTGAGAGTCAGAGTCTAGCTTATGGGAGGCTGTAGGTGGAAGAGATTGGTAATAGTATGTGGGAGGGTGGAATGGTGGGGTCATGCAGAGCCAGGCAAGAAAACACAGGACATTAGCGGGAGCCCTAATTGCTGGCACAACAACACTCACCGAGAGCAAGACAATTAAGCAGCGGTGTCGATCCAGCGACGGTACGAAGACTGGCTTCTGATTATAGAGAGATGGAGCCTGGCCTGCAGACAGGAGGGAGGGCGGCGAGAGGCGGAAAGAAAGTAAGAAAGACAAACAATGATGAGCGGCGGTGATATGGGACGACGCAAACAGACTCACAGGAAGCGATAAGCGAAATTGTTCCTGCACGGAGTACGCTTTCCAAAAGGACGCCGTGGCTTGAGACAAGGCGGATAGGGGGAGATGAGAAGGGCTGGAAAAAAGAAGAGAAGAGCAGAATTGAGACAGGATAAGGATCGCGGTGGATGTTTATTTTCTGGAGGTGCCTGAAAAAGATCAGTCGGGTGCGATATATTACCTTGCGGCTGAGGCTTACCAAATCCCTATGGCGATGGAACCTTCTTCTATGCTTTCGGTAGCTCTGACAGGCCACAAAGACGGCAAAGATGCTTGACGGGGCGGATTTGGGAGTGCGATAAGGTTGAATACAGCGAGAGAAAACGCAAAGGTGTGCACACCAGGCGCGGGCGACGATCAACGGTGGGCGGGCGAGCTGGGGGAGATTGGGCGATGGCGATGGATCGAGAGGGGCTGCAGCAGTGGGGTGCTACTCAGCAGGAAGGCGGAAGGGTGGGTATGGATCGACAAGTCGGAGATCGGCCTCTTTATACACTTGACGGAGGCGGGAAACGTGGTACAGATACTGAACAGTTGGTTGAAAGGGCTACAGACAGTGGTCGGGGGTGGCAATTCGGCTGAAAGGGCTCTGGAAAGGGCAATACTGGCGGTGGCGATGAAATGTGTGGCCCTAGGGGATGAGAATGTTGAAGCAGATGCAAGATATACAGCCCCGCCATACAAGCCCATACACGGACTTGAGTGGCAGCCAAAGGCAGAGTTACCCCCTAAACCCCGATCAGCTCTATCTGCCCTCCGCCTGCTCCCGATCTAAACCCAACTTTGTGGATGGCCTAGTCTCGCCCCCATACCAGTCATACATCGCCCCTCTCCTCTCCACCTCCTGCATCTTTTCGAGAGCCAAGTAGCCGCAATTCACCTCAGGGTCCGGCCCTTCCGATGCGGTCCCTGAGAATGCAATAATACCGGCATAGACTTATCCTTAAACAGCCGAGGTTCCTCCACCTTTTGCCGGTCATATGGATATCCACAACCCGCCGCCTGTCATGCATTGCCCTCGGTGGGCTGGGTGAGCGGGCAGGTCACGAGGCATGCCGCGATCGACTCCTTCTCTTCCTACTCGCTCTATAGCGATCTCGAGGGGGTCAATCGTGAGCATTCCTCAAGCCAATCAAGTCTCTTTCAACATTTGATGATGCTACTCTTTACGAGACCACGCAGCAGAGAGGGTCATGGATGGTGGGCGATGAGAGGAGATAGACATTTCATAGCCGCCCCGAGAACACCCTGTATCTCGAATAGTTAGAACTACGACTGCCATAATGCTGCGACTGTACTCGAAAAGACAACTGCAAGGGCTTGTCTTACATCGATTTGAGGCACTTTCGCCTGCCCGCTCAGGCCTTCTTATGGCTTTTCTCCTTCCCATTTGTGGACTTTTTCATCCCCTTCTGTCTTGCCGTGCAGAGTACAGCGAAGCAGGATGTCGTACATAAGGCTAAACTCAGAGCTAAAGATGCAATACCATAGACTGCAACGCGGTAGTTAGTTGTCGCTCAACATTGCCCAAGTAGATACTATCAGAGCGAGGTATGAACCGGATGACTAGCTTCTGGTTGTATTGATAAGAGCTTACTCGGATCCCAAGACACTGTGGTTTGAAACGCCCCAGTCATGTGCAATTTGTATGGTTCCAGGCTCTTTCATTCTGAGCTTGCCAGAACCTACTCCAATGGTACATATGGGAACACTGCCGACAACCAAGAGTAATTTGCCGACTGCTGTAGAGGCAGCAGAATTCCACGGACGGAGTGTACTGTCCCTCCAAGAGGCCAATACCACCAAGGGCTTCAGATGTTGACTAGTGGGTGGCAAATGCCAATCTACAGCAAAGATAGAGGACATGGGTGGCGAATCTGAGACAGTCCGGGTGCCGTGCCTAGGGAACTTTTGACCCTGAAATGCTAATGTTCGACACGGTCATCACTTCGACTGCAGCTACAGCGCGACACTTCCCGGGGGGAGGGCGGGAAGGGCTTGTGTCGAGCCAGCAGCGCGACAGGGCTCGAGAACCAAGATATTTTGTAGAATTACGCAAAGAAAATCAATCAGTTGGTCGGCTGCCTTTTGTTGAAGGGGTACCATGGCCGAAGAATCCTGACACAAGGACACTTGCCGTGCGAGTGCCCAGAGACTATAACAATAGAGAGACAGGCGGTGGCGAGGAAGTAATAATGGAAGTAGCTCAGCGAACCCGAGACAGACAATAGAGAAGGACAGAGACGGAGAGAGGAGCGAGGGCCGAGGAAGAACGTTTAGGTTCAAGCTCAAAGATGTGCCGATTGCCGTAGCGTCCGTGATATCTGCCGTGGGCCGTGAGCCAGGAGCGTCAGCAGGACTTTTATTCTAGCGCTGGAATCAGAAGTGCTGGAATCAAGAGACAACGCGGGAGTCAACTGTAATCGGTCCTCCTCGTCATACCTGCGCTGCTTTATAGGATCTTTATCGATTGATCTGCCTTCGCATACTTCCGATGTTTCACCTGGATTGCTGCTGAGCCTGTATCCGTTGGAGTGTCATGACCAGTCCCGACGGCAATGGAACATGAGCGAGCAAAGAAGAAGGCGATGCCCACACCCTCACACCCTCCTGTAGTAACACAACAGGCACCATGCATCAGATCGTAGATCGCACAGCACGGCCACGTGCACACACAGGTGGCTTTGAAACGTATTTGTCCCAAAGCCGTGTTGAAAGGCGCGCAAGGTGCAGCGGTCATGAAACGTAGAGGAACGAGCTACATAGCTCGGAGTCATCCAGGCCACAAAAGCTTACGGCCCGTTCAATCGGGCTCCAAAATGTAGAAACGAAATGTAGAAAATGAAATAGTATGTTTCAAATATCAAATTATGTAGCCGCGAAATGTCGCGAAAATCCAAAAAGTTGCCGGACAGGCTCTTATTACTTCTTTGACTGAGCAACATCATAGTACTTGAGCTTTGATTGCACGGATTGGAAGACGGGGGGACAGGGAGGGAGCCGGACGTTCCAATATTGCCAAAGATGTCCTGCAGCATGCTACATGTCCGGGTACATACGATGATCTGACGTTCCAGCCAAGTTCCAGCTGACGTTGTGACTTGAACTGGAAAAGGTATCTAAATGGTAACTATCCTTAATTATCACAAATACGCGGCGTTCAGGGCCACAAGAAGAACCAAGAAGAACAGACAGATGCAGATAGACGTTGATTCTGTCGTACGGAGTACTGTATATTGTATCATTCCAGCAACCTCAGCGTCTCACTCGCCACAGATACCTTCAACTATGTTCCAGCTGGATCATGTCACACTACCACATCTTCTTCCCTCCCCCGCCTGCATGCGTTCCTCCTCTCGCCTCTCTCCACAACATCCCTCGTATCGCCCCACCGCCCCTGGAGTTCCATGCCCTCTCGGCCCCTCCTCGACATGATGAATCTCCACAGAACCTGTCCTGTATCGAGGAGGAAGCAACTCAGGACTCTGCACATGAAAGCCTGAGCGCGTCAGCTCGCCTGGAACCCCCTTCGGCTGGCGTGAGGCGTGCTCGCTCGCCTACGCCCCAGCCCGCCTTTGGCTCCGGCGTCCTGGGCTCTCGAGGCTCCAAAGTCAAGCTGGTGGATATGAAGAGTACGCAGAGCAAGGAGAAAGAGAGAGTGCAGATGCCACCACCGTCTTTGCCTCTACCATCGACGGCGCAGAAGGAAATCAGTCAGGGAAAGAAGCGCCCGGCTGAGATCCCTGAGGGGTCAGCTCGACCGGGGAAGAAGGTCTTGCTACAGCCTCGTCCTCCTCGAGCCTCCACTCTGCTCCCCGTTCTCCCTTCCATCATATCCCAGCAATCCCAACCCAACTCGTCCCCACACGACTCGGAGGACTCTCGCTCTGACCACTCTCTCGGCTCTTCCTTCAATACGACAGCTACTTCGACTTCGCAGGCTCCACTGCCACCCACCGCTGTAGACGGGAACACCAGTATCGCCAACTTCCCGGCCTGGTCGATACCCATTGCAAAGCTGTCGAGTCTGCAGGATGTCCTTCGCGCGAGGCCCGAACCTGCTGTCAGAGGACTACCAGATGCTGGCTTCAATCAAAAGCGATATACTCTTATCGTCTGTATCGTCTCTGTAGACTCTGCCGTTGAGAGACAGCGGAAGGCGAATCAAGGTCCTCGTAGCAGGGGTATCAGGTCAGAGGGAGGAACGTTTTGGGTGGGCAAGTGGTCAATCACAAGCCCACCTGTCGGGGCAGATCCCGAGATGAGCTGTGATGTCAAGCTCTGGGACAAATGCGCGAGGGATTGGGGAGAAGAGAAGCTGAAGAGAGGCGATGTCGTGTTGCTCGAGAGTAAGCCCTTTGCTCGAGTCTGTGATGGGACTGGCGCTGATGCAGATGCAGATGTCGAGCTCAAGCCAGCTTCTGCCCGGGAACCTCCCCACCTCAACATCGCACCGTCAACCAACCCCAAGATCACCATTCTATTCCGAACCATCCCCAGCTTCACCACTGCATCCCGCTCCGACTACAACTACCGTCGACCTAATACAATCTTGCCCGACTACGGGGAGAAGAGGGAGGTGGTGAAGGAGGATAGGCAGTTGAGGCCGGACTTGCGGCTGGGAAAGAGCGATGTTGGCATCAGGAAGGTGGGGGATGTTGTAGCTTGGTTTGAGGAATGGCTTGGGGTTGGAAATGGTTGAATGTAGGTCGGAGGGTCGGATGCATTTCGTCATCACTGCTTGCCGAATCTTAGCTTGAATTGAGACGCAAGGGGTGAAGAGGTTGATCAGGCAGAATCTCCGATGATGGCAGGCTTTGCGTATATGTGCCAGTCATAATGCACATGTATTGCACCCCTGTTGGTCAGGCCCTGATGAATGATCAAAGAGATTCATCGAACAACACGGGTAAATCACTTGACCACGTTTCAATTTATTTTCGAATCATATAATGCCTATCTGATGAGTTGACGTCCAACGGTAAGATTATAGCTGGAGATGCTTCAACCTCTCATCTGCCCAGTTGATGTACTCCCCACTGAGCTCCGCAGGGCCCTTGACAGCAAGACCAGCAAGCACAGAACCAGGCCTAGAGCACATAAGTATTGATATAGAGGTAGAAAGGACGACGTACTGCTCGGGTGCGAGGAGTTCGCCCTTCTCGTAAGCTCCTTGGAACTTGGCCATGTCGGTGTCACTCATCTCACCCGGGCCATGAGTACGGAGGAAGAGCTGCATCTGTGAAATGTCAGCTTTTCCGGTGGTACCATTCAGTGGATTGGGCGCATACATCAGTCTGAAGCCTTGTCAGCACTGGTCTATATCCCACGACATACGCACGTTCACAACTCCCGGTCTGACGGCGAAAGTAGACACTCCACTCTCCTTCTCTTCACTAGCCAAAGTCCTAGCCAGACTGTTCATACCGGCCTTGGCCATAGAGTACAAGCCCCAGGCTTGGTATCCAGTCGAAGAGGCACCAGAAGACACGAGCACGATTCGACCTTTCGATTTTCGGAGATGAGGAAGGGCAGGTTGGATCAGGTAGATGCTTGCAAGAAGATTGGTCTGGATATACGGCGTCAAGGCGTCCAAAGAGACGCTACCAAGCTTGCCTGGGACAGGATCAACGACTGCATGTGCATAGAACGAGATATATACCCACCAACAGGGTCTATGCTGCCAGCGTTGACAATGAGCCCATCCAGCTGGCCCCACTTCTCTACAGCTTCCTTGACTACCCTAGCATTGTCCTCTGGTTTGCCGACATCGCCTTGGACAGGGTGCACGCGGCCAGGATAATCCTTGGCGGCCGCTTCGAGCTCCGGAGTGAGGGACCGCGAGAGGGTGGCGATTCTGGCGTTGTGGGTGTCGAGGAGGATGCGGAGGACGGAAAGACCAAGGCCACGAGAGGCGCCAGTGAGGATGATGACGGGGGACATGGTCGATGGTGGAAGAAAGAGTACCGACATCTGAAAAGTGCGGCCGATGCCATCCACAGGGTCGTCGGTACCATCTGCGGACCCTTCTCCATCATCGCTTTTGTCCTTCACTTTGTCATCTCCAAATTTTTTTAACCCACCTACATACATCCACGCCTGATTTCCAGCTCCCTCAGTGCCAATACAGGAGGCTCCAGCACCACCGGCCTGCAGAGACACCCCTCGCCACCCCCGCCGCCGCCGCCGTCCCGCGTATCATGTCCCGCGCGCCCTCCGGTTCACACCCTCACTACACGCAGCAGCAACAAATGGCCTACCCTCCCAACGTCCATCCCTCTTATTACCAACAAAATGCCTCTGCTGTATACCCCCCCGACCCGCATAACCCCCATGCACCCTACGGCCGGCCGCATCAAGTCAATGGCAGTGCCGGCGCGTGGCAGGGGGGCGCTAGTGCAGGGCAAATGGAAGGCTACCCTAATGCTGCTGCTAGCTCTTCGCGAGGCGAGCCCTATCCACCCTACCCCCAACCTCAACAGCAACCTCAGCAGATGCAACATCGCGACTCGCCTACGGCTCAGGGTGGCCGGCCGGGTACAACAGGTGGAGGGTACGGCGGGTGGGGTCTACCAAGCACACCGTCCGGAAGAGGAGGCGTCAAGCTGGAGGACCTTGTGAGCAGTGACCCCAGAACGGGCAATGCAGTCGCCACCCCTCAACAGGTTCAGCAACAGGGGAAAAGTCAGCCTCTGTCGTCGATGCCTCTAGGTGGAACCTTTGATGGTCGGAATCCGTCCAACGCGGCCGACCAGCAGGGTGGCCTATCGTCCCAACACACAGGTGGCAGAAAAAGTATAGGGGGCGAAGATAAGGGCAAGGACAAGAAGGACGACAAGGACAAGTCACAGCAAGGACCGTCAGATTTTATCAAAAAGCTGTACAAGATGCTGGAGGAGGAGCAGGCGACGCATGGAAAGGGCAAAAAAGCCGAGAAAGGCAAGAGAGGTCCAGTCGGATGGGGCGCTGATGGAACGAGTTTCGTTGTGTGGGAGATGAACGACTTTACAACAAAGATCTTGTGAGTTCCAGTCATCTCGTTTACCGGCTTGGCTGACCCACCCGAGGCCTCAAACGTTCCGTCATTCGAACTTCTCAAGTTTTGTCAGACAACTCAACAAGTATGGTTTCTCCAAGGTGCGCACTACATCTCATCATCATATTATCGTGCTCATGTCTCCTTCTAGATCAAGCATATCGACAAGAACTCTGGCACAATCAGAGAGAATGTCTGGGAATTCCAGCATCCCGACTTCCAAGCAGGGGGCAAGTCCAATCTGGAAAGCATCAAAGTGAGTATCTTGCATATATATGAATCCGTGCTCATCATGCGGTCTAGCGTAAACCCGTTCAACCCAAAAGACCTGCCGCCGAGACCAGCAACGAGGCCGCCGCCTCGCCTGTCCAAGCCGTCGTCATGAATGGCGAAGATGCTCAGCGAATCAACCTCTTGGAGAATCGGATAATGACGTTAGAAGAAGCTCTGCAGAGGTCAATGGCTGAGACCGCTGAAACAAGAAGGGCGCAAGCGGGGATGATGGGGCTTCTGAGAGATTTAGTCGGCCATGTTGCTGCGACAGAGAATGGTGAGTGATCGGCAAAGCTACTCTGGGCATGACTGACCCGGTTCATAAGCTGTTGGTACGCCAACTTCAAATGGAGGCAACACTCCTCGAGTCATCAACTTGATCAGATCGGTCGAGGCCCTCACGCAGACGCCTATTTACGGAGTGCAACAAGTTGCTCCCATGCCTTTCACCCCCAGCCAACCGCAAAATGCCCAGGCATTTATGAACACTGCCTACAGCAACAACAACCCCGCTTTTAGCGGCGGCAGTGTGGCTGGCGCTCAGGCCCAAGCTTCGACGCCTACAGACGGCACTAACAGCCGAGGCAGCTTCAGCGGGCCGAGCACCGTCGACGTCAGGCCTCCTTCGTCTGCTTCTCGTCTTCGAGCCGTCTCGAATGCTAGTGCAATGGGCATGCCTAGTGTTCCCAATCCTCCCGCTGTCGACTCTACGGCCCCGATTGCCGGCCCTTCCGCCCACGCTGAAGATCCCGCAGACGATGTCATCGAGATCCCCAACCAGATGGAGACCATGTACGAGGGAGAGTCACTCGGTCTGACACCTGTCTTTGTCGAGACACCTGCGTGGCTGACAGAAGGGACGTCGGTGCCTTTAACGATGTATAGAAAGCAGAGCGATGGGCAGGCGATGAAGACGATCTACGAAGCATTCGCCACGGGTGGCAATAAGTTGCCAGAGCACGATATCGAAGGGAGCGGACTTGCTGCTGGCTCAGCTACTGCCGGGATTCCGGGACAGACGCCACTGCAGTCCTATGGTAGCGGGTCGAGCATGGGTATACCTCTTTCGCTAGGCACACCCACGTCAGCCGAATCTACACCAAGCGGCAAGCCTTCCAAAAAGCAAGGCAAGAAGCCCAGAGTCGCCAACCTGAAAGAAGAGCGCGAAGCCAAGCTCAAGCCTCACTGGTCTCAGACCCCCAAGATCTTGGTCGTGGAAGATGACGTGGTGTATCGAACCTTGTCAAAGAAGTTCCTGCAAAAGTTTGGATGCGAGACTGAGACTGTCGAGAATGCGCAGGGAGCAGTTGACAAGATGAACGGAGCAAAGTTTGATTTGGTCCTGATGGATATCTTCTTCGGGCCAAACATGGATGGGTAAGCTTGGTCACAATCTTCCAGGTGAATCACTGACCACGTTTCAAGTCGAAAAGCCACTTCTCTGATTCGACAATTCAACAAATACACTCCGATCATTTCCATGACGTCCAACGCCCAGCCTCGTCAGTGTTTTGTATACTCCTCTTAGGCGGAAGCTGATGTCTGTTGCAGAGGACGTCGACTCATACTTCCAGTCGGGTATGAACGACATTCTGGCCAAACCTTTCACCAAACATCATCTTTTCACCATCCTCGATCGGCACTTGGTCCATCTTCGACACGCCCAGCTCTACGAAAAGCTGATCCCCTTTTCTGTCGGCCTTCCTCCTCTTTCGGACCAGCACGTCCAAGAAGCCCTCGCTGTGAGCGCAGCGTCGTTACAGAATGGCGAAGGAATGATCGGGTTTGGTGCAGGGCTGGTAGGCGGAGGGCAATTACAGGTGGACAATGGACAGGCGGCAGACGGTCAGAATAATGGTTTGGAGATTGGTATTAGAAATCCTCTAGCAGGAACGGGGTGGAGTGATGATGCGTATCAGCTTGTTCTGGGAGTGCGTTCGACCTGCTTGAAAGTCAAATCTCGAATGTCTGCTGATATATGCCCCTAGCAATTCCTTCAAACTGGCGTTATGCCCGACATCCACACCATTTCCTCCATCTCTACCATCGACCCTATCCCCAATGGAAACCCTACGCCCAATCCCAACGAGGCCAGTGGCAGCGGCACCACCACCATCGGTACCAACGTTGTCTTTGGCGAATCTTCCGGTTTCAACCGCAAAAGGTCAATTGACACCATGGCGGAGGACAATTGGGAGGGCCAAGTCCAAGCCCAAGCGCAGGTGCAAGCTCAGGCTCAGGCTCAGGCCCAAGTACAAGCTATGCAAGAGCAGCAGAACATGGCTCAGGCAATGCAGATGCCTACCGGTGTGGGTATCGGCTTGGGTGAGATGGAGATGAACGGCCTCGGAGGAGGCGGCAACATGGGAGCGGGGCAAACTCAACAGGAAGCAGATATCAGGGAGGCAAAGAGGGCCAGGGGGATGACGCAGCAGGGTATGTGAATGTGAGGGAGGGTGTAGCTGTCTTTTTTCCGGGGTTCTTCTGTTCTTTTTCTTTGTGACGACTTTGTAATGACCTTACCGCTCTTCTCCTTCTAATATATATGTACCAGTTTTCTCTTTTTCCGGACATTTTCTCTTTCGCGTTCCTGTCTGTTAGAGCGTCCCTTTTGAGTTTGCTGTAGCCAGTACCGCACCGAGATTTGTGGAGATGAAAATGCAGAGAATAGTATGACCATGTCATGAGTGCTGCAAACATGTCTTGTCATTGTAGTATGTGACACTTGTCTTTTCCAGTGGTCTATCTGCCATGGACGGAGCAATTTCCGGGCTGATTTCCATTTCTTCCTCTTTCTCTTCGTTGAGTAATACAAAGATTACGAGTAGTGTAGGCAATAAATTGATATATCAGTTCTTTGACATTGAGCAGCAGATGTAATGGGCAGAGAGAGGAGAAAAGCGATGGTATGAACATGAACTTCATGAATGGTTTGTCATTTGCTAGACCCTTGAGACCCTTGATCCTTCTCTGTTACACAAGATTTCCTTTTTTACTCCATCCTCTTCCTCAAATTGTCGTATTCTATGGCCCCGAGTAAGCACTGTCCAGGATCCCAAGCTGTTTTGACTCACTGCTTCCGGGGTAATCCAACTCATTCTCCCGCTGCTCCAACTCCCCAATAACATCCCTCACAGTCCTCACCAGACTCCCTCCGGTCCCCTCCTCCTTATCCGCATCCAACTCCCACCACATTACTCCTCCAAGACCGTGGTGCCTCACATAATCTCCCTTCTGATGCGCAATCGCCTGGGTATCGTACGAGATGAGCAGCTTCTTGTTGGCGTCGTAAGAGTAGGAAGCGCCGAGGCGATGGTCGTTGATCTCTTCAGAGCCGGGGAGAGGAAGAGCTTTGTAGTCCCACATGCCAGCTTCCCAGGAGCCTTCGCCAGTACCAGAGTATGACTGTCCGATACCGTTGGTATTGGCGAAAGCTCGACCGTATGCCGGAAGACCTAGATACTGTCAATCCAAGCACATATGGGAGGTGATCAAATCAACACACCGACGACGACCTTGGACGGATGAACTCCGGCCTGAAGATAGAACCTCACGGACTTGTCCACAGAGTTTGCGTTGGGATCGTCGGCGTACAAGTTGGCTTGATGCCCAGCGACAGAGTCCCACGATCCCGCAAACTATATATGCCATCAGATCTTCTTCCTCCTGGAGTTGTTCACAAGCAAGCTTACATCATAAGCCATCAGATTCCAGAAGTCCAATGCCTGGTCCATCTCTTGGACTCGCAGGATTTGCATCTGCTCCGATCCACAAGGTGCGGCAACAGAGAGCTGGTATTGACCGGGGTTTTTGCCCTTGCTTTGAGCGAGGTTATTGAGACCATGGCGCAGCTCGTGAAGGAGAGCGACATAGGCAGAAGCGTCGTCGGGGGTCTTGGGGTATTCATAATCGATCTGCAGAGAGGCGTTAGAGACGAATGGGCTTTTGAGCTGGAAGACGCACATCGAGACTAGGCAACAGGTCAGCATGGTTTCCGTACACGTTGCAAAGGTATATGCTTACCCATCAAGACCAACATCTTCGACAAGCTTGACAGCTGTCTGGACAAAGTTCGCTCGCCATTGAGGGTTGGTGATACCGGCAAAGTTCTGTACCAGTCATGAGCTTGACCAAGGTCAAGAGACGAATGAGCTCACAGGCGAGTATGACCATCCTCCGATGGACATCAAGACTTTGAGGTTACTTGGGAGTGTCAGCAAGGACTCTCGCTCGAGCGACAGAGGAGCTCACCGGTTCTGCTTCTTCAGCAAGTAGATCGCTTTCAGACAGCCGTAGAGGTTCGTCCCCTCATCGTTCCAGGAGTCACCCTCATAATGGATCTGCGATATCATTGTCAGCCATTCCATCGACGACATAATTCGGAACCAAAACCCGCACCTCCACGTCTGCCCACGAGTCGCTCAGAACTACTTCGCCGCTGTCCTTGTTGACGTTCGCAAAGGCGTAGTTGATATGGGTAAGGTGTTGATGAGGAATCTGCTGGGGAGCGTACTTGCGGTCATAGATGCCCCTATATGCCGTTTGAGTCAGTTACACATCTTTCAGGACACGACGTCCATGCGCCCCGGTCGCCCAGAGCAGGAGGTCCCTGGAGGAGGTGCAGAATACTGACCAGTTGACCTACAAGTACCCATCAGCAGCTCATTTGGATACAATATTGCGGTATAGATGAAGCTTACAAAGTATCCAACAACACGCTTAGGAGTTTGCATTTCGTCGATGAGGAGAGTGTCACCGAAGATTGTTTGACCGAGGTCTTTGAGAGGGTGGCTGGGGAACGTGAAGTTTGTGTGTCCTAGGAGGAAGGCAAGAACGGCGAGAAAGAGAACAGTGGCGAGGACAAAAGGAGCGCGATCAGTGGACAAGGTCTTATCAGGCATGCGTGGAATGACAAGGCAGAACGAAAATAGAGGTTGCGATGCAACTTGGACGAGCAGGAGGCGACCACGTCGGCGGCGTCCGTCGGCTATCCGGAGGCCCTCTCTCAGGGTTCTCGGTGAGCCCAATTGTTTGTTGGCCTGCTGGGACATAGTACGTTCTCTGGAAGGGTATATGGTCTACATCTCTTCTCTGAATATGTATCTAGAACACTATACTCACGTTGTATCATCTAGTAGAAGGCCCCTCATGATAGGTTACACTTCTAGTTTTACATAAATATTCGTTACAGGCTAATCAGCCAGAATAGTCCACGTACCATGGATGAAGCAACCCCTCATCAAAAATCATCTATACGTTATTCAGATTGCGGAAGAGCAAATTGGACGAAATACCAAAAATACCCAAGACTCGTTCTGCTGCTCATGCAACGAGCTGTTTACAAGCCCATCCAAACACCAACCATCCCCAGAACGACACCCATCCCCCAGGCCCAGATGCTTCCTCCAGCACTCGGCGCAGCTCCACTCTCCGCCTTGGAGCCCGTCAAGTTCGACGCCCCTAGCCCACCATAGAGTTGTATGTTCCTGAAGTAGACATACTGGTCCGTCGGAGACGCCCAGTCAGAGTCGTCACCTCCAAAGAAGGTGGAAAAGTAGAGGCCGCCGATGGAGGATATGGAGTCGGATGAGCGGATGATGAGGTCGGTATGGGTGACAGCTGGGACACCGTTGTACCAGAGTCTACGACGTTGGTCAGTATATGTAGGATGAAGGTGAGATTCGGGTACGTACTCGATCTGGCCGTTGGCAGTGCCGACTTCGTTGAGGATTACAAGCATGTAAATTGTCTGCCACTTGCCTGTGGCGAACGAGTATCCGCCACGAGAGAGGGACGTTCCGTAGTCGGAGTTACAGGTGACGTCGGTCTCTGAGCAGAAGCCCTTTTGAGAGGTAGGGATGTATGCGTAGACTGAGTTTCAATGTCAGGAGGGCACATGAGAGATAGGGATGCAAACGTACCTTCACCAGAGCCACTCGTCCTCCACATCAATCGAGAGCTGAAACACGTCTCTCCATCCGCCTCGGAGCCGCCAGAACATCCATGAGGGTCACTGCCACCTCTGAGACCAGGAAGCTTTCCACCCTTGACCCATCTGCCAGCATCATTAGCTTTGGAAGCCTTGACAGACAACCAGACTTACGAGAATCCAGTAGGAAACCAGATATCATACGTCAAGAGCATCCTCTCAAACTCTCCATTTGTTGACGAATTGCCAACAGCATCGGACGCATCAGAGCTGCTGGCATTGAGGGGCTGAGCATAGAACTGTGTTCCACCAGTCTTCTTTGAATATGACCCAGAAGGATATTCGATTCGAAGCGAAGGGGCCTCCCCACTGAGGTCGGTGATGTTAGGATAAGTAACCGCACTAGTGGCAGCCGAAGAGGAGCTACTCGTCTTGGTCGACGACTTTGTAGACGACTTTTGCGTAGACGATGACTCTGTGGATTCGTGGGCTCGGCGAACAAGAGTTGACGTCGTCGTTGATGGGTCGGCAGTGAAGACGCTAAACTCAAAGTCAGTCTGACGGATACACAGCAATGGCGGGTTGACCAATGGAGGTCGTACACGTGAATTATGCACGCGCCAAGAGGATACAGTTTCAATAGGCGAGAACGACTCACATGTAGTTATCTCCCCAATCAAGCTTGTTGCCATTGGTCGACCACTTCTCGTTAATCCAAGACGTCGCGTCGCTGGAGTCAAGTGTCTCGGTCGGCCATGTAAAATTGTACGATCCGGAATCGAGGCCGTACGCGTCGATGATACTTTGAAGGGTGACTGCTGAGGAAGGTGAAGGGGCGAGAGAGAGCAGGGCAGCGACAAGAAGAGGGGCGAGGAGAGTCATCTTGGAGAGCGGCGTACGTAGTGGCGTTGGGGGGCGCCGTGGCTACGTAGGTTGGTCGGGATTGGGATGGACTGTTGGGGCCCGTCGGGTAGATGGGAATCGAGACTCCTTTTCACGAAGGCTGGTTATATATGCGCGGACGAGAAGGAAAAGAGGTGGAATGAAACGAACTTATAAATGATGTCAACAAGCCAAATAAACCTTTTGGACCGGAAAGGGGAAAAACCGGAAAACGCGCGCAAGGGAGACAGGCACAGATGGTGATCTTGGGTGCGTCTCTTCAACGCTGGGCAAATCTAGCGGTCTTCCCAAGTTTCTAGCTGCTGTCCCACCAAGAAGGAGCAAGCTATGCATAACTGCACAGCTCAATGCCGGTAGATCTCGATCATGCGAAATACCTTTCTGAAAGACGGAATCGCCTGAACCGCTAGAGGAGCTGGCCTCACCGCCTCAGACCAAGATCTCCACTATCTGCCTGCAGGTTGACGAAATTGGAGATCTCTCTTCTCAAGGATCTACACATAGTTGAGTTGGAATAGCTCCCATCAGCAAGGAACTGACAAGAGAGCTTGAGAGCTTCGAGGGACAAGGACCTCGGGCCTTGAGGCCACATTTGTGTAGCATGATGATACAAGGCTTAGACTCCCATTTATCCGTGATATCTGGGCCAATGGACATTTTGTTCTTCTTTGCGGAGGTCGGAGGCAGAAGAGAAGCCAGACCTGTGGCCCACGAGTATGGACTATGATCCATGCGTGGAGACGACGCGACGCGCCTTACTACTGGTCGACTGAGAACATTAGAGAATGATCGACCGGCCCGGCTGCGTAGTAAGTATTCCAGCACCACCTTAGTCTTCCATCCTCCGCAGTCCCGATAACTTTGTATTATTGCTGTTGTACAGCTTTGCTTCTGGTGTCTGAGTACCTTGGCCGAGTCGGACCAGCAAGCGAACAGTCGTTCTGACTCTGTTCCCGCTTGTGAACTATCTCGCGGATGTTGGAAGCTGCTATCAGGGTAAGGTGACACTCCTTCTGCGTTTTTACCTAATAAGCGTACGATCAGACAGAGGCATGATTCCAGCTATCCAGCTAGACACTTTGGTCTCATTTGGTAGTTGATACGCGTATCAAAAGCACGCGTGATATCAATTCAGTATGAAGTTGATTGCTCGGAATGAATTCGTTGCGTATTGCACGTACTGTGCATATCATTGTCCCTCCGCATCTAGACGCCTGGCTTTTGGGCCCATCTCTTTGATTATAGCGTGTGCTTAGTATCAGTGCTGATGTCTTGGCTTAGAGGAGGAAACAAATCTCCCGGAAGCCAGCAGCGCAAGCTTGTCACGTCAAGACAGCGGCGACGACTGACAAAGAGCCGCTTACTGGCTACAGCCAGTCACTGAATTGAAACATGCTCGTGCTGCGCGTCTCTTACTCAGGCGGAGATGAGCCAACAAGGCAGCCGCATAAGGCTATTGCGAATGTATGAGTACACTGTACGAGTATGTCTCGTTCAACAGGTGTCTGCGGAAAGCGGCGCTGCCCGCTGATAACTTCGCCGCCGCGCGAAGTGGCGACGAAAGAAGGTACAACAGAAAGATGATTGATCTCGAGCTTTCAAGTTGCTTTCCTACAAAAGCACAGCTCAAAATGGTTTCCACAAAACGCTCACCATCGCCTCCGCAAGATGACTATGAGGTCCCAGCCGACTACAAACCTTACGTCCCAGTCGCCAAGCGGAGAGCGCAGATGCTCTCGCAACTGACCGCCAAACATTCGCCAGTCGCCAAGCGCGTAAAGACGCAGCAGGAACTGGAGAAGGAGGTGGAGGATGAAATAAGGGAGCAAGCTGAAGATGAAGAGAGGGCGAGAGAGAAAGCGAGAAGGGAGAGGACGTTGTTGCAAGCGGCCCAGGAGGTAAAAGAAAAGAAGGCTCTGGCAGGTGCGCATGTCCGTCTCGTCAGAGATCGCTGCTGATGTCGTATAGATGCCGAGAAGACTGCAGCAGATATGGAAGCTGAGAAGGAAGCTCGACTCCTGGCAGAGATGGAACGAGCCCAAAAGAAGCTTGCTGGTGCTCAAGAACTCGCCCAAGGGGTGTCATATACCGAGTCCTTGAAGACCTCCTGGCGCCCGCCCCACTATATCCGGTCACGCTCGGAAGAGGAACACCAAGCTGTTCGTGAAGAGTATCATATCATCACTGAAGGCGACAACCTGCCCCCACCCATTCCTCACTTTGCCGATATGAAAATCCCAAAACCAATCTTGTCGTATCTCAAAGCGAAAGGTATCAAGCGCCCAACACCTATCCAGATGCAAGGGCTGCCGACAGCCTTCACAGGGAGAGATATGATTGGTATCGCCTTTACAGGTTCAGGCAAGACTCTGGCGTTCACTCTGCCTGCCATCATGTCCTCGCTGGAGATGGAAGCCAAGGTGCCATTTGTCCGGGGCGAGGGGCCCGTGGGGCTTATCATCTGTCCCTCGCGAGAACTAGCGAGACAGACGTACGAGCAGTGTCAACAGATGTGCACGGCGCTGAAGGAGAGTGGACAATACCCTGAAGTTCGCAGCTTGTTGTGTATTGGCGGTATCAACATGGCCGACCAGGGAGACGTCTTGAACAAGGGCGTGCATATCGTCGTTGCCACTCCCGGCCGACTCATAGACATGCTTGACAAGCACAAGCTCAACTGTGACAACTGCAAGTAAGTGCCTGTCCCATTCCTTCGCTGTCAATGCTGATGCCGGGTAGGTACTTGTGCATGGACGAAGCCGACAGAATGATCGATATGGGTTTTGAAGAAGACGTCCGCTCCATCATGTCGCATTTCCGCTACCAACGACAAACCCTTCTTTTCTCCGCCACCATGCCTAGGAAAATTCAGGATTTCGCTCAACAATCGCTTATCGACCCTATCCTCGTCAACGTTGGTCGAGCTGGTGCAGCCAATATGGACGTCGTTCAGGAAGTCGAGTATGTGAAGCAGGAGGCAAAGATGGTCTATCTGTTGGAATGTTTGCAAAAGACTCCTCCGCCTGTCATCATTTTCAGTGATAACAAGAACGAAGTGGATGATATCCAAGAGTATCTTCTGCTGAAGGGGATTGAGGCGGTTGCTATACACGGGTCTAAGAGTGCGTATTCTCTTTTCCATCATTGATCACTGCCTAACCCTTTCTCAGCTCAAGACGAAAGAGAATACGCTATCCGCTCTTTCAAGACGGGCGCTAAAGATGTCATGGTCGCCTCCGGCGTAGCTTCCAAGGGTCTCGATTTCAACGAAATCCAGCATGTCATCGTCTATACCATGCCTAAGGAGATCGAAGACTACGTGCACGAAATTGGTCGTACAGGTCGTTCAGGAAAGACGGGTCTGGCTACGACGTTTGTCAACATGAATACGAGCGAGCAGACGTTGTTGGATTTGAAGTATTTGTTGATGGAGGCGAAACAAAAGTGAGTGTAGCTCTTATCGGCTTTGGGTATGATATTGACTGTTCCGCAGGATACCGGACTTCCTTCTTTCTATTGATGACCCCCGTGCAGCCTACGGTGGAGCTCTCAAGGGATGTCCTATCTGTGGTGGTCTTGGTCACGGTCTGGAGAACTGTCCCAAGTTGGAGGAAGAGCAGAGAAGGAAGCAGGCGGCGCAGAGGACTTATAATGGGGGTGGTTATTGAGCTGGGGTTGCCGGTCGTGATTCGACTTCTAGATTGAAGGGGAGGCGTACATCTCTGTTGTATCTCAAAGTGTACTGTACTCGTACTATTATAGAGGCAATGCAGTCGCGATCAAGACGATTGCCGTCGTTCAACTATATCGTGTTCTTCGTACTGGCCATAGTTTGCGACCAAATTCTCGTTTTGTCGCAGACACCATGGCTCTCCTGCATCCTAGCCTCTCTATGGAGAGACTGAATAGTTCAGTCAATTATCATCATGCATGGCTCTGGCTACCTCCGAGTCCTCCACGATACCGGGATAAAATGAAAAATAAACGTTGCGGGATAATATTGATCCCGCTCTGTTGTTGCCGCGCTCACTCAGGCGCTGGGTGATGGTTGAACGATCCCATTTCTCATCTCCACACGTCAACCGCATCCCATCCTCGTCATTCAACATGGAGGTAAGCGGCCCTCCCATGGGCATCCTCCTCCCTCCATGAGCTCAGCTGACGCCCCACAGGCCATCTTAGACTTCAACCAAGACCTCGACGTCGGGTAGGTGCACTCACCGCCTAGTCCGATTCCCAGCTGACCCCCACGCAGTCTGATTGACCAGGTAGTCACAGCATTCTACACCTCAACGGGTGAAACAGTGAGCCCATCACGCTCGGGGGTTCCGCGCTGTATAGCGCAGACCCGCCACTCCGCTGTCCAGATTGCTAACCCGGCGCCCTAGCAACAAACAGCACAGCGGGTCCTCACACAGTTCCAAGAGAACCCCGACTCATGGCAGCGTGTCCCCGCTATTCTCGAGTCATCGGCTAGTATCAACACAAAGGTGCGTCTTCTCTTCCCTTGCACGAATCAGAATATCCACTGACGCGTTTGAGACAGTACATTGCGCTCCAAATCCTCGAAAAGCTGATCCAGGTGCGATGGAAGACTTTGCCGTCAGATCAGCAGACTGGTAAGCCTTGACCAGCCAACAGTGAGACACTGCTCATATGACTCAGGTATCCGAAACTTCATTGTGGGCGCGACAGTTGAGATAGCATCTGATGAGTCACGGATGAGAAGAGAAAAGGGTTATTTGAACAAGCTCAACTTGGTTCTGGTCCAGGTACGTTGCCCCTATCACAAAGTGGATTGTGCTGAACCCCTATAGATCCTCAAACAGGCGTGGCCCAAGGACTGGCCCCAATTCATCCCCGAAATCTGCCAGTCATCTCAATCCAACCTCTCTCTCTGCGAGAACAACATGATCATCCTTCGTCTCCTTTCTGAAGAAGTTTTCGACTTCTCCGCCGAGCAGATGACTCAAGCAAAGACAAAGGCGCTCAAGCAGACAATGTGTGCAGAGTTTGGAGAAGTGTTCCAGTTGTGTAATGAAGTGCTGGATAAGGCCAACAAGCCAAGTTTGGTGAAGGCGACTCTGGAGACGTTGTTGAGGTTTCTGAACTGGATTCCGCTAGGATACATTTTTGAGACGTCGATCATCGATATCTTGGTCGGAAGAGTGAGTAGGAAAGTCTCTTGACGTGAATTGTACTCACTCTAAGCAGTTCCTTGAAGTTCCCGACTTCCGCAATGTCACTCTCAAGTGTCTTTCAGAAATCGGCGCTCTCAACGTTGGCCCAGAGTACAACAGCAAATTCGTTGCGCTGTTCCAGGTCGTCATGACCAGCATCAACCGAATGGTCCCCCCTTCCACTGGTGAGTCGTCCGTGATCCTTGTGGCTCCGCTGACATGGCTTAGATATGGCCGGCGCGTATGCCTCCTCTGACGATGAGGACCAACAACTTATCAAAAACCTCGCCATTTTCCTCTCCAACTTCCTCCATACCCACCTCCGCCTTATTGAAACCCCCGAGAACACCGAGCTTCTCATCAACGCCCACCTCTACCTCGTCAAGATCTCGACTGTTGATGACCGGGAGGTGTTCAAGATCTGCCTCGAGTACTGGGCCAAGCTTGTGACGGAGCTTTACGAGGAGATCCAGTCATTACCGCTCAACGACATCAACCCGTTGATGAACCTCAGTCTGGGCGGCCTTGGAGGTGGCTTGAACGGTGCACAGGGGATGGGCTTGAACGGCATGCCCCTCCGTAAGAACATCTACTCCGACATCCTCTCCAATCTCCGTCTTGTGATGATTGAAAAGATGGTCAAGCCCGAAGAAGTCTTGATTGTTGAGAACGAGGAAGGTGAAATTGTTCGAGAGTTTATGAAGGAGAGCGACACCATCGTTCTTTACAAGAGTATGAGAGAGGTGCTGGTCTACTTGACCCATTTGGATGTTGTGGATACCGAGACAATCATGACGGACAAGCTGTCCAAGCAGATCGATGGGTCCGAGTGGAGCTGGAACAACCTGAATACGCTTTGTTGGGCTATTGGTTCCATCTCTGGTGCTATGAGTGAGTCTTTTCGGTGATATCAACTCCGGACGCTAAATATGTTTGGCAGACGAGGAGACCGAGAAACGATTCTTGGTCACTGTCATCAAGGATCTCCTTGGCTTGACCGAGATGAAGCGAGGAAAGGACAACAAGGCTGTCTGTGCTTCCGACATCATGTACATTGTCGGACAGTACCCTCGATTCCTCAAGGCGCACTGGAAGTTCTTGAAGACTGTCGTCAACAAGCTCTTCGAGTTCATGCATGAGACCCACGAGGGTGAGTTCAGCGCTTTTGGCGTGTGGTCCCACACTAACGATCAAATGCAGGTGTCCAAGACATGGCTTGTGACACTTTCATTAAGATCGCCCAAAAATGTCGCCGTCACTTTGTCATGCAGCAGGCTGGCGAGCAGGAGCCGTTCATCGACGAGATCCTCAGGACGCTTCACCGGATCACCGTCGACCTCTCTCCCCTGCAAGTCCACACCTTCTACGAAGCTGTTGGCTACATGATCGCTTCACAGCCCAACAAGCCTACGCAAGAGAGGCTTATCGAAAAGCTCATGGAGCTGCCGAATAACGCTTGGGACAACCTTATGCAGCAGGCCGCTAGCAATGTCGACATTCTTGGTAACCCTGAGAATGTCAAGATTATGAGCAACATCTTGAAGACAAACGTCTCGGCTTGCTCTTCGATCGGGTCATTCTTCCTTCCTCAGCTCGGTAGAATCTGGCTCGATATGCTCGGGTTGTACAGGACTGTCAGTGGAATCATCAGTGACGATGTTGCCAACCAGGGTAAGCAGCTTATTGTATGCGTTGAGAAGGTGTGCTAATAAAATTGCAGGTGAGGTCGCTACCAAGACACCCAAGGTCCGAGCCCTTCGAACTATCAAGAAGGAAATTCTCAAGCTCGTCGAGACTTACGTCAAGAAGGCCGAGGATACTCAGGGCGTTTATGACAACCTCATCCCGGGGCTCTTTGACGCGGTATTGGGTGACTACAACAGAAACGTGCCCGCCGCGAGAGACGCCGAGGTCTTGAACGTCACCGCTACAATCGTTTCGAAGCTCGGCGTGAGTAATCATCAAAGCACTTGCGGTGGAATACTGACTCGTGTGTACAGCCCATCCTCTCTCCCCAGATTGCCCCCATCCTCGACGCCATCTTTGAACCCACTCTCACTATGATCAACCAGGACTTTGCCGAGTACCCCGAGCACCGAGTTGGCTTCTTCAAGCTCCTGCGGGCTATCAACCTGACATGCTTCCAGGCGCTTTTGGAGATTCCTCCGGCGCAGTTCAAGTTGATCATCGACTCCATCGTCTGGGCCTTCAAGCACACCATGCGAGACATTGCCGACACTGGTCTCAATATCGCCTATGAGATTGTCAACAACTTTGCCGCTTCTTCTCCCGATATCTCCAACCAATTCTACCAGCAATACTTGCTGTCGTTGCTCGGTGATGTGTTCTTTGTCCTCACGGACGCCGACCACAAGAGCGGGCTGAAGATGCAGGGTATGTTGTTGGCGCAGTTGATTGCGTTGGTGGAGACCGGTCAGGTGCAGGCCCCATTGTTCGACCCGGCTCAGGTGAACGACGCGGGAATGACCAATGCGCTGTTCTTGAAGGGGTACATCTCTGACTTGTTGACAAACGCCTTCCCTAATGTGCAACCGTGAGTGACACCTCAATGTTCATTGTATCATCGCTAATACCTCAAAAGTTCTTCTCTTGCCACCTTTGTCAACCTCATGTTTGAGAACGCGTCCGACCACAACAAATTCAAGCTCACCATCCGAGACTTCCTCATCTCTCTCAAGGAGTTCTCTGGCGAAGACAGTGGCGAGCTGTATCTTGACGAGCGCGAGGCCGAGGCCGAGAAGCGGGAGAAGGAGCAGAGGGAGGCGGCGAGTAGGATTCCGGGAATGTTGAAGCCAGCGCAGATCGATGATGATGCCGAGTTATAGTGAGGGGGAGGCTGTGAGCGGGTATGGGGATGGGCAATGAGGAACCACACAATCAACTCGCATCTTTCAGCATCATCGCTGTCCCTCACTTTGGCGAGGGACATTCGACATTCACATTTCACAAAACCGGCATTGTTGTGTGGCAATAGCCGGCGGTCCAAGGAGGAAGTATAGGAGGAGGAACGAGTGTATCATCAACGTATAAAGAAGGCCAGAAGGGGTGTTTTGAATGTCTTTTCCTTTCCATTTTCTCTTTCTGGCTCTTCTGCTCAGCTCATTTCGCAACATACCATATCATCATCTCTAGCCTAATCCTTCACATACTGGCAAACGTCATGACACCTTGCGTGTTGCTTTCATACAGACTATACACCCTGTCGTTTTGGCTTCTCAGTATCTACTTCAGGCGCTAGTGTCAGTGTTGCAAGGAGATGAGTCTGTCTAATACTTTTTGATCTGGTTTCGTGCATTTGGTAGCGTATCTCTCATGACTTATGAATTCATTCTCAGACTCTGATCCCGCGTACTGGTCAGGAGTATACGAACGCAATACATGCTTTCAACGACATGAGCAGATGCAATATAACAAGAAAACTTTGTCGTCAGAAGATTGTGCACAGTATGATACAACTATATGCTAGTAGGAGACATTCCATCGCTTGCCCCACTCCCTCTCATGCCCATACCCATGCCTATGCCTGTCTCATGAATCGTCCGGCGCTTGCTCTTCTTGCTCCTCTGGAAGAGTGAATCGTGCTAGAGCATCTGGCATGACTGTCAGCAGGATCCTCAATTCAGGAGAGAGCTTTCTCACCCTTCGGGGCCAAGTTCTCTTCCTGCTGTAACCGCATGATCAATGCAAATGACTCCATCTCCTGCGCCACCTGCTTCTCATCAGCCATGCCCCTCCCGCGCGACGCAGCGAGACTTACCCGTAAAACCCTCAGCCCAGCTTCCGGGAACGGCCCATCCTCCCCTTCCCTCAAAACCACCTCCATCCTCTCCATCCTCCTGCCCCTCCCCACCACCGCACTAAACGCCCCCTTCCACTTCTTCTCCAATATCCTCCACTCCATATCCGAACACAGAATCGTCCTCTCCTCCGTCTCTCTTGCGCGGTGCATGGGATGATCCGGGTCGTGGTGGTATGGTATAGAGACGTATGATGAGGGCGGGTCGAAGGATGATTCGATGGGGTCTGTGAAGAGGATGTGGGGTATGCAAGGGAGGGTGAGGAAGAAGCGGGGGAGGTAGTGGGCGGGGATGTCGTATAGGTGTGTTGTGCTTCCGGTGACGACAAATTGGAAGCGGGCGTTGTCTTCAAAATTGTGGAGAATGAAGGATGTCCACTCGTTCAGGTCGTCGCCCTATGCTTGTGTCAGATGGAGTGTTTATAGCTGAAGACTCGAGATGCGTTCGACGGATATAGAGTCTCCTCGGGAGGAACTGATAAAGCAGAGCGACATAGGAACGCATATAACTGGAATTAGACTCACCTGCATTTGACCTAGCGCCTCAATAAAGTTGACAATGACCCTCAGCCCAGCTCCCCCTTCTAACTGAGGCAACGGCTCCTGCGATGGATGTGCCTGCACACCACTACTCTCCCGGGCGATACAATCCAGCGCATTCAAGAGGTCGTCGGGTGATGCCGAAGTCGGTTGCAGCGGGAGCGATTCGAGTAGCGAGTCCAATTGCGTTTGAGCGTCGGCGCCGGTATCGGGCGAGGCATGTTTGGAAGGCGTGCGGGGTGGAGAGACGGCGGAGAATGAATAGGATGCCATGAGTTGGGCGGTAGGGATGGGGGAGAGGGGAGAGTGTAAGAGGTATTCCATCGAGCAGGGTCGTAGAGTAGGGTTGGAGAGAGGTGATGATTCCCGTCAGCTTTCTTATAACGTCCATGACAAAGGATCATAAACAGAGTAGAACCCACCTTTGCCAAAGGTGCGCTGCCTGCTGCCCCGGCGCCATCTGCCACCGTCCTGGAGCCGACTGTGGCTCCCCTGGTCCGACTGGCGCCTGCTCCCCTCGCTGACTCTGCTGTTGCTGCTGCACCATCCTCGCATGCTGCTGGCTCGTACCCGGCGGGAACCCCTCATAGCTCTGCTCGCTCATATCGGCAATCACCTCTTCTCCTCCGGTCGGACTGGGGCCGTTCGACAGCGCCGGCGGGCGGTTGGTGCTAGCGGTCGACATTGTGGAGTTGGATCGGAACATTGCCACCTGGGGCGGCTGTGCTTCTTGCGGCGTCGTTCGGATGACGTGAATATGGTTCGAGGGCAATGGCTCGGAGCCGGCAGGGGTCTCGGGAGAAGTCTGATGCGTGGTTGGGGGTATGCTGTTTTGTGGGTACTGGAACGCCGCGTACGGCGGGGTCATAGGCAGCTGGGGAGAGCTGCCGTTCGGAGTCTGGTGGAGATAGTGCACAGGAGGGGGTCGGCGGTGGATGCTCAGAGGGGTACGATGCGGGGCGTTGACGTGCGTCGGCAGGGGAGAGGGATACGGCTGGTGCTGTTGGGGCGTGCAGGCATAGCTATGTTGGTAGAAGCTAGGCGAAGGCGCCGTGGTATCCATGTCGCCCGAGACGGGGGGGAGGATGGCGGCGGGGGTGTTTTTGATGGCGGTGAGGGGTGTTTGGATGGCGCCGGCGAGGAAGAAGAGAGAACGAGAACGCGAAATAAATGCGCTCATCTTCTCTTTCATCCATCCACCTGCATCACCGCCATGCTCCGTCTCGCCCCCGCCGCCCGTCTCGCCGTCCGACAGCTCTCCACCACCGCCGTCCGAAGGGAAGAGGCCGCTGCCGTCGGCACCGTCGGCGCTGTCCCCGTCAAGCGTCCTGTTGGAGGCTTCCGGTAAGTCGCGGTCACTTGGTGGTATCGTGTGCTCATCTTTGGAATGGCTTCTTGTTCTGTCCACAGCGGAGGGTAAGTGCTCTTCTGCATCTGCGTGAGCGGCGCTGACAACCCATGCAGTATCCTCGGATTCGTCAGTCCCAAACCCCAAACCCCCCGGCCGACGAGCTCGACTAACGCCCCATCACAGTTCTTCGGCTTCTCCTTCGCCTCCGCCCTCTCCATCTACTATCTCCAAGAAGAGACCAAAGTCGCCACCGGCCTCTTGACGTCCAGCATCGAGCAGCTCCAGCAGGGTACCGGTAAAGTGCGTTCTTTTGTCCCATACGCCGACGTCAATCGGGATACTCAATGAAGGCTGATGGGTTTGCACAAATGGTAGATAACAACCCACCTCGACCGACTCCAGACTGTCGAAAAAGAGCTCGCGGCGCTCAGGGCCAACGCTTCCGTGAAGGAGGACGTGACCAAGGTCCGAGGAGAGATGAAGAAGGTCTACGTGAGTCCACCCTCCTCTTTTGCATTTTGCACTGGGATGTATACTCATGGATTGTATAGGATGGCCTTCATTTGGAGCTTCTGGACTTGCGCGCGCATGTGTGGGGTGTGGAGCAGGACTTGCAGAATGTGGTCAAGACTGGTGGGTAACCCGACTTGGACGTGCAATGGCGCAACTGACCTGGGGGTGTAGAGTCTATCAAGATCTAATCTGGCTCCACTGCTATAGATACACTACCCAAGAAAATGCAACAGGTTCGCAGACACTCCCTCAGGCTTGACTTGTATCGGGCCATCAGGAAAGGTCGCCAATCATCACTCGCAAGACGTTTCTGAGCATAGTTGACCAAACTTTGGCTTATTGAGCACTATACTCATGATTAACAGAACGTTCGAAGCATCAAGGCGCCTTGTAGTGTTATCGCCTTCACCAGCTAACAACGAGGGTTCGCATGTCCCTCAAGCGTCGTGATGAGAGCCTCTGTTTCACCTTCTCGCCCCGTGAAACAAAGAAGCGAAGCCGATCTTCTCTAATTGTACTGATACCATGAAATGCTGTTTCAATCCATGCAATATCCCAACCCCACTCACCCTCTGCCACACCCACCACACTTCCGACGACCTCTCTCCTCCCACTCCAATCCCACCCTCTTCTCTCCCTCCTTCAACCTGACCCCATTATCCCCCCCCCTTCCTGCTCAGACCTCCTCTCCCGACGACGACTCTAGTCATGTACCTCCCTTCTGGGATTGACATGACGGCTTCTCCCAGGCTCTGTGTGGTGCTGGGGTGGAAGAGGAGGAGGGTTTGGTGGGAAAGGTAGCGGTGTCGGTGGGTTGTTTTATCGAGGTGGCTATCGCGAAGCGTCAGGCGAGTCCCTGCAAGGAACCAAACGGTATGGTTCAAAAAGACATGGTGCTTACTGTTCGAGTAGGTCATGTATCCACCTTGCCCATACCTTCACTCCCTCGTCCCTTTTCGATCCCTTGCCCTCCTCTTCCTCCTCCCCGGTGTCTTCACAAAGATACGCCTCCACCACACTCTCCCCAAAATCGGCACACCAATCCTCCATCCTCGCCCCATGCAGCACCACCTTCCGAAAACTATCCTGCTCCAAAAACTGGCTCAAAGCGGTGACGAGGCTGCGCGAGACTTTGTCCCGGGTAAGAGGGACGCAGAGAGAAGCGTTGTGCCAGCCGTACCCCATCTTGATCAGCAGCCTTGGCATCACCTTGTTCCCCCTTTTCTCCTCTTGTATCCTCCCCCACAACTGTTCCCCAAAGACGAGCCATTCACAACCCTGGAAGAGCGCAAGCCGCTTGTTCCGAGTGTCGAAATAGTGCATGATATGGGCGTTGAGCTGGGAGACAAGGAGTTTGCGAAAGAGGCTTATGGCGTGGATGGTGAGCAGAAAAGAAGGGGCGTCGAGCAGGGTGAGGTGGACGGTTTTGCTGATGAGTAGGAGTCTACGGGCGAGAAGGGGTGCGGAGAGGGCAGGGGCTCTGGAGGGGCGGCGTATGATATCTTCGTCCCCGAGCTTTCTCACATCCTTCCCTCCGTCCCCTCGTTCTGCACCAGGTCCACAATCACCTCCCAGTCCGGCATAGAAACCTAGCACATTCCCCTCGTGCAGCTGGACTGAAGTATAGGGAAGGTGGGCGAGGGCGGTGTAGAAGGTGCGGTTGATGAGGAGGAACGGGGTGAGGGAGCCGGTGGGAGGGTGTGTGAGGATGGCGTGGATGAGGATGGCTGTTGTGTGATGGTTTGCAAGTGGGCGGTGTAGAGGGACGGGTGGGAAGGGCATCGAAGGAAGGATACAAATGCAAAGGGAGATACAAACAGTGATTGGATTCACGCATAATGATACCCGTATGACTCACAGCTGACCGAGATAAGAATTCAACACGGAAAGGATGTACACAATAAGACAACCGTCGCTGCGCAGGCACACCGTCCTTCCCATCCTCATCCTCGACGGTGCCTCTCAGTGTTTGTTTCAGCTACGGACATGGTGATCTGTGGGAAGAGGACAGGGGAGTGTGGTGGAGAGAGAGCATATGGAGGGGTGTGCGACAGCCATGTTGAGTGACTTGGCATGTCGCCATCGTTCAACAACGCTCTGTCCGGCTTCTTCTTCCGAAGCGTCTTTCTGTCACTGTATCGTCAATCTATGTATCATACAAGGATCCTTCACCTATCTTGAAGTAGGATCAATATATATGTTCATAGATTGTTCAATATGGATGCCGTCGCCGCCCCTACAGCTGAGCCGGCTTCTCGTCGTCTTCCAGCATATAATCGCGCGCACGGAGGTCCCAAAGCCAGAACGGTCATCCAAAAGTGGATGGTCGTGACGATTGGTTTGCGCCTGGACGAAAGAAAGTGTAGAGAGAAAGGAAGGGATATCGGCGAATAGGCTATTTGTGACGGGTGGGAAGCTCAAGTCTATTATTCAGCATCCGTGAACAATTGCTGGCGCCGCAAAGCTCACTTCGTCATATTTCAATGAGCTGTATCCTCTCATTCGGCTCCAAGCAGCCCCACCCCTGCTACCGCCGATACTGTCGACTTGCTCCTCCGGGAATGTTGAAGCGCGGTCTCTGCTTTGCGGCTGTTTCTGAGGTTGGCGCATACCATCTTTGTCCTGGCATTCTTCTTCCCGTTAATTTGGCTTGTCCGATCACCACTGTTTACAGTCAGCAAGATGATGAATGTTGAACGATGCAAAAGTCCCCTTTTTCCCCTAGTCACATCGATTCTTGGTTACGAATGCATTATACTGCAAACGCAGTCTCTAACAACATCGACGGCCATAGCCTCCTCAAAGTACCGCGTCCCGTCTGATCCGCGAAGTCAACTAGGAGAGCGCTCGGTTAGTACCAGGGTGGGGGACCACCTGGGAATCCCGGGTGCCGTCGTTTTTTTGCGTTTCTTTTTGCTCAATAGTAACCACCGGGCTTGTTGATGACGGCAACATGTGGCTTTGCGACCTGTATCTTCTTCGACGAAGAAGTTGGGTGAGTTCGGCAATAACCGTCACGGGCGGATTGAAAGGTGTAACGTAAGACAGACGGGCCGTTCTCGAGAGGTGCGGCGATATGCTCCGATACCCCTACATGCATGCACGTTTCTCCCAGCCATGACGCCCCTCACTCGCTACACCCTCCACGGTATGCATCCTCAGCTGACAGGGAGCAATGCAAAGCGGCAAGACGGTATCGGCTTTGCACGGCGTTGTGGGCTGGGGGTTGTTTGTTGACACGGTGTCACCCCTGCTGTTACCCGTCGGGCGTGCCTGGGGCAATTACGTGGTGAATTTTCCAATTGACTCGTTTTTGGCTTTGCGACTACGCCCAGAAGTCCAAGAGGGATTGCGACGACTCGAATTTCTTGGAGCATGTATATTGGAATATCTTTTTTGCTTCTTTCCTCTTTGTCATCTGTTCCAACACACTCTCAAGCCCTCTACTTGATATTTTACTCGATAACCGCCCAGGTCCTCTCGCTACAGAGTCATAATATTAGCCCGACGCGACGCGATCCTCTGCAGTGTCCACCTACAGACTTGATACGACAAATCACAAACCAAGACAACAATGGGCTTCTTTGACTTTCTCCCCTGCTGCGGTCCTCGCCCAGGCAAATCCTCTTCTCCTGTACGCCCACCTTCCTCCCACGACATTCAATAATGTGTGATAGTCAGCTGACCCAAAAATCTTCTTTTCCAGCTTTCCCTTTCCCGCGAAACGACAACTCTCCTACCTCCCTCGGGCCCCGGGAGGGAAGGGTCATTTTTGACTACTTCCGACCCTGGTCTTTCCCTCACTTTGACGCTCAGCGGCGGTGCAGCAAGCGGCGGTGGAGGGGGAGTGTACGGAGCGACCACAGGGGGCGAGCGGTTGACTGAGGAGCAGTTGAAAAAGATCCAAGCTATTCGCGAAAGTACCCAAGGGTACGCACTTTTCCCACAAAAGATGCACTGGCAACAAGCTGATAAAGATGATTTGTAGGTATATGCTGCCAGTGCAATCCATGCCCCCGCGCTCGCATCTGAGCATGTCCCGAACCTCCACCGCCCACACCCACCCTTCATCGCTATCATCATCTTCCCCTTCTCCTTCCCTATCATCCTCCCGACCGTCATCACGCCCTTCTTCCCCAGCAGCGCTTTCGAGCCGAACGGTGCGGTCACCAGAGGCGTCGCCATATCAGCCTACCGGGTCTCTTCCTGGATCTCCAGAAGGAGGAGAGGGCGAGAAAGGGGACGATGTGGTTCGGAAACAGCTGTTCATGGGTAATACGCCTATGGGGAGGGGAGGGCGGAAACCTAGTGGGGGTGCGAAAGCGAAAGCGAAGAAGGGGAAGGGGAAAAAGTAGATTTCATAGAGAGGGGCGGAACGAAGGTGACAGCAGGATGGGAAGGAAGAGAAGGAGCGATCTTGTTGTATCTCTGCATCCAAAAATACTCATTCTTAGACAACATATTCAATTGTAGCATCTAGCCATTCATCAAATGCATTAATCTTGGTTCTGGCTATTCTGAGACTCTGATATTCTTAAGTGCCCAAACGAGATGTTCGCCCTCGGCTGCAAACCGCAACTCTATACACTTACTTACGTACTACTCTACCTCCACCGACAGCAGCAATATGTCCAAATCCGCGTTTCTGCTATTGACTGGAAGCGGCTCACTGCTCACATACCCAAAGAAACAGCAAAGAAAAGCTAGTGCGGCTATGCCCGCCACCGGCCCCGAGGCTGTGGTCGGAATCGGGATAGGAGCCGGGCGCGGTTGGCCGAGGTTGACTGAGTACACTATATAATACCATCTCCAGTCGTTTCTTCAAGAGTTATGTACAGAATGCTCTCACGCTTTTCCCCCCGATCACTATCATTCCCCCTACGCTCCCGGTTTCTCATCCACATCTCAACTCCGCAACATGTCCAGCGGTGCGTTCTTCCACATCTTCCAGCGCCATTTCGAAGAAGCTGATGTCATCAAAACAGCCCCCACAGCAGCCCAAGTAGACGCCTACCTATCCCCCAAGCTCCTCCACCCCTCTTTCGGCGCCGACCCCGCCCTCTCATCATTCCACACCAAAGCCCGCGCCGCGCGCCTCCCGCCCATCTCGGTCTCCCCCCTCCAAGGCCAGTTCTTGAGCATCCTCGCCTTGTCCATCGGCGCCGAGCGGATCTTGGAGCTCGGGACGCTTGCGGGGCACAGTACGGCTTTGCTGAGCAAAGCGCTGCCGAGGCATGGGCAGATTGATACCCTTGAAGTCAACCCGCGGCACGCTGCTGTGGCACAGCGAAACTTTGAGGATGCGGGCTTGGTGCCGTTCCCCACCATCCATATCGGGCCCGCACTGGAGACTTTGCGAAAGATGGAAAAGCCAGAAGGGGGAGCGTATGATCTGATGTTTATTGATGCGGATAAGGAGGGGACGGTGGAGTATGTCAAGGAGGGGTTGAGGTTGGTGAAGAAGGGAGGGGTGATTCTTGTCGATAACGCTGTGCTGCACGGGACGTAAGCCGTTCATCCTTCTCATATATTTGTGTACTAGAGGTAATCTGACATCCGAGATAGGATCGCCCAAAGCAGGAAGGAAGAGCCGTCCTCAGTCGTAGAAGGTATGCGCAGGCTCTACGACTGGATCGAGGAAGATGCAGGCAAGACGGTACTGGCGAATGTGACGCAGACCGTTGGCGCAAGGTCTTGGGAGTGAGTCATCCCTCTGACATTTTTTAAGGGTGCATGCTGATGTAGGGCTTGAAGCGGATTTGCTATCATGTACAAGCTCGTCGACTGAAGAGGCGGACTGGGGACACCATGATGGGAGTTGTTCGGATTCTGTCCATAGTCTATGAACCCAATGCATCACTCACAATGACAATCGTTACCATTTGCCACATTATGCGCCTTCTCTGAGCCAAATTCGAGTGATTAGAATGCGATAAAGCCCCTGGACAATACAAGGAAGATTCAGTGACATGGGCAAGTTGAGTGATCCGTCCCCCACCACAGAACACGACGCAGCGAGGTCCATTGTCGGAGGGATGCACCTCTACAGCCATCCTACCTCCTCTGAGCACCATACCAGACCGTCGATAACTTTTGTACGCCTCTTATACATGCATCTATGCTGATACGCCCCAAAACGCATCGATGTCCAGATATAGAACGAGGCGGCGCTTACGTACGGACGGTTGCGCGCGGCTGTGAAACATCGGGTGATGGACCGGTTGGCCGAGCTCTTGTGCCATCTCCTGTCATTTTCCCATTTCGGCCGGCCATTTCATCCCCCACAATGTTCCCACGCCTCTCCCCCCGCGCCCTATATAACACAGCCCCCCGCCCCTTCCATCGCCCATCCCCGGCACTTGTCAGGAATATGACTACTCCCACACCTGTTTGGAAACCGGACGCGTCGTACGAGCGAAGGGATATGCCGCCTAGAGATGCTGGCGAGCCGTCCAGCGGTACATCTCCCTCTCACCCCACGTTTGCGCAAGAGCTGATAAAGAATGCGACCAGGCCCCACAGCAGGCCAAGTCGACGCCTACCTCGCCCCAAAACTCCTCCACCCCTCCTACGGCGCCGACCCCGCGCTGCCCGCCATCCAATCCCGCGCACTCGAAGCAGGCATCCCCCCCATCTCCGTTTCCCCCCTCCAAGGCCAGTTCCTCAGCATCCTCGCCCTCTCCATCGGCGCCGAGCGCATCCTCGAGGTCGGTACGCTTGCGGGGTACAGCACGGCGTTCTTGAGTAAAGCGTTACCTGGGCATGGGCAGATTGATACGCTCGAGCTGGACCCGCATCATGCGGCTGTGGCGCAGGAGAACTTTTTGAATGCGGATCTATTCCCTTTCCCGACGATCCATGTTGGGCCGGCGCTGGAGACGCTGAAGAGGTTGGAAAAGCCCGCAGAGGGGGCGTATGATTTGGTGTTTATTGATGCGGACAAAGAGGGGACGCTGGGGTATGTCAAGGAGGGGCTGAGGTTGTTGAGGAAGGGGGGAGTGGTGGTGGTCGATAATGCTGTGAGGAGTGGCAGGTGAGTCTCTCTCTTCCGAGTCCGAGTCCTGGAAGGATAAGGCTGATGCGTGATGTAGGATCGCTCTTAGCAGGGAGGAAGAGCCGTCTCCCAATGTCGACGGTATGCGCAGGCTCTACGACTGGATTGAGCAAGATGGAGGGAGGACAGTGTTGGCGAATGTGACCCAGACCGTTGGGGCAAAGTCCTGGGAGTGAGTCTCATCTTCTCTCTTGTAGAGTAGACGCTGACGCGGGGGGCCTTGTAGTGGGTTCGCGATCCTGTACAAACTTGTCGAGTGAAGGAGCAAGGTAAATCGAGGGAAGTAGGGGTGTCAGAAGCCAGGAGCCGTCTTGATGTGTAACATATGCAGCGACTCAGTCATCCCAAGAAAGATTGTGTACATACATGACTCCTTCGCACCGTCCAAAGATACAACTCTTCGCCCACTCTCCATACTATAAGGCTATACCCAAATCTCTCCAATCCACTATAAATCTAGACCCAAACCATCATCCCAAAATACCTCCCCCATCGCCTACGCCCCATAACCCCCATACCCCCCCGCCCAACTATGCCACCCCCCATTCCCCTCCGTATTCCAACCCCCAGCCGGATAATACCTCTGCGCCGACGTCCACTCTGCTTTTTGCCCTCCCTCGCCTTGCCACGCTGTCCACGGCGGCAGCATCGGCGGCCCGTTCTCAGCCGGGGTGGCCGTATAAGGAGCGTAGGGGTAGGGATAGGGGTAGGGGGAGGGGTAGGATGCGAATGGGATTTCGGGTGGGGGTGGGGGTATGACGGGAGGAGGAGGAGGAGGGGGGAGAGGGGGTGGAGGGATGGGAGGCGCAGGTGGGGCGGCTGCTGCTTTTTCCTCTGCCTCTTTTGCTGCCTTCTCTTCGGCCTCTTTCGCCGCCTTTGCTTCTGCCTCGGCTTTCAGGACTGGTAATATCGGGGTGTACTCTGGGAAATACGAGGTGTGTTTCCAGGCTTCGCTGACTGCCGGCGATGGCGGCTCGTCGTGCTGATACGAAGAAGACGACGAGGCGTTGGAGATGGGGGAGAGAGGCATGGGGGTGGAGGGGTATTTGGTTTTCGAGCTAGGCGGAGAAGGGAGAGGACGGCTGGGATCTTCCTTCACGCCGGCCACCCCGCTCGCCGGCACCACCCCCGCCATCCCTCCCTGCCCCTGCCCCTGCCCATCTTCAAGATATTGATACTCCCTCTCATGCTCACCCATCATCGGCCGAGGTCCACACGGCCCACAAAGCCCAAACGACCGCTTCTTCTTCACGCCCTTTCCCTCCTTCCTCCCGCCTTCCACCCGCGCCTTTTTGTACCCCTCCCCTTGGTAGGTGTATCCCCCCTCACCGGCCTCGTGCGAAATATGGCTTTCCGGGGTAAGCGGGATGCGGGCGACGTCTTCGAGGAAGAAGACGTGGTTGCCAGGAGGCTTTTTTTGGAGTTTGTTTCCCCGGGGAGCAGGGGTGAGGGCGGGGGGCGTGTTGGGTGGGGAAAGATGGGTGCCAGCGGGGATCTTTTCGTCCCACGTCACGGGCATCGGCAGAAACTTCAAGGACGAGCGCCGGCGGATCACCGCTGGCTTCTTGTTCTTCTCCGGAGGGGGGACTGGTAAGGGGCGTTTGGCAGCGAGAGGTGGTGATGGGAGGGTGTGAGGGCGGAGGAGGGAGTAGGGGTCGATAGCTGGGGCCGGGGGAGGAGGGACTGCCATGTTGTCTGTCTATGTCCAGGCCAGCTGATCGAATGGAGGCGTGGTGGTTATCTTTTGGTGTATTGCGGTTATTTTGATTGTCCAAGTACAACGTGAATGGTAAATGATCCTGAGAAGGGATGTTTTCATGTTTTGATGAGCCAAAGGGGCGCAGAGACGATTCACCCAACAGGACAGCTGTCGACCAGGAACAAGCCATCGCGAGCGAGGGAGGTCAGAGGGGCGCGCTGTTTGTATGGGGTAGCGGGCTATCATAGGGGCGGGGTCCGGGTACGTGCTACATCCCGCATGGCTCAGTACTATCTTCGCGCTCGGGGCTCTCGCGGACGGGATGCAAACGACGGACTGACGGAGCACGGGTTCACCTCGGGCATCCGTATAAAGTGGGGGGCTGGCGCAAAGGGCGCGGGACGCTCCACTCAAACGGGCCTCGTACCGATTGCCCTGTTCAGAATCAGTTCAGGACTGTCCCGAGCGCTGTGCGTTCTCCCTCTGGGTCTGTCCGTCAGTCCAGTATTCCTAACGATTCGACCAATCATGCATGGAGTGTGCAAAGCATCGCCCGCTCCAGGACTACGATCTACGCTTCTACGCACTCCGGACCCCGGACTGGTCTCTCCATTCTTCAAAGAACCTCATCATGTCGGGGGTGATCCTTCTCCTGACCGTCATTGCTGACTGCGTGAGATGGATGCCCTTGACCTGTGCCATGTCAGCATGGAAAGACAGTTGTAGAGATAGGAAAGACGCACGAAGGGAGCGTTGAGGTCTTCATTCATAGCCGACAGAGCAGCATCTTGACAGATCGAAACCACCTCTGCACCCGAACAACCCTCAGTCTAAAGTACAGTCAGCTTGCCATCGTTTTCAACATCATCAACTTACAAGCATAGCAAGATTCCCAACATCCACCCCCGGCTCCACCGCCATCTTGCTCAACCTGATCCTAAAGATATCTTCCCTCGTCTCTCTATCGGGCGCACCCACATACAAGATCCGGTCCAGTCTTCCGGGTCGCATCAAGGCAGAGTCGAGCACGTCCGGACGGTTCGTGGCGGCGACGACGGTGACGCCCGAGAGTTCTTCGACGCCGTCCATTTCGTTGAGGAGGGAGGTGAGGACGCCAGAGTGGTTGGTGTCTTCTCCGCGGGCAGAGCCGAGGGCGTCAATCTCATCCTACAGAGAAAGTCAGCTGGAGTGGAATAAGGATTGGAATGGACAACTTGCGAAAAAGATGATTGAAGGTGCGGCTGCCCGAGCTTTACGGAAGATCTCTCGCACAGCTCTCTCAGATTCACCAACATACTTGTTCAAAAGCTAGACTGCTGTCAGCAAAGGCCCCCTCTCTCTAGGCCATGCTACTCACTTCAGGACCCTTGACAGCGATAAAGTTGATACCACTCTCCGTAGCCAGCGCCTTTGCCGTCATCGTCTTGCTACACCCCGGCGGGCCATACAGCAAAACGCCCCTCGGCGCTTCCACCCCCAACCTCACAAACGTCTCTCTATGCGTCAACGGCCACTCGATACACTCTTTCAGCTTTTGCTTCACCTCCCCCTGTCCGCCGATATCATCCCACTTGACCGACGGTGTCTCTATAAACACCTCCCGCATAGCGGAAGGGCGGATGGAAGGGAGAGTGGTGAGGATGTCTGTGTTGGTGAGCAGGGGGTCGGCGGGGCGGGATGGGAGAGGGGTGGAGGAGTAGCGGGCGATGGCGGAGGAGGCGGATTCGCGGACGAGGGAGAAGAGGTCGGCGCCGACGTAGCCGTGGGTGCGGGAAGCTAGGGAGGCGAGTTCGGGTTCGGTGAGGGAGTGGGGGATTTTGGAGAGCATGATGTTGAGGATTTCGCGTCGGCCAATCGCATCCGGCACGCCTAGAGAGCAGTGGTCAGTAACTGACTTGGAAGTATTCGGTGAGGAGGGCTCACCGATCTCGATTTCCCGATCGAATCGGCCAGGACGTCGGAGAGCAGGATCAATACTATTAGGCCTATTCGTAGCAGCCACCACAAACACCCTCTCCCCAGCCAAGCTCTCGTGGCTCATCCCATCCATCAAAGTCAACAACGTAGCCACCACCCTCCTCTCCACTTCACCCCCGTCCCCGCCATCTCTCCTCGGACAGAGCGCATCCACCTCGTCCAGGACGACGATACAAGGACTCCTCTTTCTCGCTTCGGTGAATACACCGCGGAGACGTTCTTCGGTTTCGCCGTGGTACGCTGAAGTGAGTTCGGGGCCGTTCACGACGATACATGAACATCCTGCGGACGAAGCGACGGCGCGGGCGAGGGCGGTTTTGCCGGTACCGGGTGGGCCGTGAAGCAGGATACCGCGCGGGGGGTTGAGGCCGAATTTAATGTAGAGTTCGGGATGGAGCATGGGTAGGTCGAGGAGGGTCTTGATCTGGTCGATCTGGGACTGAAGACCGCCTAGGAATGTGTATGCAGAGTCGGGGGACTGGGAGGGGGTGAAGAGGTTGATATAGGATGGGACAGAGTCTGAGAACTGCTTTGACGATCCCAGCGTTAGTGTGGATGATATGGGTAAGACTCGGGACGTACAGAGCCTTTGGTAGTGATCTTGCCGTCCTTCTCTTCCTTGACTCCCTGCCCTGCCTTTTCTTCCCCATCCAATACGATCGCCGTCTTCCAATGCATCTCACACACCTGTACCTCTTCTCCACCAATTTTGAGGTCCAGAAGGGCGTCTTCGAGGGAAGCTGCCTTGCGCTTTTCGATATCTTTGGCAGAGATTTCGACAGAGGTGATTTCGAACTTGCGAGGCACTTTTTCGGCGTCACCGACGATGACAGAGAAGCCCGAGCGGACATAGTAGATCGATGCTAGTAATGGTCAGATACAGAGAGACATAGATGGAGGGGATGACTCACTAAGGGCTTCTTTCACCGCGGCCTTACACCAGACTTGCTCTCTCGGACTGTTCAGGTCGATAGGCGGAGTCTTTCCCTTGGAGGATGATGGGGCATCCGCAATGTGAATCTCCTTGACAGTGACAGACACTATCCTCCCCTGACTCTGTCCAGCTTTGAATCGGTAGACTTCCACCGCGGGTCCTGCGAGATTGTCGATCTGGACCGGGCAAAATCCGACAGCTGTTCTCTACATCAGCTAGATTCTTCACCAATTCTTGTATATACACGCACAGTCCTCGCTGATCCCAAGTTTGGGCCATGCCTGAGCGACAGTAGAGCCATTGTCGGATTTGAATAATAGCCAGTCACCGGCGACGATCTTTTGAGATTTGAGGAATGCGGGAGCGAGGTAGGCCCGTCGAGCTTCGCGGGTGATGACTCCTGGTACTGTGTCTTGCGCCGGGATTGCTTTGAGGCCGGCGAGGGGGGTCATGGTGGTGATTTGAGCCGTCTAGGGGACCTTGTAGAATCAACTTTACGAAGGATACGAATTGGATACGAACGAACTTTTGATTTTGGAGGAACGAGAAATGCTTCCGTTACGGCGGCGATCCGAAACGCACCCTGGTCGCATGCGAATATCGATTTTGTCTTGGGTTCAAAATGCAGAGCCCACCGTACAAGGAATGTCTATAAAGGGCTCTGTTCAGCTTGGATCGGTCACCATAGAGCTCCTCTCAGACTCTGCCTTGCCATCCCCCTCTACTTGGTCCTCTCTCGATCCCCTCAAGCTCCAAACCATCAAGGACCTCGCGTCGCCCGCTTCCGGACCCAAAGTCGATCTTTTGTCACAAGCTTTCAGAGACCCCGGGCTAGGGCTACAAGCAGAGTGGAGAGACATTGGAGATGGTCGAACTGCGCGGATACGATGTTTTATAACACCGAGCGATGTTGGGGGTAGCATCTGGAAGCAGGTGCTGTGGCGTGGTCGAGAGGCTGTAATAAAGGGTCTATTGAGCTCCTTGACTACAGAGTGGGAGATAGAGGATAATGGTGGGCGCACTATACTGCAGTTGACTGTAAGTCAGGCTGGGATGTGTTTGAGATGAAGCTGACTCATATCCAGGACGAAGATAATCATAATATGCAAGACATCTACGCCTCTGTACCCTCTCCCACAGATCCTGATTTCGAGCCCACCGAATCCCCTGTAGATCAAGAGATACATCGGAGTCTGCAAAACTATGAGAATCCCGAGGGTGTCAAAGCCGAGATGTATCTGTATCAAATCGTGAGTGTCCAGCATTCCGGTGTGAATACTGCTTACCAAGTCTGATAGAGATCGGTTGCCAAGATGTTGCAGATGGAGACGCAACCCAAACGCTTGGTCGACCCACTATTCACCCCCTTGAAGGAAGCTGGCGCCGACAGGATATACTATGTCAATATGTCGAATTGGGATATACAACGACATCCTGGATGGTATGACCTTCCCCGAGGTGGCGTTCTGTGAGTCCGTTTCCAGTCTTCGTACGGTGACACGCTTACGCGTATTAGGTGCGAGCAGATGGGCACTGGCAAGACGTTGATGTGCCTTTCGCTAATCGTTGCCACACTCCACCAATCTACCCAGCCACCCACCACCGAAATCGACATCACTCCCACGTCGACCGAAATCGCCGAGCGATCTTACCCCTTCACTGCGTATTCTCAACTCCGAAGCCTCACCGGCTTCCCTACCTCTCGAACCAACTTTATCTTTCCCTCACTCGTCGAGCTCTCCGCGAACGTCTTATCGGTCCACGATCCATCTTCGATATCATCCCCATACCTCCCGCCCCATCTCACCGCCCTATTAAAGAGGAACGCCTTCTACTGCAGTCTACCGCCGCCCCAGGAGTGCGTCAGAGAAGCAAAGAGGAATGCGATGCGGAGGGATGTAAAAAAGACATATCTTGCGAAAGGGACTTTGGTGGTGGTGCCTCAGATATTGGTGGCACAGTGGAAGGGTGAGATTGAGAAGCATGTGGAGGAGGGTGTATTGAACGTGTACGAGGTCAGCGGAGAACTGCCTCCAATAGACAAGCTGATGGAGTATGATGTAAGAGAACATCGTCTTCTGTGCGTGGATATGCTGACATCAGTCACAGGTCATCCTCATGGACGTTGCTCGTATGCAATCAACTGTGTTACCAAACGTTCTGCGGCTTACCGACATCTATAGGCTTCGCTCACGAAGAATCTTCTCGCCGAGAAACGCACAAGCTCCCACCATCAGTCATGTTGCAAGCTCGCTGGAAACGTATCATCCTTGGTACGCTTCTACTCCTCCTACCTCCTTCGTTGCTGATAAAGTGCCCAAGACGAGGGACATGTTGCCCATAACAAGACTACTAATGCTATGCTTTTCGTCAGGCAACTCAGCATAGAACGGCGGTGGATTGTCAGCGGCAGTATGTGCAAAACTTTACATTCAACCATCGTGTACTTACCATGCCCACAGCCCCTACTCGGCACTTGCAGCAGGGCGGCGAAATCGAGCTGGAATTCATGGACACATCTTCCCATGCCCCTTCCATTCTCACCAATACCCAGCCCCAGAGCCGCAGAGCTTGGTCCAAGCGCGATATGGAAGACGCCACTCGTCTTGGTACTATGATTGGCGGAATCCTCGCTGCTGAACCGTTCAAGTCGGAGGGCAAGTTTCAACAATTAGTCGCTGCTCCTCTAAGGAGAAAAGAGGGGCCAGACTTTGGGGCAGTTGGGCGGATGAAGTACCTACTGGGAGGGTTGCTGGTAAAACATGGGTATTTAGCGCCTCCAGTGATTTGGGAAGAGACTAACACGGGGCAGACCCAAGGTGATAGACCTGGAGGCTCAGCTACCACCCTCGACCACCATCAAAGAAGTCATACAATTCGACCCAATGCAGCGCTTGACGTACAACGTCCTGGCAGCCCTCGTCGCCAGTAACGTCTACACCAGTACGCCACCGCCCCCTTCTGGTCAAGAGTCATGCTAATGGGCGACTAGGTGGCGGTGAAGATGCCGACTACTTTCTCCACCCCCGCAACGCCGAGTCATTCCACCAAGTTGTCACCAACCTCCACCTCGCCTGCTTCTGGTACTCTGCCCGAGATATGGACACTTTCGGCTGTCTTTTGCGTACCCGCGAATGGCTCGAAAAACACCCCGATCGCCCGGTACACATTCGAGAGAGGTTGGAGGAGGCGTGCTGGCATTTGGAGAGGGCGGTGAAGGAGGAAGGGTGGGTGGAGTGGATGGGGAATGCGATTTCGATGCCGTGTGACGGCTCTCTCCTTCCTTCCATCCTCAAAGAGGCATGGTCCGATTCGTTCGATACGAAACCCGACATGGTCGATATCCACAGTCTCAACATTCTCCGGGAGCTGAACGTCAAAGGAGCGAACTTGCAAGGGCTGCATATGGCAGGATGGGCGAGTAGGGTGGAAAAGTGTGATTGGTTTTGGGAGGTGCTGGGCAAGGGGTATACGACGGCGCAGATAAGGGAGCTGCTGGGAGATAAAGCACCCAAAGCGGCAAGGCCGAAGAAGGAGAAGACGAAGGAAGATGCCAAGAAAAGTGTTACTGCCACGACCACGGCCGCGCAAGCTCCTCGTGAAGCACCCAAATCGCCTTCCAAGCCCAGAAGAGGCAAGAAGAGCGATGGAGATGAGATTGACTCTAGGCTGGACGAAGCTGGCAAGAACGCCCGGCTGGCCGAAGCTCTCAACGACAATCGCCCGACGCCTCTTCCTTTTTCAATCCAGACCAAAACAAAGTCTGCCAAAGTCAACTTTGTGCTCAGAACTATATTGGCAGCTCCGGAAGAAGACAAGTTTGTCATCTTTGGAAGCACGTATGAGCTGGGGCATTTGACGGAAGGATTGGACATGTGTGATGTGACGACGTGAGTCCGCCCCCAGTTTACTCCGATCTCTACCTGACGTTTCATCGTCTAGCTGTTTCGTCGGACATACTCTAGACGCGAAACATAGGCGACAAGCTTTGGACAGGTTCGAGTCGCCAGAAGTGAAAGTCTGCTTGTTGGATCTGCGGCTCGCAGCGCGTGGACTGTGAGTCTACTTGCCAGTATCGATCTCATCAAGAGTATGCTGACTCGCAAACAGAAATCTGGTGGTAGCCAACCGCATGATCTTTCTCGCTCCCATATGGAGTCCCGATATTCAAGCGCAAGCTATCAAAGTACGCCATCTTCCCATCTCCCTCGGCTTTAGCTAACGTTGCTGGCAGCGAGTACATCGTATAGGCCAAACCCGTCCCACTACGGTGCAGATCCTGATCACGGAAGGCACGTTTGAAGAAGATATCGCCAATCGAGCCAAGTCGAGCAGGTCGGATGATGAGGAAAAGATGTATTCGCGAGCTATGATCGAGGTTTGTCCCTTCTACGCTTGTTGCGGGAGAGAAGGCTGATGATGGGTGTAGAATCCGAGGTTTGCGTATGCGGAGAAGGAAGAGGAAGAGAGTTTCGAGGTGAGATTCTGTCCGAAGAGGGATTGGGCATTGAATAGAGAGAAGAGGGAGAAGAGGGAGGGGCCGGCGTCACCACCACCACCATCGAAACGTCGGCGTGTCATGTTTGTAAGCCCTACCCCGTTGCCCGAGCTGCCGACGAACGGGCATGTCAAGTCCGAGGCGCTGAAGAGAGAAGCAGAGGATAGACCGGGAGAGCCGAAGAAGAAAGCCCGAATATCTTTTGCATGAGGAATCTTGTTGAAGAGTTGTACAACACATATAGACACCCTGCTCAGTATACGGGCGCAAACACAGGCCCTCTAGAGTTTCGCCTTTACCTTGGAAACATCCACATCCACCATCCCTCCCTCAATCGCCCCCTTTGTCTGCTTCCCCTTCACATTAGCCCTTGTCACCCCCTCCTGCCCCGTCGTCGCAATCAACACCCCATCCCAAGTGTATATCCTCCCCCTCGCGAGGCCCCTGCCGGACGACAAGTTGACGCTCTGCGACTCCATGACGTGCAACAGCGGGGCGGCGGGGTCGAAATTGGAAGGGAAGGGGTAAAAGTGGATAGCGTGGTCGAGGGAGGCGAGCATGCCGAGACGGGGGGTGGAGTTTTGGTTCATGCCGACAGAACGGGCGGCGGTGCCGATGAACTGAAAGTCGGAGATGTAGGAGATCATTGCCTGGGACAGTTAGTATATATTACGGCTGAAGGAGGGAAACTTGCTTTGACGGTCTCGACGTTGGTAGGCTCGGGTCCGAGATCTCGGATTCGTAGCCAGCTCATGCGCGAACTGGGATACGGCGCATTCTCTTCAGGGGAACCGGCCTTCCGGCGTCCGCGAGAGATAGATACGGGAGAAGACCGCCTCTCCTGGAAACGCATTAGCCAGAAGTCGTACGGCAGAGTGAAAATTTACACTGATATACTCTTTGAAGAACTTTTTCTGCCAAGGCTTCTCTACGTCTCCATGTTGCTGCACCCATTTCTCCAAAAAGTCCGCATCGTCCTCGCACTCGGAGGGAGGACAGATGTCGTCAGGAAAGGGCGTTTGGAAGCTAGGAAACACCCTGCCCTCTTCTGGGAGAGGCAAATCGGGACGTGGGACTTCGGTCGAGAAGGCCATACTGTGCTTGCTCTTCCCCTGCCCAGCAGGATAAGCTGCGAGACCCAAGTTTTCAGGAAGCGCTGTAGGCGGGAGAGAGTAGCTCGCCATAAGTACAAAGATATCACTGTCCCCTTGCCAAGCCCTTACCAGCCTGGCCGAGTAACTTCTCCCGTCGTTCAGTTTTTCGACCTTGTACTCTATCGTCGGGCTCTTTTGCGCCGGGAGGAGAAAGTAGCAGTGGGCGCTGTGGAGGCCTAGTTTGGGGGATACGGTGGCCGTGGCTGCCATGATGGCCTGGGCGAGGATCTGGCCGCCGAATACGCCTCGAGCGCCGGAGGGGACCCAGAGGTTCTGGGAGAGGGAGGACATGGGGTTGGAGGGGTGGGGGGTGACGGCGACATGGTCCTCGAGGCGGTTTGTCATGGTGCTTAGGGAGGGGAGGGGGGGTATACACAAACGAGGAGAGATGGTAATAGAGATAAAAAGTTGTAGATGAACAGATGGATACTCGGAAGAAGCGTCCGCGGTAACCGGAGGCGGCCGCCGGGCATTGGCCACAGCCCACAGCACCGCACGCTTGCTGCAGTTCCGTCGTCGACTGAGTCTTTGCTGATGGGCCCTCTACTCTACTTTACTGCACCGCACATGGTCATACATGAGGGAACAGATCCGTCTATCTCTTCTCGGTATGCCACCCATAGCGACTGTGCTCAAGGTCGATTTGTCATAGACGCGATTGACAAGTGCATTCAATGTCCACAGCTAGACAACTCAAACCATTCCCCAAGCTCTGCCACCCACTAACGCATCATACCATCTCATCCAAATATTACTCTCCCCAACCCCATCAGAACGCCCATCCCTACAGCACCCACCAGCCCCGCCAACGCCAGGTCCCTCTTCTGCGAGGGTTTTGCCAGAGGGTCGAGGGACGGTGGAAGATCGGCCAGGGTTCGGGTGAAGAAGGGATGGATTGTGGGGAGGGAGAGTGGTCCGGAGCTCGAGGCGGGGGAAGGGGAGGGTAGAGAGGGTGCGAGAGATGGCGAGGCAATCTCCGGGATGGCGGAGGCTAATTCCAGAGGTGCTTGTTCCTCTTGCACCACCTCTTCTTTCGCACGCTCTTCAACGGCAGAGAGAGCTTTGGCAGCTTCAGGCCCTGCCCCCACGGCGACTACTCTTTCTAAATGCCCCTCCACTCCTTCCAGCCTTTGATCAACCTTGGCCATCATACTCGACACCCTCTCTTCCAGCTTTTCCACCAAACGCTTACGCTTCCACGGCTCGACAATCAGCACAGCCCCGATAAAGACGATCAAGTTCAGAGCTAAACCGGCTACGTTCGCCCAAGTGGACACCGAGCGGATCTTGTCGCTCCACACTTGCTCCTCATGGTATCTCTGCAGAATAGTCTGCATCAACCCCGAAAACGCCCTATCCACCCCGACCTCTGCCTTCTTCATCTCCTCCGCTGTCCTTGCCACCTCATGCGATGAGGAATGGTCGGCACGGACGAGGGTGGTGAAAGTGGAGACGTCCGAATCGGTCCAAGAGTGTTTGCGCTCGAGGAGGGCGTTCATGGAGGATTGGGCGGAGGAACGGGCGGTGATGGCGAGGTCGTATGCGGCTTTTGTGGATTTCGCGTGATCTCGGAGTTTTTGGAGCTCATCCTCTGTTCGATTGGTTAGTGTTGTACGGCAAGCAGATGTAAGAGAGAGGTGGGGACGTACCTTTAGTGAAGACGAGATGCTTCAACCGCTCAACTTCCAGATAACCAGTCATCTCATTGACTTTGAAGCCCAGCTCGATAATTTTTTTTTGCGCTTCTTGGACGACCTGTTGGGAGTGCTTCATGACCAGGGAGCCCCATTCTGTGAGGCGTTCGCGGACCTCTGGAGGAATGGTAATGTTTGCGGGGAGGACGAACGGGGAGGGCGATTTGCGATTAGGAGCTGAAGTGGTAGTTGCAGGAGAGCTAGATTGTGAGGAAGGGAAGGATTGGGGTATCGTATCCGTATCCCTACCTGTTGATAATGGCGGTGGGGAGAGCGGTATAGAACTCGAGCTCGGACTGGCCGTACTTTCGCTCGCCGACGCTGATGATGGCGATGCCTCTGCCCCTTCAGCAGCCGCTCTCGCCTCGGCCCTCTTCTCAAGCTCCTCCTTTACACTCTTCATAGCCTCCTTGTCCCCTCTCTCGTCTCCAGACACGCTTGAGCTAGCCCACCGCCGACCCTCAGAAGCGCTTATGACGCGCCGGCATGATGGAAAGACGCTTGGTCCTCTGGACAGGCGGGAAGAGGAGGGGGCGAAGAGAAAGCAGGATAGGGCTGCTGATGCTGGTGCGAGGGCGCGGCGGGATGCCATGGGATTGCGAGTTCGAAATGAAGCGCAGAGAGGTCACAATACAGCCGAATGACAGCGGTCGACCGAAACGTCGAAACGCGAGGTGGAGGCGGGCATCGCCGCGCGGAAGCAATAATCGTAGACTCTTTGAGGCAACTTCGAGGGGACCACTGGCTGTACTCGCTGTGCCTATGTGTGACTAGCTCATGGTATGGGGAAATGTATTTGAAGGATAGATCTGCACCTCACTCGAAGCGAGAGTCTCAAGCAAGTCAAGTTGTCTGCTCGTTCAAGCGCGCGATGATGGTCATTCCTTCAACGTCAACTATGATTACGAGATACCTTTGACGGACCCAAAGATCATCAAGCTGTCATCAAGATTAGCAATTTGGATCTGCTACATACGTTAGGTACATCCATCTGCGTGCGCTCAACATGCGGTCCCCAAACCCCTATCGGTGACTCACGGAACGCCGACCCAGGCGCGAAATAGCCGCGCTCGGAGATAACCGATGATAATGGCAACACCATCGTGATGCGCTTACGGCACTTTGCATTCCCACCACATCTATCTTCTCACTACCTCCTCTTGCACTTCTACACCCTCGCAGCAACACTATGGCGTCTCCGAACGAGAAAGAGTCGCTCCCTGTGGCTCATACCGCAGTTCCTCAGCAGCCGCCCAAGAAGACTTCTTCCTGGGCCTACAAGTTTGTATCGGCCACGGCCGTCATCCTCATCCTCAACTCTCTCCTCATCTTCTTTCCCCGTATCCCCCTACTCGACGACACTCTGCACCCCGCCGCCTCATCATCCTGCCAGCAAGCTCACCCCATCTTCCCCAAGGCGGTCGACCATTCTGAACTCGTCAAGGGCGAGAAGGGACAGATCATCAGCTGGCTCAGCGATGCCGTCAAGATCCCTACAGAGGTCTTCGACGTCATGGGAGAAATCGGAGAAGACGAGAGATGGGATGTCTTTTACAAGTTCTCAGAGTATCTGGAGAAGGCGTTCCCTCTTGTGCACCAGCATTTGAAGAGGACGCGCGTGGTGACGCACGCACTTGTATACGAGTGGGAGGGGTCGGACCCGTCCCTCAAGCCTTTGCTCATCACAGGGCATCAAGGTAAGCTTGCTTTGCAGCCCAAGGTCGACTGCTGATATGGGAGTAGATGTCGTCCCCGTTCTCCCTGCTACGCGCGACCAATGGTCCCACGACCCCTTCGGCGGCGAGTACGACGGGACTTATATCTGGGGGAGAGGGTCGAGTGATGACAAGTCCGGTACAATCGGTGTCTTGTAAGCTCTTCCACTTGATGTGCCTATTTTTCAAATCGCTGATCATAGTGGGTTGGGCAGAGCGGGCATTGAGTTACTCTTGAAATCCGGCAAGTTCCAGCCCAGGAGGACCGTCATCCTCGGGTTCGGGATCGACGAAGAGACTGGTGGGAAGGTGGTTCGTCTTCTGTCTTCTCTGGAGACTGACGCTGATGCCAACATGCCACGTAGGGTGCCTACCACATCGGTCAATGGCTTGAAGACAAGTACGGCGAGGACTCGATCGCTCTTTTGGTCGATGAAGGTAATGGCGTTCAGGAAGTTTGGGGCCAGGTCAGTCCTTCTTTTCCTTCTTCTTTACTGATGAATCCGAACGTCCCGCTAACGCTCGATTACATTGCAGCTCTTTGCTGCCCCTGCGGTCGGTGAGAAGGGTTACTTTGACCTCGAACTTCGTGTCGAAACCCTCGGTGGGCACTCTTCTGTCCCACGTAAGCCGGTCCCATCCCTTCACCATGCGCAAGTATATCGTTTACTGACTCACCACAGCACCTCACACATCCATCGGCTACCTCTCCCTCCTCATAGCCGCCATCGAGAAAAACCCCCACAAACCATATCTCTCCCCCAACTCGCCTTTAGTCAACTACATCTCATGCGCTGCAAACTCTCCCGCCCAGACCCCTTCCGATCTCGCCAAGGCTATCAAAAAGGTCGACTCGTCCATCTCGAGAGGTGGGGCGAAGGGGGTGGATAAGAAGGCGTTGAAGGAGGTGGAAAATTGGTGGGTGGAGGGGAGTTGGGAGGATGGGAGTTATAAGAAGGGGCAGGGGAAGGCGATGGTTTCGACGACGCAGGCTGTGGATATTGTTTATGGAGGGTTGAAAGTCAATGCTCTTGTGAGTCTCACCCTCCTTCTTCTCTTCTACTGGTTCTCTTCTTGGAGGAAGAGGAAGTGCTTGAAATGAGTTGCTAATGAGAGCACAGCCCGAAAGCGTTTCAGCGGTCGTCAATCACCGAATCAACATCGCCTCATCCGTCGCCGAGCTCCAATCTCACCTCATCGACGTCCTCTCTCCAATCGCCAAGAAATACAACCTCGCCATCAACGCTTTTGGCAAGGACATCCAGCCTCATGGATGTCACTCTTCTGCTTCTTCAGAGAAAGGACCGAAAGCAGGCAAAATCGTCTTGGCGGAGGCGTTTAACTCGGCACTCGACCCCGCTCCGGTATCGCCTTTCACGGTGGATAGCCCGGCTTGGAGACTTCTTTCTGGTACTGTAAAGGGTGTATATGCGACGCGGCCGGGAGTGAATGAGACCTCGGAGGGAGAGAAGGAGAAGGAAATCTATATGGCGCCTTCTATCTCTACTGGTGTGCGTCAAAAATCGCATCCATTTTACTGTAGCTGATGAAGGAACAGAATACCGACACAAAGAGGTACTGGAACCTCACCAAGAACATCTACCGTTTTGCCTATCAGCTCAGTAAAGACTTTAACAATGTCCATACCGTCAACGAGCATATCGTACGTCTTTCTCCTTCCTGTCATCTCTCTCTCGCTCTCAGCAATTCTCACAAGGGCTGACGAAAAGGATGGTAGAGCGCGGACGTGTTTGTGGAGCAGGTCAGGTGGTTCATCAACTTTATCGTCAACGTGGATGAGAGTGATGAGATTTGAGCATCAAACTAGTACGAGGACTGTTTGTAGAGACGTATGAAGAGACTTGTGATCAAGCCATGGACATGTCATGCCTGAAAAATCTTGAAAGGCAAAGAACGACTTGGTTATTTGTGGCATAGCAAAAAGAAGAGAGACTATGACCGCGAGTAAGCAGACGTATACGTCAAGGAGATGAGGCGCTCGATATCGGCGCGATCGATTGATAACCTTCTTCTACACTCCGGGGTAGCAGGTGGGATACACCCCCATCCAGCCCCTCCAGTCTTTCGCAGAGCACCCGCAGGCTCCAGCATGCATCTAAAAAGAAAATCCTGAACTACTGACAGTGACTATGAATGCAGGCCATAAATTGCACCCCCACTTTACTGGCCCACGGGCCGACACCGCCAGTAGCGCGTTCGAGCTCGTTGTTGTTCGTGCCATCGACTATAACTCCTTCGATACATCTCCTGGGATCCCAGATCGCATACCACTCCCCACGCCCCCCTCGCATATCCCAAAACAGCCCGGTATCTTCCCTGCGTCTCGCATCCACCACACAAGCACGGCGACGTCACCATGGCCACGTCCATGAGAGGCTTGACACAGGTAAGCACGCCGCATCAAACCCGGAGCACGTCTGACAAGCTGTAGTACATCTCGGACCTTCGAGCATGTCGTGTCAGAGAGCTCGAAGAGAAACGTATAAACAGAGAGATGGCCCACATCCGCCAAAAGTTCAAAGACGGCAATCTTGATGGATACCAGAAGAAAAAGTACCTCGCCAAGGTGGTCTTTACGTATATCCTGGGGTACAAGGTCGATGTTGGGCATATGGAGGCAATCAATCTGATCAGTTCGCAGAAATATAGCGAAAAGCAGATTGTGAATATCGTGTTTTCAAACTTGGACCGAGCTGACCGCGCGTAGGGGTACCTCGCCCTAACGCTGTTGATGCACGAAGGCTCCGACCTCGCGCGACTAGTCATCAACTCTCTCCGCAAAGACCTTGAAGATCATAACGAAGTGTACAACTGCCTCGCGCTGCATGCTATCGCAACACTCGGAGGGAAGGAGATGGCCGAGACGTTGGCGGAGAATGTGTATCGCTCCATGATCAGCGCGACTTCGAGTACTTTTGTGAAGAAGAAGGCTGCGTTGACACTATTGAGGCTGTATCGCAAACACCCGAGCGTGATGCCTACGGCCGAGTGGGCAGAGCGTATCGTGTCGATGCTCGGGGACAGAGATCCTGGTGTAGTCCTGACGGTGACTGCTTTGGTGACTGCTATGGCCCAATCAGAGTTAGAGGCGTTCAGCGGGTGTTATCAGAAGTCTGTGGATATGTTGGACAAAGTGAGTAACATCGTGGTCCCGTGGTGGTCGCTGACAAGGCCCAGATCGTCTTTGAATCACACTACCCGCCAGAGTACATCTACTACAAAGTCCCCAACCCTTGGCTTCAAATCAAGCTCCTCCGCCTTCTCCAATACTATCCACCCCCCGACAACCCTCAAGTCACAGAGATCGTCAATGGTATAATCCAAGCGATCATCGACTCTTCACAAGAGACTCCCCGAGTAAGTCTACCTACACCATGTTGGAACCAGCTAACACCCCGCAGAACGTCCAACACAACAATGCCCAAAACGCCGTCCTCTTCGAAGCCATCAACCTCGCCATCCACATAGAACCCTCCTCCCAAGTCGTCCACAACGCCTCCATCCTCCTCGGCAAATTCATCCTCGCCAAAGAAACCAACGTCCGCTACCTCGGCCTTGACGCCATGGCCCACTTGGCGGCTACATCCAACTCTCTAGAAGCTGTCAAGAAACATCAGGATGTGATCATCCAGGGATTGAAGGATAGGGATATCTCGGTGAGGAGGAGGGCGCTGGATTTGTTGTATTCGATGTGTGATACGTCGAATGCGAAGGTTATTGTGGGAGAGTTGGTTAAGTATTTGCATGTGGCGGATTATAATCTGAGAGAGGATATGGTGTTGAAGATTGCCATCTTGACCGAGAGGTTTGCTTCGGAGGTGCGTCTGCTTCTTGATCATTTGGGGCTTTACTGATCAAAGACGCAGTATGAATGGTACGTCGACACCATTCTGCAGCTCATATCCGCTGCTGGCGACCACGTCGGCGCCGAAGTTTGGTACCGTGTCGTCCAGCTCGTCGTCAACAACGAGGCAGTCCAAGACTACGCCGTACGGGCCGTCTACAAGCATCTCCAAGCTACGGCATGTCACGAGAATATGATTCGCGTCGGAGGATACATTCTGGGAGAATTTGGACATTTGATCGCGAATGATCCTGGGTGTAGTCCGGTGGAGCAGTTCCAGGCGTTGCACTCTAAAGTCAACTTGTGTACCGCGCCCACACGAGCTCTTCTTTTGACGACCTACATCAAGGTAAGTGCCACCGAATTTTGCGCAGATGATCACTGACAAGGCTTTTCAGTGGGTCAACCTTTTCCCAGAGATCAAGGAACATCTCATCAACGTCTTTGAACGCTACACCCACGTTCTCGACGCCGAGCTCCAACAACGAGCCTGCGAATACCTCGCCCTCGCCCGCCGTTCCGAAAACGACGACCTCCTCGCCACCATCTGCGACGAAATGCCCATCTTTCCCGAACGCGAGTCTGCCCTCGTCAGCCGGCTCCACAGCCGCGGCGAAAAGGCGCAGGACAAGCGGACGTGGGTCATCGGCGGGAGGGAAGAGAACAGTCAGAGAGAGTTGCAGAGGTTCAAGACGTTCAGGAAGGGCACTGGGGATTCGGAGGGAGTGTTGGCGAATGGGTCGTCGGTGGCGGCTGCTGCTGTTCCGGCGCCGGTACAGGCGGCGACGCCTGAACCTCGTCAGCCGCCACCTCGCTCGTCTAGCGTGCAGACAGAGACGCTCATGGGCCCATCATCAGGCCCGACAGAGGACATCATGTCTTCCCTCGCCGACCTCGACCTGACGGGGAATAACGTACAAGATCAGCCGCTGTTGCCGGACGCGACGGGGTATGCGTCGGATTTGGCGACGTTGTCGATAAATCCGACGGGTATGCCGCTGCAGCCTGATGCGACTGGGGTCAATGGGGGAAAGATGGTGCATAATGCTACGCTTGGTGGGGTGAACCCGGCTTTGCTGGCGCCTTTGACGGTTGCTGATGGCTTAGAGAAGGTGAGTAACAACGCAATGTGTCCGCGACATACTGACGCGCCTTGCAGTGGTTCGAGAGGCAAACTTACGCCAATGAGGGTATTCTATTTGAAGACTCGACGCTTCAGATCGGTGTCAAAGCCGAATATCACGGCCACCTCGGTCGTCTCGCCCTCTTCTTTGGAAACAAGGCCGAGTCTCCACTCACCTCATTCCACGCCCTCATCGACAACCCTTCCCCCTCTGCCCTCAACATCCATTTCCACGACACCCCCGTTGCTGAAGTCAAGGCCAAGGCGCAGATCCAAGAGATGATACATGTAGAGTGCAAGGACGTGTTTGCGAGGGAAGGAGGGACACCGTTATTGAGATTGAGCTACTTCGTGGGAGAGGATAGGAAGATTCTGGTATTGAGGCTGCCGGTGTTTTTGAGCAAGTTTGTGGAAGGTGTGCAGCTTGAATCAGCGCCGTTCTTTGAAAGATGGAAGATCATTGGAGGTGCGTTTCATGGTTTCTGATATCGACTACAGCTGACATGATGCTCCAGGTCCTCCTCGAGAAACTCAGAAGATCTTCCCTATCAAAGTGTCATCAACAGGCGCCGTCGACGCCGCCAGAAACGTCCGTATTATCAGCGGCAATAGACTGTCCGTCTTGGCCGATATTGATCCCAAGCCCGACAATATCGTTTTCGCCGGTGTTTTGCATACTTCTGGGGCTGGTAAAGTGTGAGTCTCTTACTTAGACCAGATCAATAGAATTTTTGCTGACGGACTCGCTATCAGCGGCATCTTGGGTCGAGTTGAGCCCAACAAGGACGCCAAGCTCTGTCGATTGACGGTCCGCAGTACCAACGAGCTCGTTTCTGCCGAGATATTGGCATTAACGTCAAAGCCTCTGGACGTCGACGTAGCTGCGTCGCTCTAACGAACGGGAGAGCGAAAGAAAATCAGTGCATACTGTGCAAGGACGTTGTAGCATATCCGATCTGTTGGGAAACGAGACGACTTTTATACCTTTCATCTTTATTCGCCCTAGTCAATGCAAATGGCATTCATGAATTGCTATGATATATGTAAAAATGCGTTTCATGCTTCTAGAGTCATCGTCGAAGTACATCGTATCATACTGTCGTAGATATAAGGATTCGCTGCAACGCTACAACCTCAAGATCCTCGTACCCGTCTACTTTTCATTCTCTTTACCATTACAAGACAGACACAAGCGACACCATCACAATCACCCCGTCCTAGCACATCCACTGATTGTGTACCCTGTACCCCATACCTCATACCTCTGATCACCACGGTCTCTGCGCCGGTAATGTGCTCTGCCACCCGTCTGGTGGTTGCATTGTATTGGGCAGTGATGGCGGAGGAGTGTACCAAGTCTGCTGAGGCGCTTGCTGGTGTTGCTGCTGAGCAGCCGCCTGCACCAGCGTATGCGATACAACCCCATCCTTGGGCGGCGGCTGTGGACTTGCCGCTCGCCCGGGATCCGCACCTGAAGAGTCGCCAGCGACTCCCAAATTCTGCATATACGTTCGCCAGTCAACCTTTGCTGGAGGGGTGTTTGACACAGCCTGTTGCTGGATGGGAGCAGCAAGTGGAGCGACGTAAGATTGAGCAGGATGAGGGGGCTGGTAGCCTTGCTGTTGGGGTGGTTGCGGTGATGGCTGACGGTCATTCACCGGCTGGGGAGTGGAGGATGGCGGGTAGGAGTTATAGGGAGGTTGGTAGCCCTGGGTTTGACTCTGCCATGGCGCCTGCGACTGTCGCGGTTGGGGTGGCTGGGGCGTTTGCGAGGGATAAGCAGCCTGTTGACTGTCGTACGTGGGATGTTGGGCGACAGGAGGCTGTGGAGAGGGCGCACGGCCGTAAGCAGCTTGCTGAGGAGGCGTCTCCCAGTTCTGCGAGGGCCGGTGCTGATGCTGCTGTGGCGGCTGTGGCAGCTGCGGTGTAGGTGGATACGGCGCCTGCTGAGCAGCATACCCAGCATCCTGAGCAACAGGCGGCTGCGGTGAAGTGGTTCGACCATAAGTCGCCTGCTGGGGTGGGGTTTGCCAGCTCTGTGCCGGCTCACGCTGATGAAAATGTTGGGCAACCTGCTGATGAGCAGGCGGTGTTTGCCATTGCTGCTGCTGAGCATTCTGCCCTTGCCCTTGTCCTTGCCAGTTTTGTTGCCCTTGAGATAAACCCCCAGGTGGAGTAGGCGTAGGCGTCCGTGAATCTAGCGGTTGGGCATACAGTTCATCAGACGGATAATACCCCACACTCGGCTTCACCGGCGGTGCCGGTAGAGTTGAAGGCCGTCTCTCCGGTACAGGAGGTGGTGGTAGAGAATAAGAGTGTTGGGGTTGGGGAGGAGCACGACCATAGGACTGCTGTGGCACCGACTGTCCGTACTGGTCTGCGTAAGATGGCGTAGGCGGAGGTTGAGGCACAGCCTGAGGAACCTGAGTAGACTGGGTCTGCTGGTACCACGGCACATAACCTCCCTCGTTCGTTTGCTGCTGCTGCTGCTGCACAGGGGGAGCAGGCGACAATTGTCTCGGAGGCTGCGTCGAAGATTGCGAGTAGGAGTACGAATGCGCCGGCACCTGCGCAGGGGGCGGCTGGGCATGAGGGGTCGAGTAGTACGACGCGGGGCTCGCAGAGGGCTGAGGAGGCGCATACGCAGGGTTGTACCCTTGAGCAGACGGGGGTGTCTGCTGGTAGTCTTGTGCGGGATAAGAGTCGCTCCTTGTAGGGGTGCCGTACTCGGGTTGTGAGCCATAGCCATTCGGTACGGTATGCGCCGGGCTTTGGTAGGCAGTAGCTGGTTGAGAAAGAGGGGGTTTGGCTTGGGGCTGGTAGTAAGTTGGCCCTGGGCTTGCCGCTCGCACAGATTCAGCTGGCGGTTGAGCCAGACCGCCATAAGATGACGCTGGCACACCACCATAGTGACCATTGGGAGGCCTCGTGGGAGGGGCAGAGTGCGAGAGAGGCGGAGGAGCAGGTGTGGGCGGCTGATTGAGATACTGTGTAGGCGCCGAAGCAGGAGGGGGCTGGGAGTAAGGCTGATGAGCCAGCTGAGGCGGTCCACCCGGTCGGAGCGATGCGGGAACGGGCGACGCCGCTCTGTGATCCTGGCTCGGCGTTGCTTGAGTCATAGGCGGTATCAGACCCGGTGCGCCTCCATACCCTTGTGACTGGACCGACGTCGGTCTCGGCACGGGAGTCGCAGCAGACCTCAGCCTCTCCATTTCCAATCTCTGCTGTTGTTCCCAAGACATCGCGTCGCTCGTTGATAGGGGTCGTGGGTGCGGTGTGGGTGCGGGGGCGAGCTGTGATTGAGGAAGCATGGAGCCCCATGGCGCGTCCGATGGGCCTCCAAAGGAGTGACGATGGGCCCCGTAAGAGTGACCTAAGCTTGACGCAGAGGCTGCAGGCGGCGCCGGAGTAGAGGATTGAGGTGGGTATTGGGCGGGCGGGTTGAGCGACATTGATGTCATCGGTCTAGTGAGGGCTTCTATAGAGTGACCGCCACCTAACGAATGTGAAGGAGTGTGCCGGGGAGGGTAGCCCGCTTGAGGTGGCTGCTGTAAAAATGTCAGTGATGCCCATGTTTGGAAAGACCATACACACATTTATAGGAAAAGCAGAACCAGGCCTATGTCCAGGAGGCAGTCCTAAATCTCCAAAGCTATTCGAGGACGGTACGGGCGAAGGTACACGCGCAGCTTGAGCCGCGTAAGGAGGTATGTAGAGATTGGCTCCCGATATGCTACCCCCTTGACCCAACGACGGTAGACTGCCCTTTCCTGCAATTGAATTCAAGCTCATAGAGGACCCAGAAGCCAACAAACTCCCTGCCGTTGAATATCCAGGGATCGAGGGTCTTGGTGCATTCCGGCGTACAGGCGGAGCATCCTAGAAAGCGAGTCAGCAAATGCTTGGCCAAAGAGGGCAGGCACTACGCACGTTTGAGAAGAAGGTGAGCTCAAGATACACTTCGCCGCTGTACTTGTCTCTGTATTGAAATTCGTACCACTCTGTGCAGAGTCAGTGATGCCCCACCGCGCGGCGTGAGAACTTACCATCGACTTCTCCCTTCTTCAGCGCTTCATCAAGATCCACCACACAGTCTCCAATCAACTCTGGCTCCTTCGCATCATCCGCATAGCACTGTATTCTCATACTCTTCCCGCCCTTCTTCTTCCCTTTCCTACTCTTGCTGGCGAGGGCGGCGGATGTGATGACTCCAGAATCTTTGGGAAGGGGTGCCGGCTTGCCATTTAGAGACCCATTGAGGTCTTCGGATTGAGAGTCGGACCGCTGAATGACGTCGTCGACATCTTCGAATATCGAAAACCTAAGCTCTTCGTCCCATTCTGGGTGTTGGCCACCTCTGCAGCAAAAGACATCAGCATAGCCCGATATTTGCTGCGGCCATGACGCACCGCTTGATCGGCTTGGTTTTCTGCTTCTCTTCGCCGATTGCTAGAGTACAGAATGGATCTTGTTTTCCGAAACGAGATTTGTTGGGAAGGTTGCGCTGAGAAAGAAATCAGTCTTGCAAAAAACGATCATGCAGGGAAAGCCGAGGGACTCACCGCTTTGCCGACTACTACGACGAGAGTGCCAAGCTCCCTGATTTCGACCTCATCGGAGCCCATTCTCTGGATCTCAAATGGTGTTCCGTATACTGTCATGCTTGTCAGATGTTATCCACATCACAGAGCAATCCGCACTCACTCAAAAAACACCAATCTTCACGTAAACAAAGATACCGCGGTAATTAACCAACCGCTGATGAGGATCTGTTGATCGCTTCTTCGCAAAGTAAACGCTGCTCAGCAAGTAGCGACTCTGTTAGCTCTGCCGTTGACTTCTGCAGTAATGGGACCCGGTGGCGGCGATGCAGGGAACTGCTGAAAGAGAAAGTATGGGTTTGGGAAAGCCAAAAAAACAACACACGTACAGCGCGTCGGGGTGTTGTTCATGATAGGCTCACTAAGACAATTACGTAAAGACAGGCGCGCGAGATCCGTAGTTAGGCTTGGGGGGTGAGGAGATCCGCAGCTGACGTTGGCCGAAAAGCGCTGTACGAATGTTGTACAGCATACAAAGCCCGGAATGTTCTCGGATCACTGCTACTGTTCTCCCCGATCTTGATCATTCTGATGATCGAAGGAGCTATATAGCTTACAGCACCACAAACAAGGCCGACCAAGTGTCTCGACAAGGGTTAGCTCGGGGATTTGATGCCTGAAGAATGCTGGCAGCCTGAACATCTCTACGGTGTCTCGATTATCCCCTCTGTATGACCATCCCTTTGTGATCAAGCCGATAGAGCCCACGTTCGAGGTCGAAAGTTGAGTGAACACCCCACGTGGCTTCACCACACGTGATGTTGGCGGAGGTCGCCGCGACACCGTCACCGGAGCCGTTGGTTGTGATGGACAACGAAAATCGTGAACAATATCCAGCACAAGCCATCTCACGTTAACATCAGTCAACATGGCCAAAAACAAGGTCAACTCAAAGCAGGCAACCAGCACTCGCCGCCCCAGTGCAGGGCCTCTCATCCCTACGCCCGACCCTGCCCACGCCATCGCCCACGTCCCCACTCATTCTACAGACGAAAAGCGGGACCTCAAGTCTGCCAATGGCACCGGCGCCAATACGCCTGAGGAAGTCGAAGACGATATTTGTTTCATTTGCGCAGAGCCTATCCAGTTCTGGAGTGTGGGTATCTGTGGACACCAGACTTGCCAGTATGTCATTTTCACCTCGGCGAAGAGATAAGGGCGTTGACGACAGGTGATCAGTGTTTGTGCTATTCGACTGAGGACATTCTACAAGAAGGACCACTGTACTTTCTGCAAGACAGACTTACCTACTGTCTACTTTTCCAGACTGCCTACCGCCGTCTTCCCAGAGGAGAATCACCTAACGCCGTCGCCTGCTGCAAAGATCGCAAAAGCAAAGGCCGAAGCAAAGAAGGATGAAAAATGGCAGAAGGGGCTGATTCTGCCTGGCACTCTGGATTTGGGAGCCTTTCCCTATGTGGATGACAAGCTCGGGGTGGTGTTTGAAGATGAAGACATGGTGCGTCGTCAGGCAACACCCAAGACATGACTAATCAGTATCATATAGATGGAAGCTACCCTCACTCTCCTTCGCTTCAACTGCCCTTACACTGATTGTGGTTTCCAAGCAGTCAACTGGGCTTCTCTCGAGCGCCACACTCTTTCCACCCACGGGCTTGTCATCTGTACTCTCTGTCGGTCCCAGCTCTCCCGCTTTGCCCACGAGCAAACTTTGTACCCGCCGCATCTATTGCCGCTGCATGATCCCTCCAGGGTCAAGAGGGGACAGAAACCACCAAAGACGAGGAATGCACAAGAGGCTGATCTGGTTAAATCTTGGGAGGCGCCGCACCCTGTCTGCGAGGTGAGTCCCAACCCCACGGACGTGGAGGTGGAGCTGATATCATCATAGTTCTGTCACCGCGCTTACTTTGGCCCCGACGACCTCTTCAAACACATGCGCATCGACCACGAAGAATGCCACGTCTGTCGCGAACAAGGCAACCGCCACGTCTACTTCGAAAACTACATTCGCCTCGAGCACCATTGGCGAGACGACCACTACCCCTGCTCCCAACCGCAGTGTCTGGAAGACCGGTTTGTAGTCTTTGGGAGCGAGTTGGATTTGAGGGCACATATGATGGAGGTGCATGGGAATCAGATGAGTGCGAGGGATAGGGCGCAGGCGAGGACTTTGCAGCTTGATTTCAGCAGGCCTTCTGGTGGAGAGAGTTCGGGTGGACGAGGGTTCTCACTTGGTGGTCGGAATGCGGGGTCTTCCACAGGACCGTCGAGGATGCGTAACGACGGACCCCAAGTACAGGCGTTGGACGACACACCTGCTATGACCCCGGCGATGATTGCTCAGCAGAGGCGGCAGATGGCTGTGGATCGAGAAGGAGGGACGGCGGGGGCCAGTAGTAATCAGAGCGCGAGGAGGAGGGGATTCGATGGAGGGTTGACTCGGCCGGCGGGGCAGGCGACGAATGGACCGGCGAGGAGTGGCGCAGCTACACCTGTCACTTCTGCCACCCCTCGGGAAGATGTCGACGACGTGACCGTCTCGTAAGTTCCACATGTTATAAGACTCGCTGAAGCTGATAATCTTCCAGGCGACACGAAGAACTCCTCTCCCGAGTGACCATGCTCACCGGCGACTCTCCCACCAAACTCGCTTCCTTCCGACACGCCGTCCGATCTTTTAAGACCAACGAATCTTCTTCTCGCGACATGATCGACACCATCTTCAACGGTGTCTTTGAGCTCGACCTCGACGTCACTGTTGCTATAGGCCGCGAAATTGCCAAGCTCTTTGCCAGCGAGGGTGACAAAGACAAGGAAAAGAGCATTTTAGAGGCGGTGTCGGGGTTGAGGGCGGAACAGGCGAACGAGTTCCCGTCTCTCTCTACCGGATCTTCCCAGACTGGGTATGGTAACCACTATGCCGGTGTCGCTTCTGGTACCGTCCTGAACGTCAAACGCGCCACCAGGCCGTCGGCCGGTCAAGGACGGGCTGTCTGGGACCGAGTGCAACAGGCGGCAGAGAGGGGTGCTGCAAGCCGGCCAGCACCGAGGGCCACGACTGGCGTCGGTGGCAGGTGGGTGCCGGGTGCTACTACAAGCCGCGCCAGTCCGGGCTCGGAAGCTTTCCCTTCTTTGGGCAGCTCTTCCGCTGGGCCTTCTGCGTCTTCGTCCAGACAGACGTGGGCGTCGGGATCAGCTGGGCCTTCTACGTCGAAAGCGCCTTCAGCGCTCGTCCCCCAGATCCGGTCCGTCAACAACCCTTCCAACCCTAGCACCGGCCGGAAACCCAAAGCGCCCAACCTTTCGGCTTTCCCGTCGCTTCCTTCTTCGAGCAAGCCCAAGAAGACGACCAAGGAAGAGAGGCTGGCGTTGATTGGCAAGCCTCAAGGGAGGGCTGCTGCTACCGAGCAACCAGAGCTTGGGTCGAGGGAGGCGATGGAGGGGTTGAGTATTGGGGAACGGTCGGAGGCTCCGCAGGGAGGTGGTAAGAAAGGAAAGGGGAAGGGAAAGCAGACGCTGTTCACTATTAGTGCTAGACCTCAGTAGATGTACTTCCTTGCATGAATGTAAATCTTGGAGGGCGTCTGGATGATCAAGGATTACATATTTACAAGGTGTATAGTATACAAAGAAGAAGAGCTGGGCGGCTTATTCGGGGAGGATCGTTGGTGCGACGAGGGGTTCGGGCCTTTGCAGCAATTAGTACGAGCCCAAACGAAGGAGAGAAACGCACCGTAGAGAGAAGACCACTTTCTTTCTCACAATTCCCACCACCGTATAATGCCTCGTTCTCTCCGTCCCATCAACCCTCTTTCGTTTTCTCTCCTCCTTCTTCGCCCTTCGGGCATCCGCCAGCTTTTTCCGCTTCCTCCGCTCTTCAGCTTCAGCGTCGTCTTCTTCGTCGTCAGAGTATGGGCGTTTAGAGCTGGAAGGTGCTATAGGGGACGACATTTCGATATCGGACGAGTAGTCTCGGGGCGTGGAGGGGGGCAGGAAGGGAGAGCTCGTTTGAGGGTGGGCATTTTCTCTTTCAGGGGTACCATCTTTTGTAGGCGGAAAGAGCGGCCCTTCGTCCTCGTCCTCATCATCATCATCTTCATCCTCTTCTTCATCCGAAGAACCTTCTTCATCGGCGGCCCCTTGGACTTCTATCCCCTTGCCTTTCTCTGACGCCAGAATTGATGAGGAGGCAGCAGGGTCCCCGACAACTCTGCGGATAACAGCATAAGGCTTTTGGAGCTTTGCGAATTTGCCGTGGAGGAGATGATGCGGTCCGAGATGTAATGTCGGTTTATCCTGCCATTTCCGTCAGCCCCATTGCCGGGCACAAAGTGTTCTGCTTACTGGACGATCCAACCCAATGACACCGACCACGCCCCCGGATTTTTCGCCCTCCCAACTGAGCTCGCCCTGCAACTCGACAAGGACGAGGTCGCCGCCTAGCTGGACGAGGGGCGAGTCGGATGGAGAGGTGGTGGGCTGTTTGAACTGGGAAGGGTGGAGGGGAAGGTGAATACGCATCGTCGAGAGATTGAATTGGTGAATGTAAGGCCAGCTAAGAACATTTGGAGAACATCAACCAGAGACGACTATGGACGCGTTTGACGCGTTTAGGCACGATGGGCACGAGGAAGCCACGTGGACAACCGCATGAATCTTCAACCTGTAGACTTTTTAGAATGTACATTTTGAGAATGAGCAAGATGATTTGGCAGAGAAGAAGGGCGCCTGTACAACATCTCTGACATGACGGTACGATCTAGAAGTATTCCTAGCCTCTTTCAAACGTCGACATTCGTGATCCTCCTCAGATCCAACTCAGATCGCTTTTCCTCCAATCACTCTCAAAACTATGCAGCCAGATAGTTCGGGTTGTCTCGCGATATCTTAAAGGTAACTTCTCTCTTCAATCGACCACAAGCTCAAACTTCCATTCTGCTACAGTCAAAGTCCCTAAAGTACTCCCATTCACCGTCGACGTCGTAGACGTCAGCAATATCACCTGTCAGCACAATATTTGTCAGAGGCCACAGTGAACTCACTGGAGTCGATCAGATGGTTGAGTTTACCCTGTTGGATCATCTGTAGCGCCCATGACCGCAACTTTGTTCCATTCAAGACATCATATCAGGTACACAAGTCGCATTCTCTCTCTCTGTATCCCATCATACGTTTCAAGGCGGTGGGACTTTCCAATATCCTTGCAGCCAACTCTATCTCCTCTGCAATCTCGTCTTTCCTTTCCTTCTCTGACAGTCCTTCAAATTCGGAATCCTGAAACCATTGCTGAGGGCCACCGTAAGAGAATCTGTGTGGTCAGGTACTATAGCGCTGCTTGATATCCTCAGGGATGATCTCGCATCCTTCCTCGACCCTCCGCGATCTCCGTGAGAGACGAGATGAGACTTAAACTGCAATCATTCGCCTCAGACTTGTCAACCAGCTCCACCATCTCTGCACACTGCTCGAGGGAGAGGCCGATGATGAATCGTGCGATTTCGTGGCCTCAGAAGGGCGGATCAGAGCCCATATGGTTGTACATGTCCCTGTGCTTGTTGTCGCGGAGAATGTAGCCGATGAGGCCGCGGGTGCCCATGGTGACCGTGAATCGGAGAGGACTATGGGATGTGTGGTGAAAGAACAGATAGATCCGTCGGCGTCCCTCACAGAAGTGTATGAGGGCGGATAGGTGGCGTGACCTTGTAGCAGTCACGCGAGGGATCTGGCTAGGGGTGCCGGATGTCGACCTTGGATAGGCTGGAACGAGAGAGGATGGATATATGGTGTAGTTGGGCCATTCTATCTGTGGGTCCAGGATTTCCACTATAGACCACCACCTTTTCTGTCACTCAACTGGACGTCGCCCAAATTATCCTTGGGCATTTGTGGGTCCAGGCTTTCCACCGTACACCACCACCTTCTCTGTCACCCAACTGGTCAAGGCTTGTCCGAATGGAATGCCCAGGACAAATTGGGCGACGTCCAGCTGTGGGTCCAGGCTTTCCACCATAGACCACCACCGTCCCTGTCACGCAGCTGGACGTCGCCCAATTTGTCCTGGGCATTCCATTCGGACAAGCCTTGACCAGTTGGGTGACAGAGAAGGTGGTGGTGTACGGTGGAAAGCCTGGACCCACAAATGCCCAGGACATTTTGGGTGACGTCCAGTTGGGTGACAGAGAAGGTGATGGTGTATGGTGGAAAACCTGGACCCACAAATGCCCAGGACAATTTGGGCGACGTCCAGTTGAGTGACAGAGAAGGTGGTGGTGTATGGTGGAAAGCCTGGACCCCACAACAAGACTGGCTCAGCTACCCCATATATCCATCCTCTCTCCATCCAGCCTATTCGAGGTCGACATTCGGCACCTTTGGCCAGATCCCTCCCGTGACTGCTTCAAGGTCACGCCACCTATCCGCCCTCATACAAAAGAAGTCATCAAAAAGTATCATGCGTTCCGTTTGGGCGGCAAGCGTGATCCTGAGCAGGTAAGGGAGTAGGTCAAGCGGCAGGTGGACAGTTCGACAAGCGACTTCGGCAGCAGTATATGGTGACCACAAGACACATGCAAGCGGCGCCCACACGCTGGACATGAGGAATCCAACGCGTAAATCAGGGTCTTACGCGGATTAACCTTCTTTATTACGCGTCTGCACCCTGACTTGATTTCACGGCCCGGCGGTCCGAGGTGGTGGGTTGTTGATGTAGGGTGTCGAAGAAAGAAATGGACGTTGGGTCCAGAATGCGGCCTGGTGACTCGTCATGAGGAAGGGTCAGAGGGGAGGATGTATGCCCTGTTGGCCTTGGTCAGGGTCCATTCACTACTGTTAGTGTGGCCGGTCTCAATCCGACGGATAGAGAGTACTCTAGTCTTGTCCATTCCGAGAATACTTGTGACAGTCAATCTATCGCTATCCTCACCAAGGCCAAGATGAAGAACCTCGGATATACATGGCTGAAACACCGCCACCCCTATGCCTAGTCTGTATAGCTGACGAAAGGGACCGACCATCAAAGAGAACAATAGAAAGGGAAAGAGGAACCGTCGCAAGTGACGTAGAGCGCTATCAAAGGTGTACGTCCTCAGATAGGAACCGAGCATTAGACCGGCCGATCAGCCAAAGGGGGCATGCCGAGAAGAAGAGCATGGGAACGCATGCCAGGGCACGTTGAGTGAAGGTGGTGAAAGGGTGTTCTTGGTATAGCTGGGGGGGCTCAGGAGGGCATGGCGGATTGAAACAGGGGGTAGCAAGAGATTGGCAATGTGAAGATGACGCATGGCGGATGCATGGGTACATATACCAGTGACAATTCTTTGAAAGTACACACCACACAGGCCGAACGAACAAACAAAAGGGTTCAAGTGACATTTTTGGGGTTCGCGTGACGCGTCGTGTGCCTAGACACCCAGACATCCACATCAGATCCTGCGCTGCCGCTTTGTCGCTCTTTATAAACGATTTGATTCTCATTTCTCTTTCTTTCTTTATCCTTCACTCACCCCACCCTCCCCCTCCGCCCTCTACGCGCAAATCCACCCCACTCGCGCCGTCTACATTCTCGCGCAGGTAAGCCCCTTCGTCCTCTTCGTGCTGTGTGCTGTGTTCCCCGGCTAGAACAGCGCACATGCCCCCGCCATGACACTCCCGCTGACAGCCCTCTTTTCATTCAACATTAGGTCGCAGCATCCTCTTGCGCATATAAACACGTTCATTTACATCTCACTCGTCTTTTCTTCATCCCTCCAGCTCTTTGCCGTTTCTGCCCCCGACATCTCTCAGAAAGCAGGCTTTGTACGCTTTGACGAAAGCAACGACCTCTACGACTCTGTAACGACCTCACGTGTATCCCACAACAACATCGCATCATGGTGTCTCCCACTCTCGCGCTCTTCTCCTCCCTACTCGCCGCTTCCAGTGCGCTGGCGCACATGCAGATGTCATGGCCCTATCCCCTGCACAGCTCCCTGAACCCGGCTACCCCCGAGGCTGATAAGGACTACTCCATGACAAGTCCTCTGGTTACCGACGGAACGTACCCTTGTAAAGTGAGTTGATCATCTACTCTGCGAGTACAAAAGAATCTCTGCCTTTCCGTATTCCGATACCTTCCGAGCCTTCCGCTAACGTCCTTCCAGGGCTTCATCACCACTGCCGATGACATGGGTTCCAACGCCGAATGGTCTGCCGGTTCTACCATCAACTACACCCTTGTCGGTACTGCTACCCATGGCGGCGGTTCTTGCCAGCTCTCCATGTCGTACGATCTTGGGGAGACCTGGTCCGTCATCTTCTCCCAGATCGGCGGGTGCCCCGACTCTGACTCCTTGACCACCGACGTCACCATCCCCTCCGACGCTCCCTCCGGCCAGGCTCTCTTTGCTTGGGGTTGGTTCAACCTCCAGGGTAACCGCGAGATGTACCACAACTGTGCTCCCGTGACCATCACCAACGGCGGCTCGGGTCTTACCAACACCGACGACTATCCCACCCCCTTTGTCGCCAACGCCGATGTCAATGACTGTGTCACCATTGAGAACACTGCCGTCGTCTTCCCCAACCCGGGTAAGACTGTCGTGTACGGTGGTGACTATTCGTCTTCGCAGCCGACCGAGGCGGCGGGCTTCACGGGAAGCAACTGTGTGGGACCCAACGCTAGCTCGTCAAACTCTTCTTCTTCGGCTTCGAGCTCGGCGTCTTCTTCGGGTGCTGCCACAGAGGCTTCTACCGCCGCTTCCGAGTCTACCGCCGCTAGCGGTGTGTCTGCCTCTGCCGGTATCCCCGTCAGCCTCTCGGCCTCTCTCGGTGTCGGCGAAAACGCCCAGGCCACATCTTCCTCCTCCTACGTCGACGCTTCTTCCTCTTCCTACGTCGACGCTTCTTCCCCTTCATCCGTCTCCGTCTCCGCCGCCACCGCCTCCGCCACCACCACCTCTTCATCGACCTCCTCTAGCAAGTCCTGCAAAGCCAAGCGCGCTCTCAAGGCCGCCAACGAGGCCCGAGCCCGTCATGTTCGCCGCGCTCCCAAGCGATTCGCCGCTTCCAAAGCTTCCCACTCTTCCTCCAAGCGCGATGTCTCCCCCGAGGCCGTTGTCGAAAAGAGGGGTGGCAAGAGGCATGCTGCTAGCAAGGCTTCGCACGCGTCGGCGGAGAAGAGGACTGAAGGAGCTGGCTTTGAAGGCAGGGCGGGGGTCAAGAAGTCTGCGGCTAGCCCTAGGGATGTCAAGCGCGGGCTCGTTGGCAGGGGCATCTTTGAGACTTCTTCATGAGCTTGCTCTGGATATGGTGAAGTGTTGACTTGGACCGATCTTGAGGAAGCGAGTACAGGTTACTTGTCTTTCTTCCATCTCCTCTTTTTCCCCTAATCGAGCAGTGATAGCAGTGCTATCATCTCGGCTTTTGTAAATAATGATCTCTGTCTGTTCTGGTATCCTTCGCGGTGCGGGGGAGAATGTATTTTGCGAAAGTTTCATGCATGGTCGTGTCTTTCGTGCTTTGCTCAGGTTTCTAGTCGGCCACGGCATTGATATTTGACAGACCGTAGAATAACCATACTTACCTTCGGGATCGGCCGATATGCCCTTTGCACTCAGTACTGTACTCGTACTCGAGTACATATGCAAATGCAAGCTCACTGACTTATGAATCTGACGTCGAGGCCAAATACATACACAGATACGAAAAGCAAATGTTGAATGATGGTTGCGGCCACGCGCCACGACAGAGCGACAGTGCGCACTACAGGAAAGGAGGTGAAAGTAACTCAGCCCGAGGATCATGGGTGGGTGGGGATTACAAAGTAGTGCATTGGCTCAATGGCATATAGCCAGGGTTGATGGAAACAGGGGCGTGACGTTCCCGTCTCCTCATACCCCCTCATACTAACCACCACCACTCATCACGAGATCTTCGCACCAGCAAGACATGTCCCACCAGAACAAAAACATCGCTGCTATCGTTACTAGAGTGTTATCGTCACAGCGAAGACCTCAAAGTAAAATAGAGTAACAGGGGAGCTGCATAGGTGTCTTCGTGTCCAGCCCCTCGGGCATCGGCGTCGTCGCCGGGACTCGGCCAACCTACTGCTTTCAAACTTCCCCTGCCCCTCCTACATATATATATCCTCGTTGCTCTCCCACCTCTTGTACATCCCATCCCCCACTAGCAACTACGATGGTCAACGTCTTCCTCACTGGCGCCTCAGGCTTCATCGGCTCTCACGTCACCCCCGTCCTCCTCGCCGCGGGCCACAAGCTCACAGCCCTCGCAAGGTCGGACGCTTCTGTATGTCCCTTCTTTCTTTTAGACTTGTATCCAAGCTGACATCCGAGATAGGCAAAGAAGCTCGAAGACCAAGGTGTCACCGTCATCCGCGGAACTATCGAAGACACCGATCTTCTCGAAAAGGCAGCTGCTGCTTCCGATGGCGTCATCCATATGGGCTTCATCCATAACTTCACCAACATGCCTAATTCTATCAAAGGTACTTTCTTTCCTCCTTCCTCTTACCTTTCGGCACTGACAATTGTGGATAGTGGAATTGGCCGCCCTCGAAGCATTCGGCAAAGGCCTCAAGGGAACCAACAAACCCCTCATTATGACCTCCGGCGTCCTCCTCGCCTCCTCCCCAACCCCCAACGAACGTACCCCCGCCCTCACAGTCGGCCGCGGCCAGGCCGAACACCGCGCCCTCTCTCTCGCTTCCTCCGGCGTTCGCGCCCACGTCATGCGTCTCCCACCCACCACGCATGGAGATGGGGATCAAGGGTTTTTGACGTATTACATCCAACACTCCAAGAAGGCTGGCTTTGCGGGGTATCTGGGAGAGGGGGAGAATCATTGGCCGGCGACGCATGTGAAGGATGCGGCAGAGCTGTACAAACTCGGGCTGGAGAACCCGGAGAAGAGCCTGAAGGGCGGTGAGATCTTGCACCCTATTCAGGACGCTGGCGTTCCCTTCAAAGATGTTGCTGCCGCCGTCTCCAAGCGCTTGGGTATACCCACCAAGAGCATCACACCGGAAGAAGCTGGGGCGACGTATACAGTTTTGGGACACTTTATCTCGATGGACTCTGTGGCGGATAGTGCGTTGACGAGGGAGTGGACTGGGTGGGAGCCGAAGGAGAAGGCGTTGGTGAAAGACATCGAAGAGTCGGAGTGGTATTTTGCAGAGAGGACTGCCTCCAAGTTTTGATGTGTACCCCCCGACATAGGTCGTCATATATATGGTAAAATAAGAATTTGTATACATGGGTGATAAACACTATGAAGATAAATCACCTGTACCAACTAGTGTTATCGTCACTGTGAAGACCTCAGAGCTAAATAGAGCAATAGGGGAGCTGCTGTATAGATTGTAGCCTCTCGGATCTCGGCCAGTCTGCTGCAGCAGTATAAACAGTGCTCGTACGAGTCAAAGCTGGCTAACCGGAGCGAGCACGGCAAATAATTTGCTATCATCCACCGAGTATCCTCGGCTGTTGATCTTTCAAGCCACTGCCCGCTCCTTTTGTCCGCACAGCTCTGGACGGAAAGATAGTGTAGTATAGTGACAAGCCCAAAGCGCGTGAATGGAGTATGATATTGCTCAAGAGAACATACAATTTCAGTATCATGTGGTGCTGCGTGCGGAAGGAGCTAAGGAAACACCCTTTACCAATCCATTCACACAATCCGATATCGCGACTAGCCAACGACTACAGAGCTCGTATTGCCAACACTTGACAACCAATGAGTAATCATAGTATTTTTAAAAAAAACACCTAATCATGACATCCTGGGCAGACTCTCGGGCGGTCGTATCTCGGTGAGATGGACAGTGTGGCTGCTGCAACGAGTACCGTCATGTTCATATGTTTTCTTCTCCGAGCACAACATGCCGAAACTTGCCCTCGTATTACCAGCACTTGACAACCAATGAGCAAGCATAGTACCAGAATAGACACCCAGCCATGGCCATGTGCTTTCTTCCCCGAGCTCGGCATGCCGAAACTCCTCACTTTGCTAAATAAGGGCTCGATGTCCACCACGTCCCATCCCATCCTCTCATCTAATCTTCATCCACACTCTCGCGTCTGTCTTATCATGGTCAACATCTTCCTCACTGGCGCATCCGGCTACATCGGCTCTCACCTCACGCCACTCTTGCTTGAAGCGGGGCACAAGCTCACCGCCCTCGCAAGGTCGGACGCTTCTGCATGTCCTTTCTGTTTTCCCATTGTATCCAAGCTGACATGTGAGACAGGCCAAGAAGCTGGAAGACCAAGGGATCACCGTCATCCGTGCGAGTCTTGAAGACACCGACGCCCTCTTCAAAGCTGCGTCCGAGGCAGATGCGGTCATCCATCTTGCCTTCGTTCATGACTTTGCCAACTTTGCCAAGGCTCTCGAAAGTACGCCCTCCCTTTCTCTGTTACCCTTTGACAAGACTAACTGGGCATACAGCGGACTATACAACCGTCGAGACGTTCGCCAAAGCCCTCAAAGGCACCTCCAAAATACTCATCACCACCTCCGGCCTCCTCGCCGCCGCCTCCCCAACCCCCTCCGAGCTCACCCCTGCCATCGAAGCTGGCCGAGGCAAATCCGACCTCCTCGCCCTCTCCCTCGCTGCTTCTGGCATCCGCTCCCACGTCATCCGTCTGGCCCCTACCACCCACGGCGATGGCGACCACGGTCTCTTGACTTTCTACATCCAGCAATCCAAGAAAGCCGGCTTTGCGGGCTATGTAGGGGAAGGCGGGAACCACTGGCCGGCGGTGCATGTTGACGATGCTGTCAAGGCCTACAAACTTGTCCTTGAGAGCAAGACTCTCAAAGGTGGAGAGGTTTTGCACGCAGTCCAAGATGCTGGGATCCCTTTCAATTCTATCGCCGAGGCTGTCGCTGGCAAGCTTGGGATTCCTACCAAAAGCATGACGCCAGAAGAAGTGGAGGTCCATTATACTCGTCTTGCGAGGTTCTTTTCGCGCGATTTGGTGGCGGAGAGTACGTTGACGAGGGAGTGGCTTGGCTGGGCGCCGAAGGAGAAGGGTTTAGTGGAGGATATTGAGAGTAGCGAGTGGTACTTTACACCCGAGGCCGTGTCAAAGTATTGAACAGTACATAGATTCATTGTCTGCAGTAAGGTGTGATGCAACAAGCTATCAACGTCGACTCGTTTCGTACAAAGATGGCCATACGCCCTATACGTGGCCGACGGGCAAAAGTGGAGGTTTGCTTTTTGAGCCGATCGGGGTACCGAGATCAGTCATCACCCTCCACATGCTCGCTCAGCATTGTATCCTTCGTGTTCTTCGTATAACGTATGTATACCGTTTGACTCTTCAGCTTCCCACTCCACCTGTCCGGAACCAATCGACAGCTATGATCAACGTATTCGTCACAGTGCATTCGGCTACGTCAACTCCCTCGTGACGGCCCTTTTGCTCAAAGCGGGGCACAAGCTAATCGCTCTCGCAAGGTAGTTCAGTTGCATGCAATGAGCGGCAATACTGGGCTCGAGAGTTACAGCACTCGTGTAATGATAAGATGGGTCATGGGACGAGCCCTAGAAGAGAGTTTCCAGGTGGTGGAGGGTCTGGTCTTATCAGTGAGTCGCGTACTACTCGTCGTCTGTCAACATGCTGCATAACCCCAGGCGCCAGAAGAGGGCCATCCCGCTTCCATGTGGGAACACGTAGCAGTTAACGATTAGTACATATGGGATGAGCGAGAAGAGATGTATCGCAAACTGTGACGCAGGGTGACATACTGACTAAAAGTGACAGTGGGAGAAGCAACATGTTGAGCCGCGCGCGTCTGACGAGAGAGTCGCGCTATACAAGGCTGAATGGTGGTTATAAGCAGCTCCAAGTCTCCATCTTTATTCTCCCGCTTGTATCCCAACGCCTTGTTTCTTATTGTCCCCGCACACTCTCATAACTTACAACAACAAATACATCATTATGGAAGCTGCTGGTTCCACCGCTGCAGGCGTCAAAGCAGGTGCGTATCCGTGTGGGGCACTCCGAGCCGTATCGAAACTGACACGTTTCATTTTACCTCTACCTTGTGCAATCTGGCATACCCTTTCTACAAACCACTACACACTGCTGTATCTCATTCTATAGGCACCGCCGCCGCTGCTGCTCGAGCTGAAATCGGCAATGTCGCTGCCGGCAGCACCTTTGCTGGCTTGCAGAGCGTGGGTGCAGGAGGCGCCGCAGCTGGGCTGTTCGGACTGTTGCAAAAGCTGTTGGGCTGGGGGTTCTGTTTGGGCTTTGATCGTTGTGATGTACGAAAGGCTTTCTCGGGGTCTTGGGTGTTTGTTTGAGCCCAATTCGTAAGGTACAAAGGCCTGATACAACAACATGTATTGAATCGCGAGTGGCTGGCGGTGACTGATGCAATGGGCCTTGTCAGGAGCTGGGAAAATAGTGTCGCTCAAGCTTTTCACATAGCCCATGGAATCACGGGTACATCGAGACCCGAATAATGTTCCAAATAAATGTGATTTGAAAGTGATATGTTCACTAATAATGATAAAAAATCTGGGGACCAGCAATTTCTCCAGTCCTCTTCAGCAAAACCAGCATGCGTGTGTGGTGGTGGCGTGTGCTCCAGTTTGCGACTTCTCCCTGTTCCCCGTTCGGCCCGTTAGAGTCCTTTCGCCGGAGTGGCTTGTTCCGGCGTGCACTCTATCGCCCTGTCGATATGGCAACCATCACCGGCTCACCGCCCTAACGTTAGAAAACAAAATGAATACATGCAGGTCCTGGTGACCACCCTCCTCCACTTTGAAGACTTAAATCGACTGAAGCCACACCGCGATACATCAAGAGCATGGTCACTACATCTCCTGCGTTCATTGCTACTGGCGCTGCCCTTACTGGGGTACTTGCTGCGGGTCCTATTGTAGGAGGAGGACTGGGACTGTTTGGCTTCGGGGCTGCTGGTGTAGCTGCCGGTGAGTGTTGGCACCACACAATCTTGTTCGCTCGCTTATCCTTCCCTCTAGGCTCCCTCGCTGCCTCGTTTCAAGCTGGAATCGGCAACGTCGCTGCGGGCTCCTTGTTTGCCTTCCTCCAGAGCGCCGGGGATGGCGGAGTGGCGCTCCCGGTCCTTACGGGTGGTGTCACAGCCGTTTCAGCTACGGCTCTCTCCTCCGTTGCTGCGAAGAGTGTCCTGAAGTGGACCAAGGGGCATTAAGTGGCTGCTGGGAGGGTGCCCAGAGTGACATTGTTGGACGGGAGGGAGCACCTCATTAGGCGAAGAGGAATGTTCATCGGTGGTTCGGGAGATAAACAAAGCGTATCTCAGTAGATGCACTATTTTCTTCTGTTGACATGCAAATCTTATAGCTCCTCTCAGTGGAACCACCAGAGATCTTCGAGATTTCAGTTGGATTTCAAAGCCCATCGTCGTCGGTCGGCATTTACGTAAGGACTTATCCGGGTCCCGGGCCACCGAGATGGGTCACCGGGCTGTATGATGTGCTTTCAACTCTTATTTCTATTCTTCTCTTTCTTCTGCATATGCATAGAAGAGCAACAGGTGAGTACAGTATATCCATGGTGAGAGGTTTATACGCTGACCCCTGCAGCGATCGTATCGCCCATCCAAACCGCCCTTGCTAATACGCCTCGCTCCATTGGACCCATCTCCTCACGCACATCTACCAGCTCTATCTGGTCGCTCAATTGCCTACCTAATACCGCTCTATCGCACCAAATCAGATCACATAGCGCTTTTGCGAAGAACGTCTACATGGGCGACAACATCGTCAAGTGAGTTCCTGACGTCGATGACGTCCTCCTCGTCGAGATCGTACTGATCTATCTTGCAGCTTCTTTGCGGGTCAGCCGCCTCTCAACAGGATCGCTTTCCAGAGGCATGAGCTCGAAAAAGTCAATCACCATCTCCACAACCCCGAGACTCAATTCTTCTTGTTCAAGTGCGGATTTTGCTTATCTATGTCGAATGATTACTCATGGTGTATCTAGGGATTTCAAGCCTCTTGTAAAGAAAGGAGAAGCTGCTCAGCCTCTATACCTCAGGAAGGATGATGTGAAGGATCTTATCGGAGAAGGATACCGAGGACCGTAAGCTCACATTTTGATGTACTATAGCAGCGCTAACCCCGATTCAGCTCCCCTGGAGCCACACTCGAGATTTCCAAGATTAGCGAGGTCACCCGTCTCTCCCTCCCCAACCTCATCTTCCTCGGTATCGACGACCGCCAAGACCCCACCACCAACAAGTCCTCCGCTGTCGACCACCTCAATCCCAAAGGCACGCCCTACTTTGCCCTGGACGCCACGGGAACGAGCTTTGATGAAGCTGCTTTGGGCGGGGAATGGGGCGATCCCAGAGCTAGCGGAAGTGCATTCGGGGCGTGGGATGCTGGAGTATTTGCTGAGGCAAGAGCTTTGATTGACTGGAATGGAAGGAATAAGGTGTGTGCTTTCTTGTATAGCAAGAACATGACTGACTTGAAGAAACAGTTCTGTCCCGCTTGCGGTTCCAAGACGTACTCTCTTTGGGCTGGATGGAAGCGTAGCTGTATAACCGCTCTCAATCCTATCGAAGGCCAAGAACCTTGCTTCTCCACCAAAGGTCTGCACAATTTTGCATACCCTCGAACGGACCCTGTCATCATCATGGGTATCTTGGACTCAACTGGGGAGCACATGTTGCTTGGGAGGCAGAAGAGCTGGCCTAAGGGTAGGTCTTTTCCTAACATGAAATGTAGAGTATCTGCTGATTGTCTGATAGGGATGTACTCGTGTTTGGCCGGCTTTATTGAGCCTGGAGAATCATTCGAAGACTCTGTGCGTAGAGAGGTGCTCGAGGAAGCTGGTATCGAGGTCGGCCCTGTACGATAGTAAGTTTACCCCCATCTTATCTTGAGTGCAAAGCTGATGTTGTCCAGCTCTTCGAGTCAGCCTTGGCCTTTCCCTGCAAACTTGATGGTCGGCTGTTTCGGGCGTGCTAAAGACGGGCAGACGATCCGATTTGATCTCGATAACGAGCTTGAAGGTAAGCCATCAACCCCACCGCTACATGCCTGACTCCCATACAGATGCCCAGTGGTTCCCTCGCTCAACCATCCTCTCCGTCATCTCCAACCACGGCTCCTCCAACTACACCCGTGACGACCACAAAAAACTCGAAGACAAGAGTGACGCCGACAAGGCTACCGCTGGCGCTCTCGCACCCTCTGAGAGGACACAGGAAGATCTGGCGAAGAAGACGGAAGGGAAGGATGTGACGGAGTTGACGAGGGTGCCGCCTGAGAGTGCTATTGCTGGGGTTTTGATTCGGCAGTGGGCGAAGGGAGGGTTGGATCTTGTGAGCAAGTTGTAGGGTGACTCTTGTACGTGGACACGTGTGTTAGGCGGGTGTTGCGATCAGGTATAAAATTGGTCTTTCTTCACAAAGATGTGCCATGGAGGTGATGCAGCCTGATGTTCCACTATGGGCTTTGCCTAGGACTTCTCCCGATGCCCGGGGTTATTATGGTCAACATACTAGGGGTGGTGGATGGGTGAGATAGTTGACATAACGGCATGATGAGATACAGGCCTGCGACGCCTTCTATGTGGATGTGATTCGTCATCTCCTTTGGGCATTCTTCACATCCGCATACTTGTCCTCCATCCACAAGGGCATTTTCGTTAGGGTCTTATTCCGCTCAGCTGCACAAGCATACAATGGCCGAGATCCTGTCCTACCTGTTTCTGAGTGGAATTGGGGCTGGAGCGTATCTAACAGCCTTGGCTACGGGGACGGGATCGTATCTGTTGAGCTTGGTGGGCTTCGGGCAGGCTGGTGTGACCTTGGGTGAGCCAACCACATCCTGTTGTTTCAACTTGACTGGGCGAGAGAACAGGGGCACTGCTGATGCCAATCCCGTACTCTTTTTCCTCGCGACTGCCCACCCCAATTATCGCCTGTGATAAACTCTTTGGACCCTATCTTCTTGTAGGCTCTCTGGCCGCTTGGTTCCAATCTTACTTCCTTGGCGGCTATATCGCGCCGGGAAGTTGGTTCGCGTCCTTCCAAAGCGTTGGTGCTGGCGGATTACCAGTTCTTTCGTGGTGGTGGAGTGCTTTCCTCGGATCGTTCACGGGATTTCTGACTTATCTGGGGTGGGGATGGTAGGAGCCTGTACCCGAATGGGGCTGGTTTAGTCCTGTTGTAGATTCTTGGAGAGCATACTGGTATCCGAAGCCGGAGAACCTGTTCTGTACATATGCGGGCTTGTGGTGTTCCTCATGACCGCCGGCATGAAGAAGTCTCGATGACGGTGGTGATTTATTCTGCGTCAGCTGAGCTCGCACATACACCGACAGAGATGAAAGTCTCTATAGTCTTCGCCTTTTTGTTACCTCTGAATGCGTATGTAGTGGAATCATCTGTGATATCATTACGCTATGATTGTCCAGGGAGCAAAGAAGTAGAAGTCGAAGTTGGTGTACGAATGAACAGACTATATTAATATAAAAAACACACGACAAAACAAGCTAAGCAAGAACAAGCAGGCATATCAAACCTCCAGTACGAGTAATCTTCTCAACATCTTTTACAGTCTTACAAAAGACATTGGCTTCATCAAAGCGCCAACCCAACCTCTTCCGTCTCAACCTCCATACCAAGACCCAATCCGCATCCCATCTCCATCCTCTCCTTCACAAAGTGCCCTCCAAACACGATCCCTCTCTCCTTCTTCTGCTGCGGCGTGCTCGCCTCAGCCGTCTTGCCTCCCATTCTCCCACCAGCAACCACGACGGGTGTCACGCTCATGATGCTCGCCGTGTGGATCTCATCGTCGTCGCTCATCTCGCTTCCGCTGCACGAGTCCCTGTAGCTCTTGCTCGACCTGTTGCTCTGCATAGATCCGAGCTCAGACTCGGAAGCCGAGGCGGGAATGACGGCGACTGTGGGCGTAGGAGTGGCACCAGAGCGCTGGTCACACGAGACCATGGAAGACTCGGAGGAAGAAGGAGTGACGGTGGTAAAGACACCGCTAGGAGAGGCGCTGGGGTGGATACGAGCGTTGGGGTAGTAGCGGATACGGTGGTTACGGTGGTTCGCCAGAGGAGCCGACTGGGTCTCTTGAGGAAGGACCTGTCCGTACTTGGAGTTGGACAAGTCGAGAGGGGAAGGGATGTGGTGAGATCGGACACGGGAGAATGGGCGAGAGAGGGACAATGGAGCGGTGGTCTCGGCTTGGAGCGCGTCAAAGTCGAGTGGGATCTCGTTGCCAAAGTCAAAGCTCTGCTCGCGAGGAGTGTCGATAGTGGTGGACGCCATACTGCTCTCTGAGAGAGAGGCGAGCATGGAACCAAGGACTTGCTCAACGTCGGGGTAGGACGCCAAAGAAGACATCGACGACGAGTTTGGCATAGTCGGGGAAGAGAGGGATGTCTCAGAGTCGAGGGAAGGGAGAGACGGGTATGAGTGGAAAGGAGGCGAAGGAGGAAGGGGCTCGGAAGGAGGGCGGTCGTGAGAGAATCCCGAGTCTTCGTATGTATCGTTTCCCTCCGGCTCGTCCGAGTACATCTGACTGTCCTCATTATCCTCCGAAGGCTGAGACCAATCAATGATAGACTCGAGAGGAGCAAAGTCAAAGTCCAAATCAATGGTAGGCACTCCATCTCGCTCCCAGCTTCGCTCCTCTTCACTCTCTTCGTCCAAAGACACATCGACCATCTCCCTCTCCATCTCTCGCATCTTTTCCTCCAGGTTGACACCATGATCCAAAACTCGCGCCTCCGGGGCAGTAGCCTTGGGAGGGAAGGCCTCCTCTTGGTCTTGAGGCGTGGCAGGGATGATGTTGAGCATGGGGACGTCTGAGTCAGACTCGTCGGCCTCATCTTCCTCCATGAAAGTCCCCGCAAATACAGGCAGCCTCGCCTTTTCAACAAATGTTGCCATAGGACTAGGGCTGTGACCCTCGCGGTCGTTGGTGCGTCGATAAGGAGAGGGAGGAGTCGCGCCGTAAGAGGAGGGAGAGTACTGGCTGGGAGGAGTGGAGAAGCCAGCAGAGACGGGGCTGGAAGACTGTTGAGGAGGGGTAGATACCGCGCCGTAAGGACTAGCAGACCTCACTTGTTCAGTACTGACGCGTACACGCGTACCGAACGAAGTAACGCTAGGTGAAGTAGCCCTCGAAGACCTTCGCGACAGAACGCGCGCTGGCGAGATCGACTCGGCGCCGGGACTGCTGTTACTCGGGCTGGTAGGGTGCTGGGCGACGGGGGTGGATGGAGCCGAGTTGATGCCATAGGAAGACACGACTACGCGTGGCGTAGAAGGCTGGACTCGGCGGGTCGCGTTCTCGTTTCCAGGCGAATATGACTGGACAGGAGGCTGAGGGCGCGTGGGGTAGACGCCTGGGCTCGACAGTGGAGAGTCGGCCTTGGTGCCGCCGGCAAATCGGAGGCCATTGCCAGCCTGGTCATTCGAGTTCTTCTTCAAGATGGGCCTGGGCGGCTCATCCGATTTGGGCAGGTAGTTTGGCAGAGAGGGGGGAGCGACCTGTTTCTTTCGCCAGAACATTGTAGGTAAAGGTTCCGTGGTTTCGTTTATGAATAGTGTGACTGTGGCGCGTGGTGGGGCCGTAGTGGTTCTGAGAAACGAGTGTGTAGGGGTGCGTCGAGCAAGGCGTGGTTCGTGAACAAAAGAGTGTGTAGCGTCGCGTCTATGCCAAGAGGTCAGCTGGATCATTCCCCAAGAAGGAAACGGTACGTACGTCAAGGAAACCAGCCTATCGTGCAGACGCGTGGGAAAATGAAATAGACAAGAAGAGGGGAAAAGAGGAAGACGTTTGAGGGACAAGAAAGAGAAGAAAGAAAAGCGTCAGAAAGCGAAGATTCGATCTTTCTTTCGCGCTGCTTTCGCAGCATGATCTTGGCTGGTTAAACAACGGAACCAGGGGCAAAATCAGGGTCATTTCCGGGACGCGTTCCAGCCAAGGTACCAAACTCTATCGACGCGTCACCCGGGATTACAAAAGCTGGTCAAAAATTCACTAATCGCGCGCTAAACGTCAATACAAACATGCTACAGCCATGCTACCAGTTTTCTTTGTTTGTATTCAGCTTCAATTCATTAGAAAAAACATCCCTGAAACTGAAAGTGCACCGGAAACGCCAACCGGAGTTTCCCGTGGCTTGAACGCATGCCTGGTGTCTTGGACTGGCCTCAAGCGCTAGAAGACGTTGGATGAGGTCGTGTAGGATATGATGCATCCTCCTGGGCCTCCTGCATTGCTGAGCTGACGTCTTGTTGGTGCTGGAGAGCTCTGCTGGAATCGTGGACTTTCCCGTTCCGGCTCCTGCGCTAGCTGAAGGGCGCGGTTAGTTGCTTCGTCTATGATGACATGATTTGATCTGCAAACCCATTCTCTGCCGTTCTGGATCAGGGACCGTCGCGTGGACCTCTTGCTTCACAACACCTCGTCATGTTCAGCGCCATCAACTCCAAGCATCGACTCGTCCTGGAACCAAAAGGTATGCAGAACCAGAATATGGTACGCGCACCTGCTATGCACGACAGCTCGTTTACTGCAAACCCTGCTTTTCAAGCTCAAAAAACCTATCAAACGTGTCCTTCAACGTCTCGTCATGCGGTCGATCTGAGATCAGAATCAGCAAGATACCCGAACAACCACATCTTTCTTCACCTACAAGTCATTCCCAACTCTCTCTTACTCTTCTCATTCGAAACATCGTACACTCCGGGATCTGAGTGCAAAACGGTCGGCTTGGGCGGGGTAGAAATCTCGAAGTTTGTCGGCGTATTCTTGGAAATCGTAATCTTTGATCGGCTGGTAAGCTGTTTGGTTCTGAAGCTGGAAAAAGGAGAGATCAGGGAAGGACGTACGACCAGCAGATATGAGAAATCGCCCTTGAGCGTGTCGGACGGCGGCTTCATAATGGGCTTCAGCAGCGTCGCGTACCTACAGCATAGTCGCTATAATCAGCCTCTGTCATTCAAGGTCTATAGATAGCACTTACGTCAACATAGTAGGGAATGAGAGATGTCATGATAGGCTTATCCTTGCCGCCCGCAAGCATCCACATGAATTCAGTAGACATGCCCCCTTGCGAAAGAGATGAAAGTGGTTGGACTAGATGATGATCAGTTGTAGGCAACAGCTCAAGATATGAGAGTAGTGCTCACTTGGAGGACCCCAGATCAACACACAATTTATAGTCGCCAGACTCCAATCTGAGCCTTGGGCCTTTGCTTCTTTCTGAGCGTCCCAAGCTGCAAGCTCGGCGTATTTCTTGCTACCCATGTAAAAGAGCATACCGGGAGGGAAGACGGGGTTACTATGGTCTATCATCAGCCACAAGTATTATCCGATAGGACGGGGTGGCTTACTCGGACTTTTGGGTTGCAGAGATCTCGCCCAACTGTTCGAGCGTATACGAATTCCAGTCATCCTCTGTAAAAGTGCGACCTTTGAGCTCGGTGGGGTGGTACCGTCAGTCACCCACATCGCCTAGGATAAAGTCAACTCAATTCCCTGCTAGTTGAAGAGCTGAAGGCTCACCGATGGAGCTTGTAAGAACGACCGACTTGATATCAGCCTCCTTCGCCGCGGCCTGAAGCACGCCCTTCGTACCATCCACCGCCCGCTTCAGATGATTCTCCCTAAAGTCATCTTGACCAAAAATTACTGGCGAGGCCGCGTGCACCACCGAGTCAACACCTTTAATTGCGGCGCTCCAATCAGCAGATTCGAGGGGCCCGAAGCGAGGTAAGGGGCGTATTCCGGCACGGCCTCGACAGCAGCGCGTTTGGAGTTGGAGCGAAGGGTGCCGTGGACTGTCCAGCCGTGTCTGAGGAAGGAGTGGGCTATATGAGCGGCAAGCTACCAAGCAAGTCAGTATGTTTTATGGGCTTGAACAATAAGAAGAATAATCACAAAGCCGGTCATACCGGTGAGAAGGACGGTAGGCATTTCTGTTTGCTGTACGTCTCGACAGAGAATACAAGTAGGTAAACAAAATTGGGAAGGAATAGTACCGACGTGGCTTGATGTAAGACCAGTATTAGTATGATCTTCGTAGTTAACTATGCAAATCCGCCTTCACGATCGAGCATCGTTATGCGAGATGCTGAAGCACAAGCTGCAAGACAACGCCCTGATGGAGAACGTGGTGTTCCGTACCTCGGTACTCGGATCGCCGACCGATCGTTCCATCAAACCTTCTTCGTTGCTTGTTAAACGAAGGCGGGTTCGCTATGGATTTCGAGTACGAGTACCGTATTACTCATGTACTGTACTCGTACTGCATGTCTATCTTTCTTGCATATCTAGGGTTGTTATGGTGCAGGGTGTATAGTCTGCAGAAGGACATCGTGTACCGTGGGCCAGGGAGCTGCTGCCTGGCGCTTTCTATTCTGATCATGTGCAGTGAGTATGAGGTTCTTTGATGCGCGTTGGTGGACGAGGTCCACGAGGCCCACGAGGAGCAACGCTCAGTACCTGGCCTTGAGCGGTAAAGCTCTGCGCGTCTACTTGCACCTGCACCATCCACCGTCACGTTCTGGTCCGCTCTGTGCAAAGAAGCTACATACAGTATGATGTTTGTCACATCGGTACGATGATTATTTCATGTATGTACAGTACGATTGTTAAGGAATACGGGATGATAACATACCGGACGTTCAACGATGAAGGGGATACCGCCCAGACTGTGGAGAACATCCCATGTCGACTACTATCTCAACCCCTGCTGCTCGAGCTCGAAGAACCTGTCAAGCGCGTCCTTCACTGTCTCATCCTTCGGTCGGTCTATAGCACATCAGCATCATATCGTCTATGGGGCAAGGGAAGCTCACATTCAACATCAAGCTTTTCCTTACTCTTCTCATTGAAAACGAAGGTCGTATATTCCAGGATCTTTGTACTCGAGTACATGTACTTTCCAGGGACGCCCCTGGCGAAACGCCCAGCTGGGGAGGGGTACAAGCTGGGGAGCTTGTCCGTGAGCTCTCGAAAGTGGTAAGGTATCGTAAGATGTCAGCTGTTGAACAGAACAACAAGGCCAAAGTGAGGGACGGAAACTTACGACCAGCAGAAATGATGTAGCGGCCCTGTGCATGTTTGATTGCAGCCCGGTAACGGGCTTCAGCAGCATCCCGAACCTGCTATTGAAAAGCGTCCTGTCCAAGTGCATCCGCAAGACTCACATCGACATAGTACGGGGAGACGGATTCCGGCGTGTCTGGACCGCCTACAAGTTTCCAAAGAGGTTCGATTGACATGCCTCCGTTGTTGAGCGAAGTAAGAGGGTGGACTGCCATTCTCATTAGTTGGTTCTATCGGAGGGGAAGGGGAGGATGAGCTCACTGGGAGGACCAAAGATCAGGACACAGTTCAAAGCTGCCGGACTCCATTCAACGCCCTTGGCTTTTGCTTCTTCCTGGGCGTCTCAAGATGCGAGTTCGGCGTACTTTTTGCTGCCCATGTGTAGGACAGCGCACCGGTCGGCCAAGGGGCATTGCTGCAATCAATGCCCTGTGAGCATTAGGAGCTACATAACCTGGCCGGCTTACTTAGTCCGCGAAGATAGCAACAAGTTCTTCAAGGATGTACGGGTTCCAATCGTCTTCGGTGGTAGTGCGACCCTTGAGCTCAGTGGGGAGAAACTTGTACTGGCCCACCGCACCTGAAAACAGGATCAGCCCCTCCAACATGATTTGAGCAGCTTGACGTACCAAATGAACTGGTATATACAACGGACTTGACACTCCCCTCTCTACCCACAGCCCTCAGAACACCCAGCGTCCCCTCCAACGCCGACTTCAAATTCGTCTCCCTAAAGTTCTCATCTCCAAACTCCACCGGAGAGGCAGGATACACGACCGACTCGACGCCTTTCATAGCCTCTCTATAGTGGGCAGATTCGAGGGGACCGTGATAAGTTTAAGCTGGCCTGAAGGGAGGTAGGGTGCGTATTCGGGGATGGCTTCGACGGCGGAGCATTTGCGTGTTTGAGAAAGGAGAGAGCTATGTGGGTGGCTAGCTGCCAGGGAAGTCAGGACGAGTCGCTACACAACCAGACGAGGAGTCAAGTACTCACGAAGCCGGTTATACCATAGTCAGAAGAACGGCAGGCCTGTCTGCTTGAGGTGGAGAATGGAAATGTCGCCAGTGCTTGTCGGGAGATGGATATAATGTCGAAGCTGGCCATTGGGATACCCTGGTCGTAATTTCACCAGCGCATTGACAACCACAATAAATAGGCTCTGCACTTGCACAAGACCTCAGAACTCGGATCACCGATCGTGCCTCCTTCGACGAACCTTGCCAACGTCTCGGACGTCTCGTCCCCCGAAAGTGGCCAGAGAACTGCAGTGTATAGTCTAGAGTATGTAGCTTGGCATGCTCGCACTTTGCATGCCTCCTCACTTCATACTCTGTTTCCCGGTGTCCCGTCGCTTTCCAAGGCTCGTCATAACTGCTCGTCGCGTCAAGTCCAACTTAACGACTTGAGGTCTCTGCAACATTTCCAGTCAACAACTTTGCAAAAGCCATGATACGATAACATGCTATATATATATATGTATATGCACTGAAAAGGAAGAGAAATGCGCTATGATACTATTGACCAAGATTCTCGGTCTGGCTATTATACACTTTGCAGAACCATCTCCGCGATTAACCTCTTTTGTCTACGTCTTCCAAAAATGGTTATGGACAAATTTCTTGACCCAACCTGAAACTCGTGATGATTTACAAACACGACATCCCCCAACCCCTCTCTTCATCTCGCCTCATGAAAAAAGGTCATGATCTCCCCGAAAGACCGTTGATATCTTTAGTCCCCGTCGTAGCCCCGCCATCGCCTTTCGAAGGCGTCGACGACCCTTCTTCCTTCTTCTTTCTCGGTTTCGATCTCCCTTCCCTCTTTGCTACCTGTCTTGCCAGTCTTAATCCACATCTATCCACCATCATCAGCACTTACCCTCATACGCACCCAGTGCAAAAAGAAAAGACTCACGCATTACAAAGATCCTTCTTCCCAGTCTGCCCCTTTCTCCATTCGGGCGACTCTTTCGTGCCGCACATGACACAACACTCTATATCCCCTGGTGGCCTGACTAGAGGTCTGGAGCTGGCTTTACTATTCCCATTGCCTCCTCCTGCCCCTCCTCCTGCTTCACCCTTCCCACTCTTACTTTCCCCGGCCCCGGACCCAGAAACAGGAGCAGAAGCCAAAGCACCAACAGGCACAGACCCATGCCTATCCGCCGTCGCCGTCTGCGGCCCCGCCCCCTGCCCACCCGGTGCACCCGGCGGCGGATGAACAGTTCCCAGCCCGCTCGAGAGGGACGAGCCGTAATCTGGGGTGGGGGTGTAGTAGCCGTAAGACGACGTAGCGCTTGCGGGGGTGGGGTAGGCGTTGGATGGGGCGAGGTGTAGGTCGTTCCCTTGGGCTTGCCCTTGCCCTTGCCCTTGGGTATGAGGATGGGCGTGGGGGAGCGGGTGAGGGTGGGCGGAGGGGTGGCCGTGGTTGGAAGCGAGGTGGTGATGCCCGAGGAAAGACGGGGGGTTGTGCATGACAGGATTCTGGTTATGCCCCTGCCCGTGTCCGCCATGGCCATGACCATGATCATGTAAACCGAGAGAAGCAGAGTCCATAATCCCATACGCCCCATGCGGATCCCAATCGCTGAAATCGGACGACCCGCTTTCTTGGCGGTGCGGTAAGAGGGAAGGGTCGGTGGACCAATCTTGTGGGTGGTGTTGGCGATGATGAGGATGGGGATGAGGATGTGAGTTTTGGTGAGGGTGGGAGTAGGGGTGTTGATGGGGATGGGAGTGAGGGGTATGTTGGTGCACTGGGTGGGATGGATGAGGTGGGAGATGTGAAGACGTTGGCGCTGGGGATGGTGTAAGCGACGGTGCGCCCGTCGGAGGGTGTAAACCCCCATGACCCCACCCATTCCCCTGCTGCCCGTTCCCATTTCCATTCCCGTTCCCAAGCCTCTGCTGCCCCTGCCCCTCCAACCCCATCCCCGGCTGCCCCGGCTGGGCCTGCCCCTGCGCAAACTGCTCCATCCTCCTCTTCGTCGACGGCAGCTCATGCTCCTTGATCGTCTGGAAACACGCAAAGATCAACTTGCCATACGGGATAAACACGCTCGCCACCGTCCTGTGCAGCCCTTCCGTCGTCACAAGGTGATGCGCCCCATACCGCGTCGTACAATTCGTCCTCAACTCCCCCGGGCCAGCCGTCAACTGCGACGGATCCATATCCACATGCTTCATCATATCACAATACTCCAGCGCATTGTAATACCCATCCAGCGTCGCAAAGGACCCCTGTGCCCGGGGAGGAGGCCAGGAGAAGATGAGCTGCGTTGGGGTTTCGGGGGAAAAGTCTGGTGGGAGGAGGTGGAGCTGAAAGACGCGGGTTGGGGGACGCCCGGTGTTGGGGGGTATTGAGATTTTGTTGAGGACGTCCCGGTAAAGGGCTTCAATTTGCTGCTTCATGGTGTTAGTACACCTATTCTCGAAGAGGCGGGACTATGGGACTCACTTCGTCCGCCATGTACTTCGTACCGCACCAGTTCGACCATTCTTCGTGGGCGCGTTTGGGGTCGTTGTTGCCCACGGGGTCTTTATCTTTAATACTGTGGAAGAATGCTAGGAGCATGCCTTCTGCGACCTGGTAGATGGTCAGCTATGGTCGGTTGAGTGAGAGTGTACTTGCCCAGTTGAGCACGACATCCTCGATGATGTACATGTCGTCCTCAAAGACCTCATCCATGCCTTCCGGAAACTCGTTCTCTTCGGGCAGACACCCCAAGATGGTCCGTATACGCGACATTCTCGCGAAACGTACCCGGGTCACGCTCCCTTGCAGGTCGTCTGCACTGATAGCGCTCGTAAGATCCTTCCTCGCCTCTGCGGACAACATCAGCCACTCTTCCATGACAACGGTGTGAAAGGCCGCAAAGGACTGGCCACTCACGTTCACGTTCATGAGGATGTATAAATTCCAACACCTGCCGGCCCATCATGGACATCTTTTGCTTTGACAGATGGGCATCGAGGATGGGGTCGAAATGGACAAACTCGAGGTCGAGGCGGGGGGTGGTGATGGCCGGGTCGGGGTTGGGGGTGTATCTGGGTTTGAGGAGGGCCCAGTAGCAGCGTACTGCACCGACGCGCTGGTCACCCCATTCATCAAGTTAGTGGCCAAAATTTTGAACCAGCGCCGCAGGAAAAGGCGACAAGGGGGCTCGACTCACGGGTACACCTGGGATGCCGCTGGACTGGGACGAGCTGGAGGAGACGGACATGGAGCTCATGGCGGCAAGGGGGGGCTCTCGGGGCGTCGGTGCGCTGTAGAGGGGGGTGGAGGGGCTGCTATATAGGCGGGTTTGGTTTGTTGATGGCGGGCGATGATGATAGAGATGAGGAGAATTGCTCGATCACCTTGATAACCCTCGATCGCTCTGCGTCACCCTGTTCCCGCTAACCCGGCACACGGCTGGCTGCTGTTCTGCGTGGTTCGGTGGATTTCGCTGCCCTGAGCGGGGGATGGGGCATGCACAGACCCAGCTGGGAGGATGGAGAGAGAGGAGGAGGGCGTAGAGGAAGAGTATTAGAACGGGCTCCCCCCAACGCCCGACGTGCCACTCACTACCTCCTGGGCTCGATGCTTGTTTTTCTGGGCCGTAATCCCCACATCAGACAAAAACCCCGCCCCAGAGAGAAACACAAATCGGGGTTTGGGTGGGTACGCCCAGGTTTGGGCGAATAATTTATTCAAGTGGCGTGCCTAAATCAAAACCCTGACTTTCCCCACAGTCTTACGTAAATGCGTTAAGGTTGTCTGCGAGATCCAGATCTGGGTCTGTTTGTTGATGCCCTCCTTCGTATTCGTCGCTTTGCAACGGTTCCAGAACTCAATCAGAGATAGAGTAGCCAATCTGATTCTCAGTAGCGGGACGTCGTGAAGGGAAGGACGGTGTGATGCATGATCCTGGACCCCGCGCGACTACAGCAGGCGTGCTCATAAGGTTGATAAGCTTGAACGAAGATGTCTCAAACGGAATGTGGGAATGTGGGATCTGTGAGACCGGCTTTCGCTTTCTCTCCTCTGCTGTTCCTTGGCTTTTCATCAGACCATCACCCACTTGCAGACTGTACATCTCATACACCTTCATCACTGGTTCCCGAGTGGTCTCATATTTCGTTCCGTATGTACAGCAACTCATTTGAAAGGTGTGTATTTCCCGCCAACCTACTCTCCACCGGCTTTGATCTCGTTCCTACAGCTCTCAACACACGTGTCCTTATCTTTACCCTATGATTACGGACATTTCGAGAACGCGGTGACAGCTCGAGGGTGGAGGGTGGAGGGTGGAGGCGAAGTGGAGGACGAGGACGAAAAGGTGGAGGCAGAGGTGGAGGTGGACCACCCTGAGGTGGAGGACCAAATACCGCTTTCACATATATATACAGCGAGCTCGACAAAATGCCCTCCATCCGCCCACCACTCTTCATCCACTCAAACATACACCACCACAAGCTATAACAACCATGCCTACTGTATTGCTCACCGGCATCACCGGCTTCGTCAGTCCTCAACCCGAATACAAGCTGGGATGGATGCTGACCCATCGCACAGCTCGCCGCCCACGTCGCACTCTCCTTTCTCAGACACGACTGGACAGTCCACGGCACCCTCCGCTCCGAATCCAAACGCTCCGCCGTGGAGGCCATCCCCGAATACGCCCCCTACCTCGCGTCGGGCAAACTCAAGCTCTTCACCGTCGGTCCTCTCGAATCTGCCGATTATGAAGAGGCGATCAAGGGTGTGGAGGCGGTGGTGCATACTGCTTCGCCGGTAGAGTTTGGGAATGAGGGGTTCAGGGAGAAGCATTTGGGGCCGGCTTTGGAGGGGACGAAGGGGGTTTTGGAAGCTGTCGCCCGAGAAGCCAGCGTCAAGTCTGTTGTTTATACTAGTACCTTTGGTATGTTTCCCTCTTCAGGTGGGCGGGGAAGCGATCTGATAATGATGATAGGTGCTGTGGGCCAACACAGGTCTCACCCGACCGAGCTCAAAGGCCGCGTCATCACCGAAGACGACTGGAACCCATACACCCTCGAAGAGCTCGACGCTATCGCCGCCGCCAACAAGTCCGAGTACGTCCCCACCCTCTTCACCTGACCCCCTCCATTGCATCGCTAACAGCTCTTGGAAGCAACCCAAACCACCCGCCCGGTGTCTTGTTCTACATGGGCAGCAAGAAATACGCCGAGCTCGCCGCGTGGGACGCGCAGAAGGCCGCTCGAGCCCAAGGCGCGGAGTGGAGTTTGGCGGCTATAAACTGTGTTATGATTTTTGGTCCTCCTAGTACGTCCCTCCTCCCTCCCCTCTTACCCTTTTCCCCGCCGCTCCATTCTTCCCAACTTTGTGGTGGAGCTGATAGTCGCACAGTCCAACCACTTACGTCGCTGAGCAATGGCGGCATGTCAACCGAATGCCTCTGGATGCTCGCAGGCGGCCCAGAGACGGGGGTTATGGAAGCTGCTTTCCCTTACTATGTTGATGTGCGTTTTCACCCCCCCTTATGCTCGCTCTGTGTGTAGAGACTGGATACTAATTATGAGGGAATGTAGGTCAGGGACGCTGCCGAAGCGCATTACCAAGCTGCCGTCGAACATGCGCAGGGGAGGTTCATCCTGTCTGCTCGTGGTACGTCCTTTTCCTTCTTCCTTGTCCCGAGTCTCAGCTGACTTTTATGGCTGCAGCCTACGATTTCCAAGAAGTCGCCGACAAGCTCCGCCACCTCTACCCCGCCCAAGCAGGCCGTTTCGCACAAGGTACCCCAGGCAAGTATATGTACAAGGACCCTGGGATTTATGAGCTTTCAAATGAGAAGAGTCGGAAGGAGCTTGGTATTCAGTGTGAGTAGCATCGTGCGTCTGGGGGAAATATGAAGGCTGATACAAATATATAACTAGACCGAGCGAAGGATGAGACGATCAAAGACGCTTTCGATAGGTTTTTCGAGCTCGAGCAGCAGGGGTTGAAGTAGGGCGTTCGCTCTCAGACTTTTTTGCTTTGAGATCAAGAGACTCGTCGTGTTTGGTGACTGTGGATGGGGCTGTATGATGAGGTGGCTTTGATGCTCGAATGATGGGTCTCGCTTTTTTATATTCTGAATGAAGGTTGTGCTTTATGATAACCAGCAACTTGCACATGTTGGGTGCACATCCCATCCTCTTGGACCTCTTGCTGATACTGGTACAATCCGACTACCGACCGCGCACGACGACTTTCAGAGTACGCGTATCTTTTCCAAGCTTCTTCTTCCACCGACTCTCGACGCTCATATCGGAGGGGGCACGAGATGGAGTGGCAGAGGGGAGGAAAGTGGACGGATATTCAATTGGTTGGAGGGCGAGTCTCCCAACGTGCAGTGTTTTCCGTGAATTGAACTTGAGCTTTTGCATTCGAGGGTAACAAGCGCTGGGTGACACTTCCATGAGGTTGTAATTGCAGCATTTCAAAGTCTCTTTACATGCATATGCAAAGTATCATTCCATAAAGTACAAGGTCGGGATCATTTCAACGTCGTCAAGTCATAATCACAAACACCCCTGCACAAGAACCAATCCTTAAACACTTACCCCACCGCCTGCTCCCACATCCTCTCCCTCTGATCCCGTCTCTCCCTCAAAACACCCATCAAATCCCCAAGCCGATCCACCTCATCCAACTTCATCCCGCCCTTCCCCCACTCATCCTGTACACTCCTCCACATCTCGCCCAACACCGCATCCATCGTCTCCCTCCTCGTCGTCCACTTTCCCCCCGCCCCTCCTCCAAAGCTTGGGCTGGTAGGCGTCGTGGGGAGGATGGATTTACGGCGGGAAGAGCCCTTACGGTTGAGAGAGTCGGCGCGGGGGAGGGTGGAGGCGAGCTCAGCGGGGGATTTGTTGAGGTCGATGGTCTCGCCAAAGATGTGGGACAGTTTGCCGGCCCGTCTGCGGCGGGCGGTGTAGGATTGGTGGTCGGGACGCATTTGGGGGGTGGTATCGCCTTCACCAGAGCTCCGGGCTTGGGTGGGGGTCATCTCGGCGGGATCCATATCCAGGAAATCATATCCTCCCGTACTCTTCTCTTCCTTCCATCTCTCCTTCCCGCCCTTCTCGCTCTTCCCGCTCCTTCCGCTCGTGGGCGAGTCGATCACAGGCGAGGCACGCCCAGAATCGCCAGACGCCTGGCGCTGATGCTCGGGCAAAAGACTATCCATGACCTGCGCGAGCTTTGTCTCGTCATGGTCTACAAGGTAGAGCAAGCCCTGCAGCGAGGCAGAGTAAGATTCGAAAGACGATAGACGCTCTTCTGGGATATTAGGCGTGGAGCGCAGGGTGGAGGGGATGTAGATGCTGGAACTGGGAGGTTTATCGCCGAGTACCTACTGATCACGTCAGCTTCATTTGCCCCCCTCTGCTCCCTGATGGAGAAGAACGTACGTGTTCCAGCTTTGCAGCCCTCTTCCGAAAAACCATCTTCTCCTCCTTGCTCATCTTTTTCTTCCCCTCTCCCAGATCCATAAAACTCACCCCATCATCCCCACCTTCCGTTCCCATCCCCCCCATGCCCACCAAAGAAGACGAAGAAGGCAAAGACGACGACGACGGCGATCCAGAGCGCGAAGCCATCTTCCTATGCAGCCCCTTCAACTTTTCCCACTTTGTCGCCTTCCCCCCTCCTCCTCCTCCGCCGATGGTGTGATTAGGGCTGTCGTCGAGGGAGAGGAAGGAGAGACCTTCGAGCGATGAAGAGTCTGTTTGGCGGGATGGGGTGGAGGAGGAGGAGGTGGTGGAGCTTGTGGAAGAACGGGTCTTGTCCCCTTCCCCTGAGTCGGGGGCGGGGGCGGGGGCGGGCGTGGGGGTTGGGGTTGGTGCGCGGGTGTGGGAGACGAGTTCCGGTGGGATCGGAACGCCCAGCAGTCTATGCAACTATCCCCTCCCATCAGTTCTCTATCTCGTCATACGTATACGATGGAAAAAAGGAATGAAAAACGCACTTTGGCAAGCTGCACCCTCCTCACCTTCTTCACCGCCTCACTCTCCCTCTCCCCCTCCCCCCTCTCCTCCCCCTCCCCCAACCGACTCTCCCAACTCGACGTCGTCTTTGCACTCATCGGGCTCATCGGGCTGGCCGGACTTTCTTGCTCCCTATTAACCCCCACAGACGAGCTCGTACCCCTCGAGACAGTCTCAGTCACGCGCACCTGGCGCGAGACGTATACTCTCAGTCCGTCCGATTTCGGGCCGGCGGCGGAGAGGTTGAGCGCTGCGAGGGCTTTTTGCGCGAGGGTCATCTTGACAGGGTGTTTTGAGAGGTCGTCGTCGTCCCCGTCCCCGTGTAGAGAGGGTAAAGATCCACCGCCGAGCCCGGGGCCGGCGGGCACACGGCGCACTAGACAATCTTCCCTCTCCCACTCTGGCACCCTCCTCCTCCCTCCCCCTCCTCGGGCCGTACCGCCCGACCCCGGCGACCCAGTCCCAGGGGACGGGCGCGGACTCTCCGGCCACGCCTCCCCCACCTTGACATCATACTCCCTCACCCCATTCAGCGGCTCGATCAACGACTGCTCGATCTGCTTTTCCGGCAGGGGCTGGCCCAGGAGATGTTCGAGTTTCCTCGTCCGCTTGAGCAGGAGGGTGCGTTGGGAGGGGGTGAGGGTGGAGGTGCTTTCTATGAGAGAGATGTTTGAGGGGTGGGGGGAAGGGCGGGGGCGGGGGGTGGATGATGGTTTAAGGAGGGGGAGAGAGGTGTCTGACGTTATGCCCTGTAGCGACCCCTTGAGCAGGGGCCGCTTCTCGCCATTAAGCGTGTTGGCGATACTATCGCTCAAACTCGGGTGCAGGCTCGGGAGAGAATCGATCGAGACCGACCTGCCGTGGAAGCCGGCCAACCGGGGAGAAGGGGTTTTCTCGAGGGGGGAAGGGAGGAGGGCTTCGATGGTGGTGCTTTGGTCCCGGTCCCGGGTGGTGAGGGGGAGTGAGGCGGAAGGTTTGTGTCTCAATGGCGGCAGCGGTCCATTCCTGCTTCTTCGTCAGTACAAGTATTACCTCCTTCTTCCACACAAGTAAAGCACATCTCCAGGGGGGGACACACCTTTGTTCAATCGTATCCTCCAAAGCCTTCCGATCCAACCCCATATTATACCTCGCATACTCTGCTCCTTCGCCCAACATCTGATCGAGTTTACTCCTCCTGAAACCATTCTTCCGATCTCTCCCCTTGTCCCTCTCCCTCTCCCTCTCCCTTTCCCTTCCATCAATCTCCAAAGCCGGCTCCAACCCTGCTGCTGGTGGACCGGCAGCGTAACGAGGCGAAGGCGGCGAAGGAGGTAAAGTTGCAGGCGACGGCGCAATACGCCTCTCATTCACCCGGCTCTGACGCCAGAGGTACGCCTCGATCCCGCGCTCACTCTCTTCCTCCCGATGCTCTGCGCGATCGCTGGGCGTGCGTAGACCGAGCTTGTACCCCTCCCTCAGCTTCTCCAGCTTCTCCAGCGCCGAGTCTGGAGTCGTATCGTCTACGGCCTTGCCCTTGGTGGGCGAGTTGTGGGATGTGAATGGGTTCTCGGCTCGAGGCGAGGGTGAAGTTGGGGTTTGGCGAGGGGCCGCTTGTTCGGGGGAAGTGTGCGTACTCGAGTACCTCCCAAATGTACCCGCACTCATCCTCTTTTCCGGAGAATTCCCTCCCCCATCTATCTGCGCCTTCTCCCTCGTCTCGGCACCGACTCCAGAAACAGACGCTTCCGCCTCCGGTATCGAGCTCAACCCCGTCCCCGCCCCTTGACCCCGCTTGAACAACCCCGGCAAAGCCGCCAAGTCCGGCACATCCGGTACCGTGCTCGGCGCCGAAAAGTCCGAGTAGAACGTCGTGCGTACGCTGGCGGCGCTGTCGATGTTGCCTTCGCTGCCCATCACGGGCAGGTGGGAGGCGGGGAACTGGAGCTCGGTGGGGGCGTAGGTGTCGATTGTCGGTGCGGGGGAGGAGGCGAGGGAGGAGGGGGTGAGGGAGGTGGTGTGGGACCAGCGCCAGAAGGATTCGTTTGGTTGGGGTGCTTGGGGTTTGGCGGGGCGTCTGGGCGCGAGGAGTTCTTGTTGTTCTTGTGGATCAAAGGGGGAGTGGGAGGGACGAGCGGGACGGGGTGGAGATGACGCGGGGGGCTGCTTGACGACGGCTGCATCGCTTGCCGGCGCTGATCGCTGAGCACCGAGAGCCTGCTCCGTACTCGTACTCGGTCTCCCACTCTGAACCATCTCGCTCTTGGTGAGGTCTGTGAAGGGGTTGTTGAGAGGGAGGGAGAAGGGGCGCTTTTTGTGGTTCGGGGGCATGGCCAGGGGTACAGCGTGGCGAGGTTCTATTGCGCATGAAATCTATTGTCCTCGGGTACCGGACCTTGCTTGTGTGTGCTGATGTATACATGCCTGTGCCTCAGATATCTGTCAGGTCCGTCAGTAGCGTCCCATGTTCAATGCACGTGACTCACTCTGCCCCTCTCCCCTCCCCCTCTCTACCCCCTCCCCATGCACACCGATCCAAACAACGCTTTGACGTTGCTTTGACGAACCGATCCGTGCGTTCCTCTGCTGAGCGGCGACCTCCGTCTCGGAACTGATCGTCGCGACGGACCACCGAGCTTCTTTCTTTTCATTTTTCGTCCATAAACCCCTCAGGCGGCCATGTCTTTCTTCCACCCAGCCCTCAAGCCTCTGCCCTCACGGTACCTCCCAAGAATCAGAACATTAAGGCCCGTCTGCCGGTGTCTCTCTACGAGCACAGTGGTGTGGTCAGGGAGCAATCGATGGTCGAAAATCAGGCATAAGAAGGGGGTTGTGGATCAACAGCGCGGCGCCCTATTCTCCAAACTCAGCAAAGTGCGTCCCCCCCATCCCCCCTCTTTAGCTAGTAACTGACGAACAAGGGGTCATAGGAAATCATCCTATCCATGCGCCCGCCCGCCTCCCCAGATCCAGCATTCAACAGCAAACTCACCACCGCGCTCCAGCGTGCGAAAGAACAGGGGCTGACGAAGCAGGGGATTGAGAATGCGATGGCGCGGGCAAAGGTGGTAGCGGAAGGCGGGGGACAGACGGTGGTTTATGAGGCTCTGGCAGCGGGCGGTCAGGTCGCTCTTCTTATGTACGCCCCCCTCCCCTCCTCTCCATAACCCCACTGACGTATCGTTGGGGTTTTAGCGAATGCAACACCCAAAACGCCTCGCGCCTCGTCAGACGCGTCAAAGAGCTCCTCTCCAAGAACGGTGCCCAGACATCCGCCGTCTCTTTTCTTTTTGAGAAGAAGGGGTCGATCACGCTCACGCCGAACGAGGGAGAGAACGGGTTTGAGGCGTTGTTTGAGGCGGCGGTAGAGGCGGGGGCGGAAGATGTGCGAGAGGTGGAGAATGATGAAGGCGGTGTAGAGTATGAAGTAGGTCCCTTCCTCTCCTTCTCCTTCTGAGCCAAGAGACTGATACCTGTCGGCAGGTGATAACAACCCCATCAACCCTCTCCTCCATCACCCAGCTCCTCCAGCCCAACCCAGGCTACACTATCCAATCCTCCGAGCTCATCTTTGTCCCGAACGAACCGTTGAAAGTAATTGAAGAGGGGCAAGAAGCGGAAGGGGAAGGGGTGAGGGAAGAGGTGGTGGAGAGTGTGGGGAGGTTGGTGGATGTGTTGGAGGAGGAGGCGGAGGTGGAGAAGGTTTGGACGAATTTGGAGTGAGACTGCAGTCGGGGGTATAGCATGCATTGCTCATTCATTCTTTTGTACTCTTCCTATCGCAGACTCTGCCCCTCTCTGTGCAAGGTAAAGATCAACAAATGTGGTTTATCTCGTGCCTAGTCCCGTCACTCCGACTTTTGTTTTCATCGCTGCTTTCATCTCCATCTTTCACCATCTCCGCCATGTCCATCCCTCCCCCCGCCCCCTCTCGTCCTCTCCCCACCCCCTCCCCATCCCATCCCCCACCATCCTCACCCACCTCACCGCCCTCTCCCACCCCCGCACAGCCCCCCCTCTCCTCCCTCCGCACCTCCACCCCCACGCCCCTCTTTCCTCCCGCCCCGCCCCGTCCACGCTCCTCCCTTCTCCACATGGCGGCGGGAAGGACAAGGGCGAGTTTAGGGAGAAGACGGAGAGGGGCTTGGTGGGCGAGTTGAGGGAAGGGGTCAAGTTTTGGCGAGGGGTCGTCGAGGGGCAGGGGCAGGGGCAGGGCAAGGGAAGGGGGGGAGGGGGAGGGCGGATGTACCAAGCGCTAAAGGAAGTGCTCACCCATCAATCCACCCTCCTATCCACTTCCTCCGCCCTCCTCCCCCTCCCCTCCCTCCCCACACTCCCCACACTCCCCCATCCCCAAAACCAGAATCAACCCCCCTCCACCCTGCTCCAAACACTCTCCTCCCTCGCCGGCCTACAGACGTTTTTAGAGGATTCGCAGTTTGGGCTGCAGCAGGCGAGTTTGGCGATTGCTGGGGAGAGGGTGGTGGTGGATGTGGATTTGGGGGTGGACGTTGCGGAGGGGGAGGGGGAGGGGGAGGGGGAGGGGGAGGAGGGGTCGAGGATGGGTACGCCTTTAGGTACCCCTCTAGCTGCTTCCACCCCCGCCCCCGGGAGCGTGGGCGTGGGCGCAGGCCGCGAGCGCGAAGAAAAACCCAAGATCAAGCTCCTCAAACTCGAAGCATCACATGTGACGCCGAAAGGCGAGACAGGCCAGTCGTCGCACGTCAAAGCGACGCTCACAAAGCTGGTGGAAGCGTATTTGGAGCTTTATAATGCTGCCCCTGTGCCGCCTCTTCCCGTTCCTACCGGGTTTCCGAATACCGGCTCACAACAAGCCCCGCCGCTCACGCAACACGGACACGAACACGATGAAGAAAGAGGAGGGGAAGGAGGAGGAAGGGATCAAGCAGAAGCAGCAGAAGCGATGGCGGATATCATCAGACACTTGGAGAACGCGTTGCGGGCGTTGAAACGGATAGACGATGTGGCTTGTGCGGAGGGAGAAGGGGAGGGGGTGGTCGATTGGTTTGAAGAGGTTGAGAAAGTGGCGGGCGGTGTTGATGCGTTGTTTGGAGAATCTCTGTGCGTTACCCTTTTCCCCCTTCCAATGTTAAGTCTGAAGTGTGTAGCTGATGGTTAGGATAGGGAACATCAGGTGTACCCAGCTGAGAGGCCTTGTATCTTTCCTTCTTTCCGTCTTTTACCCCCTTCTCCACCTTTGTCTTCTGCATCTGGATCGACAAGTCCGAAAGAGGGCGGCAGGGTGGAAGCGTTCAACCCGACATGGCAGATCCGACCTCTCCTCTTGCACCTCAACGAATCCGTCCCTTCCCTCCTCCCTTCCCCCGCTTCTTCTCCAGATGGACACGGGGAAGGAGAAGGAGAAGATGTCACCATGGATACAGACACGCAAGAACATGAACATGCACAGGAGAAGAAGAAGGAGAAGAAGGAGAAGGAGGGGGAGAATGAAGCAGGAGGATGGCGGCTAGGGAGCGATTGGGTCATTGAATGTCTCGACCCTTCCGGGCTCGTGTGTCCTAGGCAATGGCTCTTATCAGACCAATATATACTTCCAGACCGAGGAGATGAGAGGGAGAGGGACGAACCCGCCAGCCAAGCGGGCCAAGTCGGATCGAGGATCGAAAGTCTACTCGTAAGTACCAACCTCTTCCCTGACGTTTGACGTTTGGAAAGGAAGTGTTACTGATGAGGAGGTCGTAATTGTAGTATCGACCATACCAACAACCTTCCTTCATGCCGCCTCAGGCTCAACAGCAAGCTTTCCCGTACACTTTACCGTTCGTACAGCGTTCTCAACCGGCCGCCCACCAGAAGCAGGGCGGAGGGGAAGGGGAGGGGCTGGAGCAGTATTGGTCGATAGCGCATCCTGGGCCTGGGGGATGGGTTGTTGGAAGGGTGGGGTTGGGGAGGAATGAAGAGGGATTACGGAGGGCTATCGTTGTGAGTTTCTCATTTCTTCTTCCTTTTCCCTTTTCTCTCTCTCCTGCTTTTCTAGACCCTGGAATCTGCATATCGGCATCCAACTTTCGGACTTCGAAGAAGGGACGTTTGTGCTGACAAGTATGGCAGGCTCTAAGACGGCAGACGGTCATGAACCAACTCTTCTACCAGGTATTCAAGGCAGAGTATTGTCGGCCTTATGACGTTGATGTCGGGAATGTGCCGGACCCTAATGGCGAGACCAACCCCAACCCACTGGACGGCGAGGGTGAGATGAAGAATGAAGGGGAGGATGCAGAGATGGCGGAAGATGAAGATGAGGATGGGGATGATGATTGGCTCTCTGGTACGTCCCCCCACGATACACCCGTGTACATACTTACGGTGAGAAGCAGCATCACAAAAATCAATCCCATGCTCCCTCACCATCCTCCCATCATCATACCTCATCGCCCTACCCATCCTCTCTTCAGAAGGCAAGATACGCGATACGCAAGTCACCGTTAAGCCGTCCCCGGTGTCGGTGGCGGGAGGGGGGTATGTGCATGTTGGGGTGAAGGTTGATGGGGAGGATGTTGGGGTGTTTGGGGATGGGGCTGGGGCTGGGGTTGGGGCTGGGGGAAGGAGGGATTTGGTGGGGATTGTGGATGAGGTTGTCAGGCTTGTCAGGGGATGACGGAGCTCGGCTTATCATGCAGCATGTTGACAACAACGTCACACCATCTGATCTTTTTGCATAATCCCATCATATCACACGATTCAGCCTATCCAACTACTCAAGAGCTAATAGACGACTCAATACTTGGACACGGCCTCAGGACTAAAGTACCACTCGCTAGTCTTGATATCCTCCACCAACCCCTTCTGCTTTGGCTGCCAGCTTAACCACTCTTTCGTAAGCTCGCTCGAAGCCACCATATCGCGCGTAAAGAACATTTTTGAAAGAAAAGCGTAATGCACTGCCGCTTCCTCCAAAGTAAGACTCTTGGTAGGAATCCCAAGCCTGCCAGCGACAGCCTCGGCGATAGATTTGAATGGTACCCCATCATCGTGGACCGCGTGCAAGACCTCCCCACCCTTGAGGGTCCTGCTCTCCAGCGCAAGCTTGAACACATTGACAGCGTCCTTAACATGGACCGCTGGCCAGTGGATATCCCCTTCCCCGACGTACCCCGCAAAGCCAGCTTTCGTGGACTGCTGGATGTAGAGGGTCATGATACTTTCATCCCCGTCGCCATGGGTGGTAGGGGCCATACGGACGACGTGGGAGCGGATGGCGGAGGTAGCGAGAGAGAGGACGAGGTGCTCGGCTTTGCCTCGGCCGGCGTGCATGGCGGGGGTGAGCTCGGAGGGGGTGGGGGAGGAGGAGGCGAGGAGGCCGGAGGTGGTGATGAGGGTTTTGGAGGTGCCCTCGAGGGCTTTGGCGAACGTTTCAACAGTGGTGTAGTCGACTATACGTCTGGGTTAGCTCTGAGATGAATAACAGGGTGAGAGGGGAGTACCTTCGATGGCTTTGGAAAAGTTGGCCATATCATGAACAAAGCCTAAATGGATGACGGCATCTGCCTCGGACGCAGCTTTGAAGAGGGCGTCGGTGTCTTCAAGACTGGCACGGATGACGGTTATACCTTGGTCTTGCAGTTTCTTGGCCTATGCCATATGTTAGCTTGAGCATAAGAGAAAGTCAGAGGGGACGTACGGAGGCGTCCGACCGGGCGATAGCGGTCAACTTGTGCTTCCCCTGGAGCAAGATAGGAGTAAGGTGAGAACCGACAAAGCCGGTTGCGCCGGTTAGAAAGACGTTGACCATGATGGAACTGAAAAAGAGAGTGGGTGGGGAGATGGATGGGCAGTGGACGCTGCTGCGTTATATATGGTGAATGGACGAGTGCGATGGTGGAAGGCCAGCGTGGTGCGAGCAAATGTCGGTACGCCGAGGTCGGTGAGAGCACATGGTCAGACACGTGGTTACCTCACCGGGGCTCGACCGGCCGAGGTGGTCTACAGTACATGATGCGATGTATAGCTAATCAAACATAAGCATGGTAAAGTAGTAATGGCATGTACTGTATTCAAAGCTCTGTAGTACTTGACATATGACGCTCAAAGTCCTTCGTCCCTGTGTGAATAATTCGGGTCGTGGCTGCTGTCGGCTATGACTCGCAATTTTACCAAACGAGTGATCATAATGAGTGGGTGGCATTTCCGATATCCAGAAGACTGTATGATCTTCTGCACAATACCATACTTCATGCGCGCCCAATGTACTCGTACACGATGATATACCACCCTATCCAACCACCCGAGCTACGACTCAAAACATCGACACAGCCTCTGGCGAAAAGTACCACTCACTACCCTTGATATCCTCCAACAAGCCCTTCGCCTCTGGTGCCCAGTCCAGCCAACTCTTTGTGAGCTCCCTGGAAGCTACCATATCCCGCGTCAAGAAAACTTGTGCAAACCACACATAATGCTCGATCGCTTCCTCCATCATCAAACTCTTGGTCGGGATCCCTAGCCTTCGAGCAACAGTCTCGGCGATAGACTTGGGGGGCACGCCAGAGTCTTGAACTGCATACAACCCACTCGCCTTGGAGAGTTGTACTTTCCAAAACGGACTTGTACACTTTCAAGCGTCATTGACGTGTACCGCTGACCAGTGCAGATCACCATCGCCCACATAGCCTGCAAACCCAGCTCTCCTAGACTGGCGCGGAGGATTCAAAGTCTGAGAAGAAGGTGGATCAGCAGCTGCAGCTCTTATGTGATACCAGTACAAGTCATATGTCATAGGTGGATAAGCAGAGTCGTCGCGTCGGTAGGCCGAGGTTGTGCGTGAAGGTTGGGTGAGATCACATGAGCTCGTACAGTAGAAGGCAGTTGGCCAGGATTGAAAGACTGACTTGCTGTAATCGTACGTGGCAATTCTGCTGTAGAAATCAAATACCAAGGTCACACTTTCAAACCTGTTCATGACATCTTTTCTTTACTATGTCGAGAAAATAAACACTGATCTTTCTTTCATAGACTTCATATATACAACAAGATGTCTTTACCAAGACTTGGGCGCACTGCCTTCTGCAAAGTACCACTCTGACTCCTCAATGTCCTTCAACAACGCCTTCTCCTTCGGCTCCCACCCCGTCCTCTCCCTCGTCAACTCACTCGTCGCCACAGCGTCCATCGAAATAATGTGCCCCATCCACAAATACGCCGTCTCCGCCTCCTGGGGTGTGAGGCTCTTGGTGGAAATGCCCAAGTGCTTGGCGACGACGGACGCGATTTTTTGAAAGGAACGCCAGCGTCCTGAGCGGCGTGGAGGACTTCACCGCCCTTCAAACTGCCAGTAGCATTCTCGAGCGCAAGCTTGTACAGCTCCGCCGCATCCTTTACATGCACCGCCGGCCAGTGATTCTCCACGTCCCCCAAATACCCCGCAAACCCAGCCTTCTTGGAGTGTTGGATGTAAAAGGTCAAAAACCCTTGGTCGCTATCGCCGTGTGTTGTGGGTGGGAGGCGAATGACTTGGGAGCGGATACCAGAGGAAGCGAGGGCGAGGACGAAGTGTTCGGCTTGGCCGCGGCCGGTTGTGAGAGCGGGGGTGAGCTCAGTGGGGGCTGGGGAGGAGCCGATGAGGCCGGAGGTGATTATGAGGGGTTTGTTGGTTCCCTTGAGACCTTTGCCGAATGCTTCGATGGCTGCCAATTCGACTATTCGAGATGTCAGCTCTGCGAGGAAGGAAGAGGAGGGGTCGTACCTTTGATAGCATAAGGCATGTTGGTGAAATCGTGGATGAAGCCCAAGTGGATGACACCGTCGGAAGCAGCAGCTGCCTTCTCGAGAACCTCGGTGTCTTCGAGAGTTCCACGGATGACGGTGACACCTTGGTCTTTGAGCTTCTTGGCCTATCTCGGATGTCAGCTTGGATATAAGTCGAAAGAGAGAATGGGTATACAGAAGCGTCCGACCTGGCGAGAGCTGTGAGCTTGTGGCCCGCGGCGAGGAGGACGGGGGTGACGTGAGAGCCGACGAAGCCGGATGCACCAGTGAGGAAGACGTTGACCATGATGAAATGGGATGAGTGATGAAATGGGATGAGAGAGTAAAATAGTGTATAGGGATATGGGAGGTGGTTGCCGGGTCTTATATATGGCCAAGCGGGCAAAAGGGAGATTGGAAGGAAAGCCGGTTTCGGCATGCCGCGCTCGGGGGAGAAGTCACTTAGTCAAGGTTATGACTCGCTGGCTATCTGGTCGACCGCTCCCAAGGCTCTGTGAATGAGTTCATGGATGGGCGCCAATAGTGGTACATACCCTCTGGTCGCCAAGTGCTGGAACTTTCAGCTCTGTAGTGGGGTAATGGAACCGTTATGACGAAGAACGACAACGAACGCGAGCGGCGTTTCCTTCTTCATTCAGCAACATGTGATGTCCTGAATCATTAGATACTGCTCGTGCACGCACTGTACTCGCACAAACATACATTACTAAATCCTACCATCCGAGCTATTTGGAAAGGGATCAGCTACAACGATCTATCTCCTCCTACCTGAAGAGAAAGCAGCAAGATCGGTAGGCCGAGGCGGACAGGCGCTTACTCATGCCTCTAGCCAGTGTTGTTTCATAGGCTTGCTCGGCTGCCTGAGTCTCCGACTGGCCGAGGCCGAGGGGCTGGAATAGAGAGAAAATGAAACCTTCTTTCCATCGTTGCTCAGAGAGACTCCCCGACATGGCGCAGAATGGCGGCGGCATGCCTCTTTCCCTCGGGCATTGGCCACATGCGGTTCGTTGTTGAGTCATCTTCTGCACATATCTGCCGTGGGTCAGACTGATGCCCCGGTCCTCGGCGAGTACTCTGCTCTTACGCGAACTCGCAGGTTGACAGCCAGAAGATGGGCGGGACATGCATGAGGGGAGGCTGAAAAAGAAAGTTTGTGCTGGGTCTGGACTGCTGGTTTTCGGAGCTGAAAAGTTCCTCGTTGATGTAAAATCATCCCAGACATGATGATAGAGAGTACAAGATACTTCTGCGTGATAACAGCTTTTCAATCCATCTACAAGCTACTACGATGCTGACGGTCAATACTTGAACGCGACCCCCTCCTTGAAATACCACTCCGAACTCTCCAAATCCTTTACCAGCCCCTTTTCCTCCGGCTCCCAGCCAAGCCACTTTCGAGTCAACCCACTCTCCGCCACCAAGTCCTGACCCCAGAAGAATGGCGCAAGCCACTCATACGACTGCTCTGCTTCCTCTTTCGTCAAACTCTTCGAAGGGATATCCCAGCGCTTGGCGACAGCTTCAGCGATCGATTTGAATGGGACGCCAGAATCTTGCACTACGTGCAAGATCTCCCCGCCTTGCAGAGTCTTGTTGGGGTTCTCAAGAGCAAGCAAGAATGCCCGAGCGGCATCCTTGACATGCACCGCAGGCCAACGAAGGTCCCCCTCCCCAAGATACCCCGCAAACCCGAGTTTCTTCGACTGTTGGATGTAGAAAGTCAAGAGACCGGCATCGCCCTCGCCATGTACCGTCAGCGCCAGACGGAGTACATGTGCCCTGACGCCCGAGGCTTTCAAGGTGGGAGAGAGGGTGAGGGGCTCGGATCGTCCTCGGCCGGAACCATCGGTGAGGGTGTGCTCTGTGATGGCTGGGGAAGGGGAGGGGGAAGGGGAGGAGATGAGGAAGCCGGAGGTGGTGAGGACGGTTTTGGAGGTGCCTTCGAGGGCGCGGGCGAATGTTTGGATGGTGTTGTAGTCGACTGTGCTTTTTTGTCAGCTCTTGTCCGAGTAAAGCAATAAAGGGTGAAAGAAGCGGGGTCTTACTTTCGAGGCACTTTTCGAAATCGCTGAAATCGTGGATGAACCCCAAATGAATGACTGCATCCGCTTCATGCGCGGCTTTGGAGAGTACATCCGTATCTTCAAGACTAGCACGGATCACAGTGACACCTTCATCCTCCAGCTTCTTCGCCTATCCTGCATATCAATCTGGATACAATGGGAAAGAAGATGGGACATACAGAAGCTTGCGACCTTGCGAGAGCGATGAGCTTGTGCCCCGCTTTGAGCAAGAGGGCCGTGACGTGGGAGCCAACGTAGCCGGATGCACCAGTGATGAATACGTTGACCATAGCTGTCGATTGGTTCCGGACAGGTGGAGTGGAAAGCTGAAGAGTCAAACGGTATACATACGTTATACGAAGAACACGAAGGATACAATGCTGAGCGAGCATGTGGAGGGTGATGACTGATCTCGGTACCCCGATCGGCTCAAAAAGCAAACCTCCACTTTTGCCCGTCGGCCACGTATAGGGCGTATGGCCATCTTTGTACGAAACGAGTCGACGTTGATAGCTTGTTGCATCACACCTTACTGCAGACAATGAATCTATGTACTGTTCAATACTTTGACACGGCCTCGGGTGTAAAGTACCACTCGCTACTCTCAATATCCTCCACTAAACCCTTCTCCTTCGGCGCCCAGCCAAGCCACTCCCTCGTCAACGTACTCTCCGCCACCAAATCGCGCGAAAAGAACCTCGCAAGACGAGTATAATGGACCTCCACTTCTTCTGGCGTCATGCTTTTGGTAGGAATCCCAAGCTTGCCAGCGACAGCCTCGGCGATAGAATTGAAAGGGATCCCAGCATCTTGGACTGCGTGCAAAACCTCTCCACCTTTGAGAGTCTTGCTCTCAAGGACAAGTTTGTAGACTTTGACAGCATCGTCAACATGCACCGCCGGCCAGTGGTTCCCGCCATCCCCTACATAGCCCGCAGAGCCGGCTTTCTTGGATTGCTGGATGTAGAAAGTCAAGAGACCGTGGTCGCCATCGCCGTGGGTGGTAGGGGCCAGACGGATGACGTGGGAGCGGATGCCAGAAGCAGCGAGGGAGAGGGTGAGGCGGTCGGATTTGCCTCGGCCAGCTTCGATGGCAGGGGTGAGCTCGGAGGGGGTTGGGGAGGCGGCGGCGAGGAGGCCGGAGGTGGTGATGAGTATTTTGGAGGTGCCTTTGAGGGCTTTGGCGAACGTCTCGACGGTTGTATAGTCCGCTGTATGCCCAGTTAGTCTTGTCAAAGGGTAACAGAGAAAGGGAGGGCGTACTTTCGAGAGCCTTGGCAAAGTTGGCAAAGTCATGAACGAAGGCAAGATGGATGACCGCATCTGCCTCGGACGCGGCTTTGAAGAGAACGTCGGTGTCTTCGAGACTGGCACGGATGACGGTTATCCCTTGGTCTTCCAACTTCTTGGCCTGTACACATGTTCAGCTTGGATACAATCGGGAAAAAGAAGGGACATACAGAAGCGTCCGACCTTGCGAGGGCGGTGAGCTTGTGCCCCGCTTCAAGCAAGAGGGGCGTGAGGTAGGAGCCGATATAGCCGGATGCGCCAGTGAGGAAGATGTTGACCATGATAAGACAGACGCGAGAGTGTGAATGAATATTAGATGAGGATGGGATGGTGGTGGACATCGAGCCCTTATATACAGCAAAGGGAGGAGTTTCGGCATGCCGAGCCCGGGGAAGAAAGCATATGAACATGGTACTCGTTACAGCAGCCACGCTGGCCATCTCACCGAGAGACGACGGCCCGAGGGTCTGCCCGTGAGGACATGGCTGGGTGTTTATTTTGGTACTATGCTTGCTCATTGGTTGTCAAGTGTTGGCAATTCGAGAGCAAGTTTCGGCATGCCGTGCTCGGGGAAGAAAGCATATGAACATGGTACTCGTCACAGCAATCACGCTGACCATCGCACGGAGAGACGACCGCCCGAGGGTCTGCCCATGAAGTGTTGGCAAAAGTGTTGGCAATACGAGCTCTGTAGTCGTTGGATAATCGCGAGAGCGAATCGTGTGAATGGATTAGTAAGGGGTGTGTTTTAGCTTCTTTCGCATTCAGCACCACATGATACTGGAACTATATGTTCTCTTGCGTCATATCATACTCTATTCACGCGTTCTGGACTCGTCGCTATACAACACTATATTCTTGTCCAGAGCTGTGCGGACAAAAGGAGCGGGCCGTGGCCTGAAAGATCAACAGACGACGACACTCGGTGGATGCTGGCAGATTCTTTGCCGTGCTGCCAGCTTTGACTCGTACGAGCACTGTTCATACTGCTGCATTAGACCAAGATCCGAGAGGCCACAATTTATAAAGCAGCTCCCCTGTTGCTCTATTTCGCTCTGAGGTCTTCGCTGTGACGATAGGTACTGGTAATTTATCTTCATAGTGTTTATCGCTTCTTATTCTACCATATATACTTATATGACGACCAATTCGGACGGGTACGCATCAAAACTTGGCGGCAGTCCCCTCTGCAAAATACCACTCCGTCTTCTCAATATCCTCCAACAACGCCCTCTCCTTCGGCTCCCACCCAGTCCACTCCCTCGTCAACTTACTATCCGCCACAGCATCCAACGAGATAAAGTGTCCCAACCATGCATACGTCGCCCCAGCTTCTTCCGGTGTGATGCTCTTGGTGGGGACACCCAAGCGCTTGGAGACGGCGGCAGCAACATCCTTGAAGGGAACGCCAGCGTCCTGAGTAGGGTGCAAGATCTCACCGCCCTTCAAGCTCTTATTCGGGTTCTCCAGCGCGAGCTTGTACAGCTCTGCAGCATCCTTCACATGCGTCGCCGGCCAATGATTCTCCCCCTCTCCCAAATACCCCGCAAAGCCAGCCTTCTTCGACTGCTGGATATAAACCGTCAAAAACGCTTGATCCCCATCTCCATGCGTGGTGGGTGGGAGGCGCACTACGTGGGTGCGAACGCCGGAGGACGCGAGGGAGATGGCGAGGTTTTCGGCTTGGCCGCGGCCGACTGTGTTGGCGGGGGTGTGTTCGTTGGGGGCTGGGGAGGAGGCGAGGAGGACGCCGGAGGTCATGATGAGGGGTTTGTTGGTTCCCTTGAGGCCTTTGCCGAATGCTTCGAGGGCTGCCAATTCGACTGACCACAAATGTCAGCGGTGAAAGAGAAGAGGAAGGAGGAAAAAAAGTACCCTTGACAGCATGAGGCATGTTGGTAAAGTCATGGATGAAGCCCAAGTGGATGACGCCATCGGATGCAGCAGCTGCCTTTTCGAGAATATCGGTGTCTTCGAGAGTTCCGCGGATGACGGTGACACCTTGGTCTTCGAGCTTCTTTGCCTGTCTCGGATATCAGCTTGGATATGAAGTCGAAAGAAAGAAGTGACATACAGAGGCGGCCGACCTTGCGAGGGCGGTGAGCTTGTGGCCCGCGGCGAGGAGGACGGGGGTGACGTGAGAGCCGACGAAGCCGGATGCACCAGTGAGGAAGACGTTGACCATCGTAGTTGCTAGTGGGGGATGGGATGTACAAGAGGTGGGAGAACAACGAGGATATATATATGTAGCAAGGGCAGGAGAGGTTTGTAAGCAGTCGGTAGGCCGAGGTCAGGCGACGACGCCGATGCCCGAGGGGCTGGATGTCTGCAACTCTCCTCGCGTTTGCGTCGATGAGCAACAACGAGCACAAAATGCCTCACATTAGTGTGTACGAGGGTATGAGTCATTAGCAAGTAGTGGAGAGAACAAGTAGACACCATTTGCCTTTGAAGACTTTTTTCAGCGCGCTATGAACAACTCTACCCAGACTTCTACATTTTAAAACTTGGTCACACTAGTCTCCTCAAAGTACCACCCACTCCCCTCCAGATCCTCGATTACCCCCTTCTCAACCGACTCCCACCCAAGCCACCTCCTAGTCAGCTCGCTCGACGCAACACAATCAATACCCAAGAACAATGCCAAGAAAGTATAAGTCTGCCCCGCCTCTTCCTTCGTGATACTCTTGGTGGGGATGCCCAGTCGTTTGGCCACGGCGGAAGCAATAGTTTTGAGGGTGATACCAGCCTCCTGCGAGGCGTGGAGCACTTCACCGCCCTTGAGGGAGCCGGAAGCGTTCTCAAGGACAAGCTTGTAAACTTGCACCGCATCCTTCACATGCGTAGCAGGCCAGTGGTTCTCCCCCTCCCCGATATACCCCGCAAACCCAGCCTTCCTCGACTGGCCGATATAGTGCGCCAAGAAGCCCCTGTCGGTATCGCCGTGCACGGTAGGAGGCAGGCGGACGACGTGCGAGCGGATGGAGTGCTCGGGGGAAGAGAAGGAGAGGGTGAGTTGCTCGGAAGCGGCGCGGGGAGGGATCTTGCCGGGGGAAAGCTCGGTGGGGGTGGGGACGCCGGCGACGGGAATGGCGGAGGTGGTGATGAGGGTTTTGTTGGAACCCTTGAGGGCGGTACCAAAGGCGGTGATAACGGCGAGGTCGGCTGTGAGTATTGTCAGCTTTTGTTTCTCATTCTTCGACGTTGGGAGAGGGGGCGTACCTTCGACAGACTCGGCATAAGACCTGGAATCATGGATGAAACCCAAATGAATCACGGCATCCGCTTCTCCCGCGGCTTTGGCGAGCACGTCAATGTCCTCGAGTGTGGCGCGGATGGTGGTGATACCTTGGTCTTCGAGCTTCTGCGCCTGTTTTGCTTCCGTCAGCCTTTGACTCGAGAAACAAGGAAGAGGAAGAGACGATACGCACAGCAGACTCCGACCTGGCTATAGCAGTGATCTTGTGCCCCGCAGCGAGGAGGATAGGGGTGAGGTGGGAGCCGACAAAGCCAGAAGCGCCGGTGATGAATACGTTGACCATTGTTTGTCTTGCAGATTTATTGGCTAGTTGTTGATGTGCTGAAAGCTTGCAGAGCTGTGATGTGGATGGGAAAGGTTGATGAGAAGGGAGAAGAGTCAATGTTTTTCAGCCTTATATATCTTTGAAAGTGACGAGCAAGAACGCCATACCTTACTCATCTTCGCCTCCTATCGCTCTACCGTTTTCGGGCGCGAGGGCACGAAAGCCGGGCAAAGGGCCCTTCCTGCTCAGCACTGTTCAGCAAACATCTTGCTTTCCAATGCATCGTGCTCAGAATGAGGCGATGACCAAGAGGTTGCCATGCGAAAATGGCTTGTTGCAGCGAACAACGTGTTTGATTTCGCAGACTATGAGTCAAAGGGTGGCCAATGCCCGAACGAAACCGAGACCTCCGGAGTTCTGCTGAGAACTTGTACGGTCGTCTTGTGCAGCCAGGGGGGGGGCTGGAAGGGGAGGGAGGGGAACCGACTGGGGTAGCGAATACCGAGGGCGTGATGTGCACGAGTAGGAGTCCGTTGACCGACAAGTGCGGTCATGAGTGTGGAATGGGTAGTGCTTGGTAACATGCCATATGCCTTTGGGAGAGGAGGATACAGCTCCATGCCGGCCGTTTGCTTGGGACTGCCAGCCGAGCGGGATCAATTGCGTTGGGTGGAGGTGCTCTTCTCGTCGCGTCGCGTCGGGCCACCGATTCAAGCCGCCTTCAGAGTTCTGCATGCGGCCATGCCTGACCTTCTTCTATAACGCCCATCATCCCCACAATCACTCAGACACTTCGCAACATGTCCAGCCTCCTCTCCCCCTTACGGCCATCAGCATCAGTACCAGCACTATCACCAAAAACAGAGAAAGAGACAGCAAGTATAGAATCGACCCTCTCCCAGCTTTCGCAATACCGCAATGTCCGGGGCGTCATGGTCGTCGCCCGACCCTCTCACCCCGCCAAATCCGGAGCAGAGAGTAGAGTAAGAGAAGGAGAGCGAGAAGGAGGGATAGTACAGATTTCGGGTCAGGCGTTTGAAGGTGAAGGAGGGGAGAGGTATGCGAGGGTAGTAGAGAGGATGGTGGCTGGGCTTGAGGTGGCTGTGGATGAATGCGAAGAAGGGGTAATTCTGTATTCATGCTCCTTCAGGTAGCAGACTACTGACACACTACTTTCTGTAGGACGAGCTGAAACTCGTAAGGATCAGGACGAAGAAGCACGAGCTCATCATCACGCCTGGTAAGATCTCTTTCACATCTTCGCCATATGAGTGTGATTGGAAGTTGCATGGACTGACGCTTGTGCGGTATGTAGCTGAAAAGTATGTGCTGGTGGTTCTGCAAGACCCGGGAGAATGATTCGCTGTGTTGTATCCGTTTACGACCTTTTGACGACTTTGTGATAAGTTTGCATGCACGTCAGTCCATATACTTGGATTACTTCGCACACTTTAGTACATCGGCTACTTCAGCCTGAGATGCACGGGGGTTGAGTGAACCCACAGCGCTCGGGACACCACATTCTAAAACCACCACCCGGGTTTGTATGTTTGTGTCCAATCACAAAACGCCCTCGCCGCGACTAACTACCTCTATCATCACATCATTGAACGCTATGCCTTATCTTCTCATTCCTCCGCCCTCGATAGACACAGTCATCCCCAAAATACCACCCACTTCCCTCCAAATCCTCAACCAACCCCACCCCCTCCGGCTTCCACCCAAGCCACGCCCTCGTCCACTCACTCGACGTTCTACCATCCTGCACCATCATCTGTACCCCCCAGGTATATGCCTCTTCAGCTTCTTGTTTTGTCATGCTCTTGGCTTTGATGTTTAGACGTTTGGCGACGGTGGAAGCTATGTCAGAGAAGAATACTCCAGATTCGTGTGAGGCGTGGAGGATATTACCGCCTTTGAGATGGATGGTCTCCAGGGCAAGTTTGTACACTTGCACCACATCTTCAACATGTGCAGTAGGCCATCGATGTTCCCCATCTCCCACATACCCCGCAAAACCTGCCTTCCTCGAACACTCGATATAGTGCGCCAGGAATCCTGTATCGCCGTCGCCATGTACGACAGGCGGCAAGCGGATGATGTGCGTACGGATACCAGCTGAAGAGAGGCGTAGCGTAAGACGCTCGGATGCTGCCATTGGAGGGACTTTGCCCGGGGAGTATTCGTGGGAGTTTGGGATACCGGTGACGAGGGTGCAAGAGGTGATGATGAGGGGTTTGTTTGTGCGGCTGAGAACGGTGCCGAAGGCGGTGATGATATCTAGGTCGGCTGGATCGGGGTAAGCTCTGTGGTGTAGATGGGATATAGGGTGGAGAGTGGGAGGGGACGTACGTTTACAACCTAGGTGGATGACAGCGTCGGCGTCTGAAGCTGTTTTCGCCAGAACGTCAATATCTTCTAGAGTAGCGCGGATGACGTTGAGACCTCGATCCTCGAGCGTCTTTGCCTATGAGGCCTTCAGTATGGAACTGACTGACCATGTAGCGCATAGCTACAAAGAAGACGTACAGCAGAGTCAGTGTTGGCTATAGTAGTAATCGTATGCCCTGCATTGAGGAAGCGGGCGTAAGGTGAGAACCGACAAAGCCGGAAGCGCGGGGGATGAAGACGTGGACCATTGCTGTTATGAGTGCCGCTGAGGGTTTTCTTCTCCGTCCCGAGGGAAACAGAGACTTGTATATATACGAGTGATGACTGGCCAAAAATATCGCTCTTCCATCGAGACGAACAAAGGACCTTCTTCTCACGAAAAAATTCACTCGTGCAGTATCATGCTCAAAGGTTGTCAAAGGCGTCAACTGGGACAACGTCCATGCTCGGTAATCCCTTGCTCTTCAGGCATCTTTTTTGCCTGCAAATCAGAGGTCATTCCACTATCTGAATAGAGGTTACCGTGGTGTTAAATACAAACCACATGGTCAGACTTGGCGATAGTAGTGATTTTGTGACCTGCAGCAAGGAGGATGGAAGTCAGGTGAGAGCCGATAAAGTCTGAGGCACATGTGATAAAGATGTGAACCATTGGCTCTCGAAAATGTCCTTACTTGCCAGTGTTCGTGAAGCGAAATAAAGACGCTGGCTGGATTGAACGACAGAAATGACAAGCCAAAAATAACGAGATGTCATCGGAACGAACAAAGGACCCACTGTGTCTGGGGTATGGACATGTGGGATGTAGACATACTATGTATGCAGAAGGGCTGTCAAAGGCTCAGACCGTCCTTGGGGCAAGAGGATCGTGCCTACATCTGGCACCTCGCTCATCACCAACAGAGAGTTATATCTTCGTCTTGTAAAGTCGTGCAAAGTGTCAGACTGAATATTCTCATTCATGTTTTTGGCTCTGCTATTTAGAACGGCCAGGATGGACACGGACTACACTCAGCCTCCTTCATCAACACTCCCTTTGAAGTCATTCTGACTAGCAAGATCATCTACCACGGCCAGCATGGGACCATCTTGGATTACTTACTACTGTTGTCGTTGCTGGTTTTGCCCGTCCAGCGCCTGATCGAATTCCAACTGAGAATCCCCCTCCCCTCTTTCAGCTTTCGCTTGCGCCCACGCGGTGTACAGTTCAATCTGCTCCTCTTCGGACATGGTCAAAGACGTCTGAGCGGTACTGATACGGGATTCGAGATCGGCTATCTTGTGATTCAGGGCCTGGTGATCTTGGGCTGCTCGTTTTATCCTGGCGTGACTTTTTCGGGCTGTATGCAAGAGTCATGTCAATACTCGGACTTCAATTAGATATAACTTGATACGTACAGTTTTGGAGCTTTCTCTATCGTTGAGCTGCGAGAGACTCCGCGGTCATATCGGCTAAAACCGATTATGGAAGACGAAGGCAATGTCAGCATCTTGATGCTGCTTAATGAGCGACAGCTAGTGCTTGGTTGAAACATACATTTCTTGGTGCTTTTTCTTCCTGTGTTGAAGCCTGTTGCCGACTGCACGCAGAGCCCAACGAGTCAGCATTCGATCTATGATGTCTTCTGCTAGACATGTAGGGGGTCTGCTGCGAGGCTTGGCAGCAAAATGATATTGGCGGGACATACTGTATCAGAACCCTCGCCGAACGTGGAGGTTCCGGCGGCAAGATTTCGTTAATCTAGGTGGCGACCTTCTCTGTTTGGCTGAGATGGATGTAAAGTCGACCGTTCGGAAGAATCTTTGTTGGGTCAATAATGCCATGCTGTCAGGAGTGACCTTTAGAGCTATCATGCTTACTCACCCTGGCATAGTACAATTCGTGGGCTGTAGAAGAACCGGCAGCGTTGGAACCGTCGTCGTTTGGGTTGTCTTCGCGGCCTGATCTGTCGTTGTTGTTGGACATGATTGTTTATCGAGATTGATGAGAAGACGGATTGTAGCACGGGATTCTGGTGTAAAAACACTGCATACGCCCCGATAATGAGATAGTCACAATCCACCAGCGCCGCTGAGAACTGGTAGGGGATCATTACTTTCCACGCAAATGTGTGTCCTTCCCATGGTTTAATTGCTGATGCCACGGTTCTCCTTTATCGGCGGTGTTTCTGCTGGCTCCCAAGACTTCCAGAAGTCCATTTTCCATTCTATCGTCTTTGATATTGACCTCGAAGCTCTGCCTCATGAGACCATGTACTCGTATTGCTGAACAGTAGTGGCAAGTCGAGTGGCACCCGCCGCCTGTCAATCGGGCGCGGGCTTCCGAGGTGATGATCAAGATCTGCTTGCTCAGCCCGCGCCTCCACCTCGATCCGGCCGAGATGCTGAGTGAGCCGTGTCATCGCGCTGCACGACTATATAATCCCCGCTGCTTTCCCATCTCCCCTCATCCCTACTTCCACTCCCATCCACATCCACAATGGTCAACGTCTTCATCACTGGCGCCTCAGGTTTCGTCGGCTCCCACGTCACGCCCATCCTCCTTGCCGCGGGGCACAAGATTACTGCTATCGCCAAGTCTGACGCATCCGTAGGTCCCCTCCTTCTCCCTCTTGCATCCAGACTGACAATTGGATCAGGCAAAGAAGCTTGAGGACCAAGGTGTCACCGTCATCCGCGCAAGCCTCGAAGACACCGATGCTCTCGCCAAAGCCGCTTCTGAATCCGACGGTGTGATTCACCTTGGTTTCATTCATGACTTTTCCAACTATGCCCATGCCGTCAAGGGTATGTTCCTTCCCTCTTTGAACATATGTGTCCACAGGAGCTGACAATGCGTTCAGTTGATCTCGCCGCCATCGAGGCATTCGGCAAGGCTCTCAACGGGTCGAACAAGCCCCTCATATCCACCTCCGCCATCCCCGTTGCCGGAATCCACAACCCCTCCGAGCTCTCTCCCGGCACCCAGCCTCCTCGAGACAAGTCTGAGCACCTCGTCACTTCCTTCGCTTCCTCTGGCGTCCGCTCCCACGTCGTGCGCTTGCCGCCCACTGTCCACGGCGATGGGGACCAAGCGTTCTTGACACACTATGCCCAGCAGTCGAAGAAGGCTGGGTTTGCCGGATATATTGGGGATGGGGAGACCCATTGGCCGGCTGTTCATGTTAAGGATGCGGCGGAGATCTACAAGCTCGTCTTGGAAAGCACGACTCTCAAGGGCGGCGAGATTCTCCACGCTGCTCAAGACGCCGGTGTAGCCTTCAAGGACATTGCTGCCGCTGTCGCTGGCCGTTTGGGCGTCGAGACGAAGAGTATCACTGCCGAGCAAGCTGGGGAGACTTATACCTGGCTTAGTGGCTTTATCGCTTCTGATACGGTGGCGGAGAGTCAGTTGACTAGGAAGTGGCTTGGGTGGGAACCAAAGGAGAAGGGGCTGGTGGAGGACATCAAGAGTAGCAAATGGTACTTTGAGCCGGGAACTGAGACCAAGTTTTGAGTAGCCGAGACAGTATCGTAGTCTTGTTGAACAAAAATGAATGTACAAGAAGTGTATATGATTCTTCGATCGATGCTCAAGTCGAAGCCTTCCTACCCACGCCTCTTCCATATGATGTCCTAGCGGAGAAGTCTGGGCTCAAGAAGTCAAAGCGATTATTTGGGAAGGAGAAAGTAGAGGCTATAAAGCGTTCAGAAGGACAACGGAAGAGGTTGAGTCAGCTGCCAAGGAAGAGAGTGACCAACAGGAAATTGTAGACAGTGCAACAACTGATATAGTACTCGTACATATGCTGGTTCGGTGATAAGGACTTTTCCTCGTGCGTTCAGCGCAACAGTCAACTATACTTTTGCATCGCATTTTGCTAATCTGCATCTTCATTCCTCTATGCTATGCGTCGTGAGAAAGACTCCCATATCTACTGTTGCCCCTCTCATATCCTCGTCTCCGTCTATTACGCCCCTTCCCCTTGGGGCTCACAAACAAGTCCTCAAACGAGCCCACTGTCGGATGTGATATCACGCCATATGCGTCTTGCAGCATTTTTCCCAAGAAATCGAGTTCTGCGATCACTTCCTACGAGTATCGTCAGTCAACTACCCATGCGAACGCAGAAAGTTGCTCACCTGCATAGCCAAAGCGTAGGCAAAGAACAAGAGATGTCGTCCCCCACTCTTCAGCTTTCGTCGTTTGACGACTTCGAGGCCGCGGATAGCGTTGACGAGCCGTTTTCGTGCGTCCTCTGCTGGGGGGAGGTAGGGAGGGACGGGGGTACGTAGTCGAAGACCAGCTGAGAGGGTGTAAAACTATAGATGCGTCAGTTCAATGCCAGGTAGGGTGGGAAAGAGCAGGACGACGTACGTAGAGAATGACGTTGCCGGCCATTTCACGTCGTTCTTTGTTGACGGGAAAGATGAAGGCCTGTCGCATATCGTCGTTCCTACCCTGGCATTAGCTTGGGCCTGTGATGATGGCTTTTGGAAAGATGGCTCACCATTCGTCTCGGGTAGTGACACATCGCATACTATGCAGCCGATCCAACACTCTCTCGCAGCTCAGCAGCACTTCGTGGTAGAAGCCGTACGCAAAAGGACCTTTGAGGCGAGGTTCATTCTTTGTCTGAGCGAGTAGGCCGCGCAGGTAGTCGAGTTGGGATTGAAGATGAAGCTCCCTAGCACTGAGTCGGCATATTGACTGATAGACAATTTGGGGAAGAGCTTACATTGCCATGAATTGCCTGACGCTAGAGCTCAAATGTTGATGTCCAACAGACCAAGGAGCAGAAAGCGGCGTTGTCTCGCCAACATCTCCCTCGTCATCACTGTCGTCGCTTGAGTCGTCGCCTAAATTGTCTCCTTCGGTATCGACACCTTTGCTGTATGTCGTGACGAGCTTGGAGTAGAGATAAGAGAGGTCGAGACAGAAGCTAAATGTAAATCAGCACGTGCGCCTGGGAGATTGAAAACAAAGACGTGCTCGCTAAGACCCATCCGGAACTCTTGCCTCGCCGTAAAAGGCCACCAATACCTCGAAACAATCCCGGCCCAAATCACCCCCGCAATAACACTCGTCGACCTCCTAAACGCAATCAACTCTACGCTCACCTCCCCTCTTGAATTGTATTCGTAAAGACAAGAAAGATTGTATGTGAGGAGGATAAACCGGCCGGCATTGTTGTAAGCGGGGAGTTGTGTGATGATGTAGAAGCAGGGCATGGAAATGAAGAAGCCGCAGATGGGGAGCATGATGGGGTTTTCGGGAAAGAGTTTGGTGAAGATGACGGCGCATGTGCCGCCGATACTACGAGATCGTCAGCTCATCTTCTCTTCGAACACGAAACGATACGCACATGGTACCGAAGATCCTCGCGAGGGACAGATAGTTTGTCTGTCCCACCGTCTGGCTCATAGCCGCCAAGTACGCGATCAAAGCCCATTCCCCTCGATACTCTAGAAAGTAATCACGGCCCATATGCGTATACGCCGGCAGCGCCAACATAGCTAGATGGCATGTCGTCAGCGTCCCTCCAAACTCCAGTCTAGGAAGAAACTCACCGCCACCCAGACCGGTCCTGATTGCATACCGCATATCCGGCTCAGCGAGCCTCTCACCAAAATACCACCATGCCCTCTTCATCCTCTCAAACAAGGGCGCACGTTTCGGAGTCGCGTTGGAGGAGGCACTTGTAGCGTCGCGGCTGTTGCCAGGGCAGAGAGGCGGTTGTAGTTTGGACGGATCTATGGGGACGAGGTTTTCTGCCAAACCCTGTCAGTCAAGAGTCATGAGGGCAGGGGTGACGACGTACGAAGCTGCTTGTAGATATAGTCTCCCCGTCCTTCTTTCCTCCCGCGCTTGCGGCCAAAAACATGTTTGATGTGATCCCAGATCGACGGCGTGTGCGAGACGGCGAGCTCTTGCATCGTGTCAAGCAAAAAGATGATCTCGCGAGCAAACTCTTCATACGTGAAAAGAAAGCTTGGCATCATCAGCCTTTACTCGTATCAAAAACGGGACAAGAACTCACAAATAGATCCAAAAGACAGTCTCATTAGGTCCATCCGCAAGCTGGCTCAAATCACTCCCCGACCTCTGTCCTTCTTCCCTCCCCTTCTCCTTTTCCTTCGCCTCATCATCGTCCTCCACCGGGCCGGCATACACTTCTTTGATAGCACGGCTGGTGATGAAGCGAAAACTCCGGAGGGTATCGGCGAGTTTAGTGCGCACGGCAGAGAGGTTGACTTGCGTAGGGTCTGATCGGGAGAGAGCTGCTACCGTCTCTAGCGCTTCGTCACAGCAGTCCTTTCATCCCCATCAGCCTCGCCCTATCCCAAAAGAAGGGAAAAGACAAATGACTCACATTCAAAGAAATCATTTGCGCCCCCGCACTCTTCCTAAACTCCAAAAACAGCCTCACACTCGTCTCCACATCATCCTCCCTCACGGACTCTTTCCTCGGTCCATCCACCGGCGGGAGGGCAGAGATGGAGAATATGGGCGAGTCGATATTCGTCTGCGTATCGAAATCCCAGCTGACTTTACCCTCTTTACTCGCCCTGATCAGACTCTCTTGTAAGCGCGTACAGCTCCTCAGCCCGCCTAGGTGTTGTGCCAACCTGCCCAAACTGGCGACTGCAGCTTCATACAACCTCAACTTTTTGCCCCTTATCCGCTCATCCACAGCACTCTCATGCCTCGCCTCGCTCAAATCGCTTTTCAGCGTCTTGAAAGAAACAGCATGCGCTTTGATGGCGTCTTTGATGGAGGTGCGGTCTTCTTTGATGATGGTCTTCTCGAGCAGGAAGGTGGAGGTGAGGATGTCGAGGAGGGTGGAGAAGGAGGAAAGGGTTTTGGAGATGGAAGATTGGAGGCGGGAAGTGGCGGAGAGGGGGAAGACGGTATAGTTGACGAGGTTTGTGATGCAGACTGGGGCTGATTTCAGCAATCGACAAGAGGGGAGGAGGGAGGAGGTACTGACCACCGATGGCGATGATTTCGAGCGTCTCGGCTAGTTTGGGGAGGGCACCGTCGCGGATGACTACGTTGTACAACAACATCGCTGCCATCGAGCATCCTACCACCGCGTCAGAAACGCAAAATGTAAGAAAAAAAGGATACAACGTACCACCATTCCAACTCGGATTCCCAACATACAACTTCCCCCAAGCCAACAACCCCAACGTCCCCCCGATCCAAACGACACACATCACCCAATCCCCCATCTCGCTCACGAGATCCCACGAATGTCCGTGCGATGGGGAAAAGTGGTCAAAGAGAAGGACGGTGCCCATACAGAAGAGGGAGGCGATGGAGGTGATGAATGTGAGGACGATACAGTAGCGGGTAGAGAGAAACATGTTGCCGAGCGTTTTGGCGGGGTTGAACTGTATAAAACGTCAGGGAGGAGTGCTGGAGAGAGAAGGAGAAAGAGGTCTTACGTAGACGACGATGGTAGCGACCATATGAGCCTGGTCGGCGGGCTTCCAAGTGACTCGACCATGGATGTCGGTCATCGACTCTCTTGAAAGCAATCGCGAGAGTGCAGGTACGAACGTGAAAAGGGATGCGATAAAGTACGCCACAGCGCATTTGAAAACCGAGATCGTCACAAGCGACGGCGGCCATAGACCTATTTCCTTCATCAGCCCCTGTTGTCGACGACCCCGCAATGAGAGGGTGAAGGAAAGCAACTTACCAGGATTTTTCAACCGTTTGGACGGTTTCGGATCAGGCGCAGGCTTAGGTACATTCTCGGAAAAAGGCAAGTCTTCCTCCGCCGTCTGTGCTCGAAAAGGCGACTTGCCAGTCGACTTTGGCGACAACTGGCCGCTATCAAAGATCCCACCATCATCCGGGCCATCTTCCAACTGTCTCGGCGTTGTCGATTTTGGTGAGAGCGTAAGGTCGCCGCCGTCGAGGATGGAGGAACCAGACCGAGTGAGGCTTGGGTCGCGTTTCCCAAAGGTCGCTCGTAGAGGTGAAGGTGAAGCTTGATGGCCAAAGAGCCCTCGGACGCTCTTCGCCCCGACAGAAGGCAAAACCGACAATCGTCGTATCGAAACATGACTCTTCCCCAGTCCCCCTCCTCCTCCTTCATCTTCATCTTCATCCTCTTCATCTTCATCATCTTTATCCCCCGCAACTTCCTGTAAAGACTGCCAATTATCCCTCCTCTGCAAAAGCCTAGCAGGCTCAGCGATGGTGGAAAGCACAGTATCGATACTCGTCAAGCTCGCGCTCGACGTCCGCCGGCGGGGGATGGAGCGGGCAGAGGCGATACTGCTGGACCGCGACTGCGGCTGGGCGTGGATGAGGGAACTCGGTCGGTGTCGGAGGATCGGCCTTGGGATTCCGTCTGAGCCAAAATAGCCCAGGTTGGGGGTAGATGTGCCGACCATCAACGAAGTGTGTCAGAAGTCTGTTTGGGAAAAAGAGAAAAGAGGGAGACGAGAGATGAAGAGAGTGCATGGAGAAGTGGTGGTGCTGTAAGGGCACGTAATGGATGGGTGATTTTTGGTGGCAGCTGATATGATAACGAGCGAACCATTTTCCCATGTTCGCGCCGTTGCACTGATCACGCCTTTAAGGCACAGACCCAAGATAAGCGAGAAATACTCCCGGGGCCAGTCCACTGGAGTCTGACGTGTTGGAGTTGTGGTGTAAGGGGGCAGTCAGGATGCATGGTGCAGTTGTGTCGTCAGCCACTTGTTGAGAGAACCCTCACACAACACACAGACAGGGGCAGGAGCAGTTTATGCGAGCAAGCGAAGGGCGGCGAAGGCCGCATGCGACGTTTTGTTGACATGAATATCGAAGTTTCATCTCGGTAAGCATGTCGCAAGCGGATCTTCCGTTGTAGTGCACAAAAATCCAGAAAGCTGGGAGCTAGGAGATGCCGACAACCGCTCGGCTGCACCTCAAATGCGCTGAACGCCTCGTTCAACATGCCGCAAAAGACTTAAAATAGCAAGAGAGTTGAGAGCCCCTGTGACATTCGAGGTACCATTCGAGGTACGGCCGCTTAACCCTTCCGGGGTTTTGCCTTTCCAGTTGACGTTTGCGGAGATCCCACCAAGTCCATCCGGCTTCATACCAGCGCGTGTGTACTCGACTGTACTCACATGTCCCTCATACACTTGTACTTGTACAAATACCTACAAAAGTCCCAAAAAGTAATACAATCGGAAAGAGTACTCGAGTACTACTCGTACTCGATGTCGCCCTTGTGCCACTCAGCCAAAAGTGATCCAACAGCAGCGACAGACCCCATAGTACCGGTGATGAGCGGGCTCCCCCATATCCCGCCTGGGGTTGACCAATGGATTGTGAGGGGGGCGTAGCCGCTACACTTCACGTCAGCTCCCACCTCTATACGCGTACTAGACGCAAGCAAAAGCAGAGAGAAGGAAGAGGTGACTAACGCGTTGGAGATGGTAGCGTTCCTCCAAGTGAGCCATTCCTTGCCCAAAACCTTTGCTTGCGATACTTTTTCTTCCACTTTGCCTTGGATATCTTTCGGTCCGGTTTTTTCGTCTTGGACTTCAAAGCCTTCGGCTTCTGTGGGAGAGACGTCGGGTTTGGAGTGCTGCAGGGCGCGGGTGCGGGAGGAGAGGGCGAGGTATGTTTTTTGGAGTTCGTATACTTTCAAAGCCACATAAAGCCTACATTCCCATCAGCTTCCTTCCTTCCCACACACAAGAGAAAGAATAGACTCACGCCCAAAATCGGACACCCCAAAGCGTAGCCTTCCCAACCTTCTGCGGGCTCATCGAAATGATACCCTTAGTCGCAAGCCATGAGACATGTTCCAACGGGTAATAGGCGAGGATAGCCAGACATTGGAGGGTGGAGATGGCTTTGGGGCTTTGGAGTGCTTTGGCGAGGCCGTCGGGGGAGAGGAGGGTGAGGAGCGAGGTGAGGGGTTTGGGGTGGAGGGCGAGGAGGCTTTGAAGCACTGGAAGCATGCCTGTACAAACATTAGCATGGGATTTGTGTGATGGGAGGGGGGGGGGGATGTACCGAAAGCTCGCATGATGACTCTTGCATCCCCAATACTCCCTCCTGCCCTACCCCATCCCTCTGCAAGCTGCACAAGCCCATACCCGCGATCCACCTTCAAAATCCCCTGCCCGGCTGCTTGTGAGAACTTGACTTTGGGGTGACGCGCGCGGATGGAAGCGAGTTTGAGGAGGAGGGTGATGATGAGCGGGGACGAATACTGGGCGAGCATGAGGGTCGCGTCGAGGCCTGGGATTGTGGATTCCAAGCGCGTCAGGCGGGCGAGGAGGTGTTTGGGGTCGTTCAGGATGGACCGGGAGGGTTTTGGGGCAGACATGATGCTTTGCGAGTGATGTACAGGGAGGGAGACGGAGATGAAAGAGGGATTGGGCGCAGGTGGACATCCCCGGCCTACCGGGTATGGCGCATGTCCGCGTGTCCACCACGAGATGTCCTTCGGAGATCGGGACTGCAGGGATGTCCGGGCGCGCCTCCACTCGCCGTGACTCATTACAAAGATTTCTATTCGCCCGTTTGTTTTCCTGATCCATCCTCCAGATTATATATATCCCCTTCACTTCCAATTCGCCACCATCCACCCCTCCATCACCATGTCCAGAACACAGGCTGCCATCCTCAGACCACTCGCCACCTCCTCCAGGGCAGCGGTGAGCTCGCTCAGGGCCACTCGCTCCACCGTCGCCCGGTCATTTGCTAGTAGCTCTCGCCAGCAGCTCGCCACCTCTTCATCAGCTTTCGCCGGTATTCGTGCTTTCCACGGCCATGAACTGAGACGCAAACCCCTCGCCCTCTTCTCCCACCAACAACGTACGTCCCCCCCTTCTCCCACTCTCCCTTCTTCCATCCAGTTCGTGACTAACCTGAGGTCACCAGGCCGAACGATGTTCATCCAAACCGAAACAACACCCAACGAAGCGTCCCTCAAGTTCATCCCCGGTGTCGAAGTCACCCACGGATCAGCGCACGAATTCCTCGACCTCCGCTCCGCCCTCGCCTCGCCCCTTGCCACCCGTCTCCTCACGATCGAGGGCATCACGGGCGTCTTTTTCGGGCCGGACTTTGTGACGTGCTCGAAAGATGAGTCGCTCGCTTGGTCGGTGTTGAAGCCAGAAGTCTTTGCCGTCTTGATGGAACACTTTTCCTCTGGTGCGCCGTTGTTCAAAGAAGGGTCCGGCGAGACGACGGCAGAAGACACAAGAGTCCTCGATACAGATTCCGAAGTCGTCGCCATGATTAAAGAACTGCTCGAGACCCGTGTGCGCCCGGCGATCATGGAAGACGGCGGTGATATCGAGTACAGAGGGTTCAATGAAGAGACGGGGATGGTGCAGCTCAAGTTGAAGGGGAGTTGTAGGGGGTGCAGTTCGAGTAGCGTGACGTTGAAGAATGGGATTGAGAGGATGTTGATGCACTATGTGCCGGAGGTGCAGTGTGTCGAGCAGGTAAGCGCTTTTCTTCTCTCACTCTTTTCTCAAGAGGTGCTGACTTGTGAAAGGTGCTGGATGAGGAAGAGCAAATCGCGTTGGACGAGTTTGCCAAGCTCGAAGCTAGGTTGGAGAAGGAGCACGGCAAGAAGCCTGATGGCAAGCCCGAGTAAGTCCTACTCGCCATCTTCCGTCTTCTCCCGTCTTCTGATGAGGACAAACGCTGACAATGTTGATAGTATGAGCCAGTACATGTCTGCTTAAAACGACGGACGAGATCCGTGAAGGGGAGTTTTACGGTTTAACGCATAATAGCACCAGCACCATTAGATGTCGACCATGTACTGTATCATTGCATCTCTGGTCATCAGGCCTTGCTTTGGGGGATCTTAAGGGTGCCGACTCTGCTGACTGCTCTCGCTACCTCGACCGGTCGTCCATCTTTGTTATGTCACTTCTCCTTCCTCGCCCAGACTCACCTACGACCTCCCTTCTTGCCCCGTCGTCCTCACCCTCAACCCTCTTCTTCACACCCTCCACCCCAGGCTCGACTCTACTCGTCCTCGTCCTCGTCCTCAGCCCCCCTGCCAACCATCCTCATCTCCTCCTCAGAATCCGCCTCCCGGCCCACCCGCTCTTCCGTACAGACCCACTCTGCACCATCAGACTCTATGATCCGGGGTGCACCATCCCCAGGATGTTTCAGGACGTGCCCGGCCCAGACGCTCGACTCACTCTCGCCGCTTCTCGCTCCTGGGTTCTCTTCATGTATCATCGCATCGCTTGAGACCCGATCAGCCCACGATTTCGGCAGACGATGACTGAATGGGAGAGACGGCTACGTACCATACCTCGTGATCGCTCCCTTCTTCGTTCTCGTCGCCTGCATTGTCCATGCTTCGTTGTACGGAAGAAGATTGGGACTCTTCGTCCCTTCTCAATGCTTTGGCATGTGCATGGCCATAGAACACCCTGGATATGTTGAACTCATCTGCTGGAGTCGTAGTGGTAGGCAGGGGAGTCGAGCTGTCTGTCGTGCTTGAATCTTCGCACAATGCTATTGTCGCCATATCGTCGATATCGGGCGGGAGGACCGGGAGGTCATCGCCAATTCCGAGCGCTCCAGTGTCATCTCCAGTCTCATATGAGTCCAATTGTCTGGGCCTCCGCGCTTTCCGGCTATCAGGGTCGTCCTCCGTAGGGGTCATATCTGCGGTGACATGCGACTATCAGGCCATCAGCGGTACGCCCGCCATTGCCTTGCAGACGATCACGAAGAGGGCCACTCACGGAATGCTTTCTCTTCTTTCCTGAACGTGACCATTCTTCCGCAAGCTCGCAAATCCTCTCCTCGGTGATGTTTTCAGTTAAACGCAGCCGGCGACAATGGGCAGCATGTCGAGCGATGTCTGTCACTCGGGATCCGCAACTGTGAGGGCAAAACGTGCGTGTTTTCCTGGGACGGGATTGTTGTGAGGAACCCATAATGAGCTGGCAGAGGAGCGAGTGGGCGCAATATTATTGTGGTGTGAATGTCGATGGACAGTATCATAGAAAGATCAAGCCAGATCGCCCCGCCGGCGCCGGCCGCCGCAGCGAGCTAGTCCGAGCTCGGGCCCATTCTATGGGCCCCTTACCTTTGCCTTACCTCTGCAAGGCAGGCAAGTCAAGTGCAAAGAGGCATCAACGACGAGGACGTAGACTACTGAGGCTTTGAGGAAGAGGATTGTGAACTCACGGACAGCAAGTAGTATTCGTCAATTTCATACAGTAGAAGTCATCTAGGGAGGTGATTATGTACAAATACATTGGCATTGCTGCTGCGGCCCGTTGAGCATCTTCAAGGCTCTCCCCAGTCAATCGGACTGTTGGGAGGCGTAGTCTCATCCGTGACCCACCCATTCTCCCGGTGTCGCTCGCGTCTGCATTCCAGTCTTTCTTCCTGCCGTTTCCTCTCCATATATTCAATGTCATTTGCAGGAAAATTCCCTTCTTACATCAATGTGTCTTTGCGATTTGAGTCTCAATCAGCCCACAGAATGTGTATCACTCTGAGTCTGGCAACTTATTCGGTCAAATGAGGAAGAGAGCTTCTATGACGTCTTCGTAAATCATGTGAGACTCTTGGTTTGAAAGTTGACTTTTGTGACGCTGATAAGTACACATAGGTAACTCAATCTGTCTGCAAGCAACGAATTCAAAACCTCGGCAAAGCGAAGAGTGCTCAACTTCTATCACACCTGTACGGAAGCGCAGACTCACCAGCTCTTCAGGTCTCTCCAGAGTTTTTTCGTATGATGAAACTTCAGCCGTCGTTCTCTCGCACATACCACTCGTCCGAAGAGCTCTCTACTGCAGGTGGAGTGTCTTCGAAAGTAGGCTATGGTATGAGGTTGGCCATACGATGCCTCTAATGATTGAGGATAAAAAAGACCGGTTGTTGTTGTTGTTGGCTTGTTGCAGGCTTGTTGCGTATCGGCCCTCCGCTGTCCCTTACGTAACCTTCTCATTGTTGCTCTCCCTCCTGCTGCTGCCTGGCCTTAAAGCTTAGCTTTCTGCTCTCTCTAAGTATTCCCTCTGCCACAACTCATCCCCCGCCATGTCCTCCCCATACACCTACACCCTCTCCCCTCTCGCCTACGCCCTCCCCATCCTCCACGCCGCCGCCCACCCCTCCCACACCACCCTCGGCCTTCTCCTCTCCTCCTCCTCCTCCTCTCCGTCCGACCAAGAACAGACTATCGACCATGCTGTGCCGGTACTGCACAATTATGCGAGTCTGTCTATGGTGATGGAGGCTGCTTTGGCGCTGGTGGAAGAGTGGGGGAAGGGGAAGGGGAAGAGGGTGGTGGGTGTGTATGTCGCGAGGGAGGATGGGGAGGGGCTTGGACGGGTTGGGGAGCGGATACTTGCTGCTTTGAGGACAAAGTGGGATGGGGCGTTTGGGCTGGTGCTGGATAATGACAGACTGGGGTCTGGGCAGTTTGCTTATATCGTACGTCTTGAGAAAGTGGGAGAGCAAGTAGCTGATTCGGGGATAGCCATACCTCTCAACGGCTTCGGGCTCAAAAGCCATCACATCCTCATGGCCATCAGCTCCCCTTCCGTTCATCATCTCTTCAGAATCATTACCGGCCCAGCTCTTGCAGCTTATAAGAGAGAAGAAGGTGCACCGGGACGTGCGGGACTTTGATGATCATCTCGAAGATTCGTACGTCGCCTCTTGCCTCCCTTTTTGCCTCTGCTAATATTTGACAACAGATCTATTGACTGGCTGGAAAACACCACAACAGTATCCACCCTCCAAAAATACATATCATGAAGATGATTGTCAATTAGATACTCGTACCGTACAAAGTCTATGATTAAATTGATTGTTATTTGAATGTACAACTACGCCAAGCTGCCGTTTCTGAAGTGCAATCAGAATTCCAATGTGGGCGCTGTAGAGTTTCCTTGGAATTGGATGAGCTGGAAACATTGATGGATACCCTCTTGCCTCGCCAGCCTATTCCAAAATCAGTCTTTACGCGTCTACAACCGCACAACCGGGCAAACCAGACAACTTACAAATCAGCATGATCTCCATCCGGAACATCTTGTATCGAAAGTTTGATCGCATCTCCAAACTGCCCCACTAGATCGTTGAACCACACTATCTCCATGTCAGCTTTGTTCGATGGGGACGGGGGGAGTCGGAGACGCACATTGTCCTTTTCGAGGAACCATATCGTCCAACCAGCCCCACCACACATTCACCTCCAACGGCCACTTCACCCCTCCTCCTCCCCCTCCACCAGTCTCGCTCTCACCCCCAGCATCCACCATCGCATCTTTGCCCCTCTGACCATCCCCAACAACAACATCCTTCAACCGTTCCCCCACGCTCATCCCAAACTTTTTTCCAAGCCTCGTGCGGGCTTCAAAGTCCACAGGAGACTGCGCGAATTCGATGGTAGCGGCGAGGTCGGATAGCGCTGTAAGGAGATAGGAGGCGCCGGTATTTTGGGGGCCGCGGTTGAGGCAGATCAAGTGTTCTATACCACACGTTAGTCAAAGTAAATGGAAAGGTTGTGGGGAGGGCGTTTACCTTGTCCGATTCCTTGAGCGTTTTCAGCTTGCATATACCCCGATATCGTCTAACCCCAACGAGTCAGCTCTGTACACTTACAACATCATCAAGAAGAGCAAGCCAGACTCACGCAGGTAATACAGCAAGGCGTCTTTCCCCAGAACCTCTCTCTCGGAGGCCACTCTCCCGAATCATCATCATGCTCCTCCTCCCCTTCCCCTTCCCCTTCTTCGGCGGGATCGGGAGCGCGGACTTCGGTCCCTTCGCCCATACCTGCTCCTCGGATGCCATTCAATAGCTTTTGCGTATCGCCTCCTAGATCTTGCTTCCCACCTTTCCCTTCTGCCCCACATCCCTTACTCAACATCGACGGTACCGGCGAAGAGGTACCCGACCCTTGATTGGAAGAAGGAGAAGAAGAAGAAGCAGGAGGGTCGAAATACGACTTGTACCACTTGAGAGCGAATGATTTGCCAGTCTCGTACGCTTTCGCACCTTGGTTGTACACTTTCTGAGCTTGTTCGGCTGCTTTGATCAAATGCGGTGTCTTTTTCACAGATCCATCAGCCCTTATTCCTTCCTAGTCCGACCAGCGAGAGGCAGAGAAGAGGGGAGAGGGAGAAAGAGAGACTAACAGTGATATGCTGCGTAGCGATCAACGGCGTAGGTATCCAATCCCACTTGAACGGCCAATAGTCCGGATCATCCGGCGGTAACAAGGGTACCCAGGGGGCTATGAGCCATAGTTTGGGCGGGGGGTTGAGGGATGTTTGGAAGGTGGAGGGGTGGTTGGTTAGGAGGTGGAGAGCGTAGCTGTCGTTCAGTCGTTAGTGGAAGCGTAATTAGGGGGAGGAGAGGGAGAGGAAGGAAAGGGAGGGGGGACGTACTATATTCCAGCAGAAGTTGCCAACATATGGGCGGGTTTGACGTCCAAATGCTCCAGCACAGATACCACCATCTCTATCTCACTCTCATCAGTACCATACTCCTAACCCAGGACACGCTTGGGGGAAAGCAGAACTCACCGCAGCTTCTGGCGATACGCTCATTGAGCGGCACTTGGCCCGTACCGCCTGTTCCGGGACGGTCGACTACGACAAGCCTGATACCGTACTTGATCGCTACCGGGTCTTTTGTCCAATCCTTCAGCCTTATTCCTTAATCTCATTCCCCTGGCCCCATCCTCGCATCTACTGGAGATACAAACTCACCCATAGGCGCCGCAACCCACCTCGAACACCCACTCGGCAACAGATAAACGACCACCACCCCCTTCGGATCGCCCAGGTCGGCATAAGAGACGGGGAGGTTTGTGCGTGGGCAGCGGGGGAGGAGGCGGTGGAATTTGAGGAGGGCGAGGTAAGCGATTGGGTCAGAGAGGGACGTCGGGGGGGAGGACATGGTGTGTGGGGAGGGGGGCGAATGGACGGTTCAAGATGAGATGCGTCTCATGTCGTGTTGGGATCACTTGGGACTTGCTTGGGACAAACAGTCAAACGATGATGTCATCAGAGCCGACATTGCCTACTAGGTCTCTTTCTGCCCGAGTCATACTCTACAATGTCTGCATTCCCATCCATCCCTATTACACAACTAATTGCACAAGCCCTCTATACGTATATGCAGGTAGATACTTTTTGGTCGGCAAGATGGGAGTTGATTCACCATACTTTCTTTGCCTTTTGACGACAGATTATTGACAAGCCCTATGCCGTTGAGGCGCTGGGCGTCGTTTTCTTTTCTTCCCTTTTCTTCCCTTTTCTTCTTTCTTGAGGACAGTTTAAGCACAGACCCCCTTCTCTCCCCTCGGTTTCACGCCAGACAGCCAGTCACGAAGAAGGGGAGACTAATCCCTAACAGCCCTCTGCTTCGTCCTCCCATCATCCTTCGCCGGGCCCCTAATCCCAAGCTTCCTAAACCTCTCCTCCAACCAATCCTTCGCCTTCTCCCCCGTCCTCTCCTCATACTCTTCCACCCCCTCCGGCTTCTCCCCAATGGGCGTCACCCTCGTCCCGTGCCGGAGCGAAGGATAAGCGTCAAAAGTAGCAGAATGGTTGACGATCCGGTTGTCCCAGATGGCGACGTCGCCTGCTTGCCATGACCAGCGGACAGTGGCGTCGGTTTGTTGGGCAAAGGAGTCTTTGAGGAAGGCGAGGACGGTGTCGGATTCGGCTTTGGGGACGCCGACGAGGCGGGTGACAAAGCCGGGGTTGACAAAGACGCTCTTCTGCCCTGTGACAGGGTGAACACGGACGACGGGGTGGACCGTCTCGATCGGTTCGCGCCTCGGGATCTTTGTGATCCCCGTCCTCGAGCTCGCCTGGTCAAACCCAGAATGGATAGCAGACAGACTCTCGAGGTACTTTTGGAAAGGCTTGGAGAGGGAAGAGTAGACGGCGTAGCCAGAGGACCAGAGGGTGTCGTTCCCGACTTCGGGGGTGGTGAGGAGGCGGAGGATGGTGGTGCCGGGGGGTTGGAGTTCGTAGGTCACGTCGGAGTGGAACAGCTCGGCGCGGGAGAAGGCGTAGAGGTCGGGGCGGGAGTCGTGGTCTGCGTAGACGACTAGAGAGGTGTTAGTGGGTGGAAAGAAGGGGAGGGGAGGGGGACGTACCGACGACGTCGTCGAGGTCACCTCGGCGGGGGACGGCGTAGGTTGCGTGTTTGTGGAGGGGACCCCAGTGCGCACCGAGCTCGCGTTGCTGGTCGATAGTCATGGTGTGTTGGTTTCGGAAGACTATTTTAGAGTTAGTATCTTGTTGCTTGCGATTGAGATCGCAACTTACAGACCACACCCCGCTGGGCAACAAGCAAAGCACTAGTAAAATATTAGCTCTCATCCCCGTTCAAGAATAGAGAGACATACAGATCATCCCTCTCAGCTTCACCAAGCTCCTCAAGCTTGATATCCCCCTCAATCACAGTCCCAATAGCAATAAGCTGGTCCTTGACCTTGCCTCCCCTGGCTTCGACGAATGCGCGCAAGCGGGCAGCATTGGGGTCGGCTTTGAGCCCACGGTCCGAAAACTCTTGCAGCTCCAGAGGGGGGTCAGACTTGGTGCGCGTGGGGTTGAAGGCTATTGGCAGTTGTTGGCAGGTGGGCGGGAAGGGAGTGATCGGGAGATAAGCATATCAGGGTTTCGTAAGCGAGGTTTCGGACGGCGGGGCACGCGCGGGGGATAAGCATCTCCTCGTTCAACTCGTCGCGCGACTTGCAATCAACCGCGACCAGAGTTGCGATCAAGGAGATGGGGGAAGGGGGTAGGGGCGATGGCCATGGAGGGAGGACGTACGCAAAAGATCTTGATAAGGGTAGTTTGGACCGGGTCCGGCACCGAGCACTTCTCCCTGAAAAAAAAGTGGTCAACGCTCGGCCAAGGAATCAAGATGCAAAACGTGGACGCCGCGGTCCGCTGTGCGGCTTCGATAGGATAGTCCACTCACGACGTATTGGAAAGGGTTGACGCCCGCATCGTCCTCGTCAGAGTCGGGGGAAGAGCCAAGTTCGACTTCAGTGACGTTGGAGATGTCTGGGACGTTCGGGATGTCGCGGATCTTGAGGTTGGCGATGGCGGACGAGTAGTCGCGGTCGTCGTTGACGAGGGTGGCAGTGGAGGACATCATCGTGGCAATTGTAGATGAAGAAGGGGGATTGATGATCAAGAGCGTGGTATATATACGTTGATTTGATCTGCATTTGCATTTGTAGATTGCGCGTTGTGCTGCAGTGTTGTCAATCTCGCTCGGCCGGGGTCAATTTGTCATCCCCCGCACTTTCAGTTTCCAGGGTCGTCCATCTCACTTTTTCTCTGCAGAAAGGCTCAATATCTCCATCGCAAATATCACGAATGCTCATGCTCGCGTGCTCGAACCCACGTGAAACCCACGCGACACATTTGCTCCCGTCTCCGCCACCTCCAAATCCCCGCCTATCCCCGTCCTTGCTCTCCTTCTCGAGATCTCCTTCAAGGGCCGCTCTCTCTATACATCTCCTCCCGGAAAGCTCATAAGGACTGTGCATAGACGTCCCCTCGCGCGTTTCCTTCAGGCCGGGTCAAGAGGTAGACTCAAAGGGCGTAAGACCCCCGTAGCTCACGTATCTCCTGTCTTCTCTGAACCTCGTTCAGTGGGCAGATGGGTCGAAGAGGGGCATACATTTCACTCTCCTATGAATTGTGTTAAAGTATTGCGTGTGTTGCAGATCAGGAGAAATGGGCATGGTATGGTGGAGCGATTGGAACAGGGTGAGGTGATTTCGGTCGTTCGGGTTCCATGACGAACTTGGCGAGGGCGATCGATAGCGATGAGTCAAATGGTATCGGTACATATGCCCGAAAGCGTCTCTTTCTCCTGCCCGTCATATCCCACAACTCCATACACCTCACATCAATCATCCATAAGACTGCCACAAAATCCCTCAAAATCCCTCCATGCAAACCAAGTGTGCCACAAGCACCGGCGAAAGAGAAGTGTGGCACTTGTGGCACTTTCGTGAATGTGGCACTTTCCAGACTCCCGTTGCTGACGCTTGTCCTGCTTTCCACTCCTCCCTCCTCCCTCCACATTCCCCCTCCAATCTCGCTCAAACTCAACTCACATCCTACAGCGGTCTACAAGGTTGAGCTTACTATCTCCCTGCTATTAGGCCAAGCATAGCGAGAGAGCAGAGAGTCGTTTGTCCGGATACACGTCCTTCAAGAAGGGAGACGATCCGTATCATCCCTTACGCCCCAACGGGATTTCATTGAACGGGACAATCAACCACACGACCTTCAAACCATACCATTACTACCAGCTCTGCCTGAAACACAGCTCGTCCTCCAGCACCGTCCCTATTTGGTAGCGCATACAGCTGCTATTGGTGAACCGCACCTCATCACAAAGCTCCTCATACCACCCGGCCCCTTCATACACCAACGACTCTCATAACCCTTTACTGAGAGTCTCCCTCCGAGATGAGTATCAACGACACCTCCACCCCTGCCTCTGCCTCTGCCTCGGCATCAGCCACCCCCGTTCCCGTCCTAGCCCCCGCGCCGACTCCGATTACGATCACTATCCCTGCGAGCGCTACCGCCCCTCGTTCAACCAAGCGTTCGCCTCGCGGGAAAGACACTATGAATGGAGGGGGGGATGTGGAGATGGATGAAGGCGTTGAGAATGGCACCTCCCATGGACACGTCAACGGGAATGGGGATGATGTAGTCATGTCGACTGATAGTCCTACGCGTGCTAGCAAGTCGCATACCACTGCTGCTGTGGCTGCTGGGCAGAGTCGGCCGGCGACGCCGGTGATGAATGGATCTGCTGGGGCTGGGGATGTCGGTGGAAGTGGGAGTGGAGGTGGGGGTGGGAGTGTGGGGAGGAGTGGGAGGAAAAGGAAAGTCGCTGAAGAGTACGTTTTCATTTCTCTTACTATTTACTCTAAAGGAAAGAGAGAGAGAGAGAAGAGGGTGATGTTGATGTGCGATCTGATCGCAGGACACCCAACGCCAAATCAACGAGGTCTACAAGAAGTCGACTGCATACCCCCTCAGTCCACGCTTCACCCGCATCTACATCGCAGCACCGTGCCCCACCCCCTCCCCAGCCCGATGTGGGACAGCCCACGAGGGATGATACCCTCCTCCCCGACCCTTCAACGGCGAACAACAGCAACAACCCCTCCTCCAAAGCTCCTTCCCCTGCCCCTCTCTCTGAGACCGACCCCACCCCTGCCCCTGCCCCTGCCACCGGCGCAGGAGGGTTGAACGCGGAGACAGACCCCATCCGGCTGGAAGCCGCCGCAGGCTACGAATCCCGCCTCCGCGCGCGCGTGCCCGGTGGCGGTGGGGGTACCGCCAAGAAGGACGGGGCGGGGCACAAGATTGGGGTGAGTGCGAGTGGGAGGGATGTGAGGATTGGGGGGAGCGCGAGGCAGGCTGCGACGGCGTTGAAGAAGGATAAGGGGAAGGGGAAGGGGGATGTTGTCCAGGTGAGTTCCTCGCTTCCTTCTTGAGGTGTATTGGGGAGAAGGGGAAGGAAAGCTGATGGGGGTTGGGTGTAGCCGAATCAGGATTTCTGTTCGGCGTGTCGAGGTATAGGCAGGTTTTTGTGCTGCGATGGGTGTCCGAGGTCGTTCCATTTCATGTGCCTCGAACCGCCTTTGAGGCTGGACGAGTTGCCAGAGGAAGAAAGGTGGCTTTGCAAACACTGTCGTTCTGAAAACGTACGTCCCCTCTCTCTCCTTCCTTCCTCCCGAGGGTGAGAAGCTGACAAGAGATATAGGCAAAGGAAGAAAACCCCACATCGACAAAGCAGAAGGATCTTCCAGCTATCCCATCGGTGTTTAGAGCGCTGAGCGACAAGATTGAAGAAGAGAACCCGGAACAGTTTAGGTTGCCGACGGAGGTACGCAAGTTCTTTGCTGGGGTCAGTACGGGCGCGGAGGGGGAGTATGTGGATGCGAAATCTGGGCGAGCGAAGATTGAGTACGTTTCCTTTCCCCTTTCTTCCTCTTTTGCTTCTTCTTCCCATTTCCAGAAAAGCAGCAGGCTGATCAAAGCCAAAGTCGAAAAGGATTCCTCGAAGACCGCGACCCATTCCGCCTCCGCGACGGCCGCCAGAAAAAAGTCGCATGCTATCAGTGCGGCGGCTCCTCCCTCCCCAAACATTCCGTCCTCACCGACCCGGAAGCGACGTGGCGACAGATCATTAGCTGTGATTATTGTCCGAGCAGCTGGCATTTGGATTGTCTCAGTCCGCCGCCTAGTATCATGCCGAGTGCGGGGAGGAAGTGGATGTGCCCGAATCATCCGGAGCATGTTATGGTGTGTTTCTTCTTCTTCCTGGGTTGAGGTTGGCGCTGATGAGGGGAAAGCCAAAGAGACGGACGCTCAACGAAGGTCTGGAGATTATCGACATTTCCAAACCTGGGCAACTCAACAACGGCAACATCGAAATCATCGTGCCAGAGACGACCGCTATCGGCAAAGACGGAAAACAATTCGAGTTTGAGGACATGGTCATCAACCGAAAGAAGTTTAGGGTGCCAGAGAAGGTTGTCAAGTTGGACTTTTGGAACAAGATTCAGCGTGGGAAGAGTAAGGAGAAGGGAAAGGGCAGGGAGGTGAATAGGGATGAGATGGAGGTGGATGAAGATGAGGTGAGTCTGAGTCTTTGATAGCTCTTTGTGTGTGAGATACTGATCCAGTGTCTAGGCGGAGCCGGAGATGGACGACATCAATGCTGCGGCGATGATGATGGCTCTCGCCTTTTCTCGACATACCGCGCCGCCTGTCGCGGCAACGCGGTCCGACACTACAGTAGAGAAGGAGCGGGTTGCCGGTACAGCCGAACAGCCCAATGAACAGGTTTCGGTGGCTCCATCGCTGCCGGAGAGTGGAGCCGCGACGACCCAAGTTGCGAGCCCTGCTCCGTCTGCTTGAGTGACTGCTATAGCATCTTTATCCAATAGTCAAATGAAATCAAGAGAAATGGAAAGCATGTCATTATGTATAATACTGCATATCTGGATGGTATATGCTGATGCCAGATATGGCATGTCGGAATCGAAATGTCCGTCTGCTGAGCCCCTTCTCGGCGGCAAGTCGTCGAGATTAAGCCATGGCTCGCATAGCGAGCTCGAAAGCCACAAAGGTAGCCCCATTCGCGAAAGGCGATCTGTCCCATTGCATCAGCTTCTATCTTGAACCAGCAAAAGTCTCCAGAGAGGACGCACCGGATAAGAGTAGGACCTAAACCACCCAAGAACCCCTTGACGCCCTGAGCTCCCCACGTCTTGCGTACACAGTCAACCATGCCGGTGTATTTCCTGTCGGCCGCGAGGAGAGAGTCGGTCTGGAGCTTGGACTTGATCACGTCGATGGGGTAGATGCTATGGCACGTTAGTTGGTATAGGGAGAAGTGTGGAGGGGACGTACGAGAACCAAAGAGCGTAACCGGCAGCAGCACCATAAGTCACCGCCCAGATGGGCGAGATCTCTTCACGTTTCAAACCCGTCGTCTTAAGATGACGTTGGACAAGACCTTCGTATGCCAAAAAGTAGAAACTGCACCCAGGTCATCAGCTTGCATTCGTAAGAAGAGGGATCGAAATGGCTTACCCGCATCCGACACCATCACGCCACATGGTAGCGCCCTGCGCCTTGAAGATACCTGACAAACCACCGCCATTCTTGTAGAGCTTGGCGGCGCAGTCCAAAGGGCCGTTGTACAGTTTAGGGACAACGTCCGGTTGGGTTTGAAGACCTACGGGATATTAGCGAAAGGGGCTTTTGTGTGGAAGACGGTGACTTACGGATACGTATGTGCTCGACGGGGTTGCAGACGACAGTGTTGGCTACACCGGCGAACGCACCACTCAGCCAGAACTGACCTATAAGCGCATCAGCATGATGCTTTTATTGGAGGTAAGAACGTTGAGTAGAACTTACCCAAAGACAATTCACCACCACCATTCCTCCCCCGGAAGAACCTCTTGGCATACTCCATAGCACCGAACTGAATAGATACGCAAGCTCCGATACCCAATAAAGGTGTAAGAGTTCCCTACAACATGCGAGTAAGTTCCTTGGTCTCGTCTCATAAAGTAGAGAAGACAACAACCTACCTTGTAGAAACCAAGAGGACCGTCATTCTTCAATAACCGGGTAGCACATTCCAGAGGGGACTTGTACGTCCCCGGAGGAGATGTTTGGACTCGAACTTTGACAATATCGAATGGCTGTGTTTAGTATCAGCTCGAATTCTCGAAGAACACGAACAACAAGAAGGGGACGCACCTGACCAACGAGAACCTGCGCAATACCACCGATAGACCCACCGATCAAATCCTTCTGAGACTGGGTGATGTAGCCAGCCGGGGCAGGAGGGGGAGAGAGGATCTCGGACATTGTGGACGAGAGAACGGGAGACTTGGACGGCGTGTAAAGAACGATCAGAGAATTCCTGGCGGAGGACAGAAAAAACCACAAGTGAGTCGGTATTCTCCAGGCACGAGATAAGCGCTTCCTCTAAATGCCGATAAGAGTCGGTTGCTTAAGACTACACTTGCCTCTGCCTTCTGCTCGGACGTGCAACACGGTAAGACAATTGACCAGTCTTCAGGTCATTTCATGACATTGAGAGGAGACTATTGCATCTATTTCTTTTCCAATGGACCAACCAGGGTCGTAACCATAAGCTGTAACAGAGGAACAAAAGCGAAGAACGAAAGTGAGGGTGCCGAAGGCATGCAAAGTCATGATATGTAGGTCAACTACTATAGATCGTACTGATGATTGATACTGATTGAGGGAGAGATACGTGAATACGTAAAGAATGTCCACAATGAAGAGAGAGAGAACACAACAAGTACGAGAGATTTACAAACTCATACACAACTAGATCCGATTCCAAAGAGCCCAAAACGTTGCCGGCACCGCCGAAACTCCTCACTACCCATATATGCCCAAGACCCAGATACTAGAGTCCTGCTCTAGTATACCCAAGATGACAACGAACTGATGCTCTGGTTCTGGTTCTCGATCTCCTCCAAAGGCGCCTTCCGTCTCTTATCCGATCGAAGCAATCGCTGCAAAAAGTTTTCCTTGCCTGAAGGAACAACAGCAGGGGCGACCTTGGTCTGGCTGACAGATCGGATAGATTCGATAGACATCGATTGGGGGAGGTAGGTGCTGCTGTTGAGGGGCACTTCGTAGATCGCCGTCGGTCTCTGACCCTGCGCCTTGCCCTGGGCCTGAGACTTGGAGGCGTAGCCTCGCTGGGCATGGGCAACCACAGGCGAAGGCGATTCGCGGGGAGTAACGGGCCCGTCATCGGATTCGAGGGACGAGGAAGAACCGGAACGATCGAGAGGAGGGGCGACGAATGTGCGGGAACCAAGGGAGGTGGTTCGCTGGTGCCTCTTGGAGTGACGACGAGGGGGGAGGGCAGGGGTAACGGGTGTGGGAGGGAGCTCGGGCGATGAAGCCACGTTCGGGGAAGAGAAGAATGAGTATCGGCTGAGGAAAGGCTCAAAGTCTATCGCTTTTGTCAGCTCTTGTCCCTCTGACACTGGTCCGTGAAACTCACTGTCAAGAATCTCTTGCTCTCCGATGGAAAGGTCGTAGCCAAGGAGGAAAAGCAATTGCTTCTCCATAAGGTTGATCTCGCTGACAGGGAACATCTGGGCGTATTTGCACCAGTGCTTGTTCTTGGGCGACGAATCGTTGAGGTACTTGGCAGAAACGATCAAGGTAGCAAGGAAGACTCGGTGGCGCGTGCAAGGCATGCCTACTACGCGTCAGTTTGAAACCCCAGAGAAAGATGGGAAACGCACTCTTGTTGACTTTCGGCAATCGGTGTCGAAGTCGTTCGAGGTAGACGAGCGTGGCAAGAAGGGTAGATACTTGCACGTTCGACTGCTCGCACACGACAGCGACAAAGGTTTCCAGCGAAGGCAGACCGGCAGCCGCGTCAGAGTCCTCCTTGGTGGGGGTAGTGGGAGGAGAGAGGGGAGCCGCGTCTTTGGTAGCCTGGCCGATCACAGAAGTCGTCCTGTCCGCGAGGTAGTCTTCAAGCTCGAATCAGTATAAATCGAGGGGAAAGCCGGATGAGAAGACTTACAGACAAGCTCGCGAGAGACGTCTGTGCGGATGAACTCAAGCAGGGCGGGGTTGTGGTAGCCACAGGGCGCCATCGAGGCGGGGTGGGTCCTGTCCTCAAAGCATGGAGACTGAGGGACAAAGTCGGGCGTGGTGGGAGCGGTGGTAGTGGTGGAGAACATGGCCGTCAAGGTCTGGTGTTCGGTATGTGGTGGGAGGTGGATTATTTTCAAGCGCGAGGTGGGGCGTGAATGAACGTCGGGTGGTTTGCGAAGGAGCGAAGAGTTCGGTATAAGAGGAGGAAGAGGAAAAGATGGAGAGGTAGGGCGTAAGAGACGGAGATTGAAAAGGTGATACAAGACAAACGGGAAAAGAGGCAGGACTAGAGATGAAGATACTTATACATACGGGATCGGGCTTCGGATGCTGGCGGGGCTGGAACTGGAAGTCGGGCGCGTCGTCAAAACCTGTCACGGCGCCAGCCTGCGCCAACTTTTGGTACGTGGTTCCCTGAAAGTCACGCTGGAAAGTCCCGATAAACTCCTATAACCCAGTTTTTATTTTCGACGCGTTTGGTGCCTGTCTGTGCGCGACGCGTCTGTGCGCTTCACCCTTTGGGATTTGTAGTGTGGTAATGGCAAGAAAGGGGGGGTGCATCGCGGTTAGGGCGGCTTAAGATGAGCTAGGCAGTGCGTACTGAGAGGGTGGCCATCGAGCGACCTGGGTTGCAAGGCGGGGCACTGGCCCAAGTCACGCCCTTTATGCTTCTCCTCACTGTCTGTTCTATGCGCGGTGCTCGGAACGATCATATCATATGAATTTTCAGCTTGATGTCACTCGAGTGAGAGTCTGCATGCTTGCATGTGCAGAGGCCATTTCCCCAAGCTTTGTCAAGTGCGTCATAGATCGCTGCCGGGCGGGTAACCCTCAAGTACGGATGTTCCTTATCAGTAACCAGTGACACCAGTCACTCTGTGCCGTACCTATGCCGCGTGATAGCGCGGGGTGTTCTTTAGAGTGCGGGGTCCAAAGCGTTCCAGACCAGGTCTCTCCGTATGAAGTGCCTTCGTGCAGTACGTGCAGGTTCGCAAGCCACCAGGTGGGTCTCTGAAGCACATGCATGGAGATCCATCGCGGTGCAGCAAGTAAATTTCTACTCTCGTGAGCCCGGCATGAGCAATAAGCACCGAACTTAGAGGGCATGAGATACATTATACATGGGACCATGAGCCAGGCCGGGACGTCTATAAAGTCTGTAAATGAACAATGACCTCTTTCTTTATCGATCCAAAAGCGAAAGAAATGGGGGAGAGTTACCGATCTTGTAAGCGTGCCTAGACTAACCTTTATTAAACTGTTATCGTATCTCCCTCATCCGTTATCAACGCTATGTATATATGTACGCCATCTCCCTTTCATTTCGATTTGCACGTGCAGCTGTAAAGAGCTGATGCAGCTGATGCATGGTGCCCGATGTCGGCAAGCTGACCGTTGACGGTATTAGACTTCAGCCCATATGTAAATGATCACGCCGCGGGCAGGCGGGAGTCTGTGCGCTGGGACTTGTACTCGTACTTAATCAGTGGCTTGAACCGTTTGCAGCCTAGCCAAGAGGGCACAATCGCGCTCATCAAGTCAACACTTGTGTGCCCGGCTGGCGCTTCTGCTCATCGCAGCCACTGACATCTGCAGAAGTTCGTGGCTCGTGGACCAGATTCGCGCATGTAGACGTCAAGCTGCGCGATGAGCGATGACGAAGTCCAACCACCCGATGACGAGACAAAGTTTATTAACAAAGGTTTTGAGGTTTCGACGCATGTCTCGAAACTTCGAACGCGTTCTTTCAAGGCCTCAAAGGTTCCCCAAATTCAGGCACTTGCATCAAAGCAGCAAACCCAAAAAGACGTCCCCCGTTTTCACCTACCAAGTTCCCGGCCTCCGGCGACAGCAGGCCCAACCCAAAATCACGAGAAGCACAGTCAAACGCGTACACAACTCTGTGCGCAGGCAGGAGGCTACGGAAACGCGTCGCGTCGGAGGTTGACTTTTGACTCTATTTGTTTGGCGTTGGAGTTGGAGATGGCGCAGAAGGGGCGTCGAGGGGACGGGAACCGGAGATTGTGAGGCGTAAGGCCGGTACAGCTTGGACCCAGCTTCAAAGTCAAAGTACGGTCGATTGGCCCCATAGGAGGCCTTATCAGGCTCAGGCCTTCCACCACATATGCTACGACTTTGACACCATGTGGCGGTTTACAGCTACCAAGCAGAAGAGAAGGGTTGCAGCTCGCCGCAGAGACAGCCCGAGATGCGGGTTAGGCGGCTTGTCATCCAGAGTCCAGATCGATCAACGTATCCAGAAGATATCATCTCGCGTAAGCACAGTACAGATTGCAGTTGCACAGCACGAGGGCGTAGACAGCAACGCATAGCGGGCGTTCTCCTCGAGTGGGGACTGGGGTGGAGGTGCAGAGCGGAATGTTATGGTAGCCAGGAGCACAGATAGTTCTTACTGATGTATGACCACCAAGTACAGAAGCGAATGTATCAGATACGAGGAAAAGACTTCCTGCGACCCAAGTCGAATTTTCCGGACATAATGCGACCATGAATTTTCCACTCTGGCCATAATGCGACCATGACGTCATATGCACTTTCTCCAAGCCACAATGGACACAATGCGACCTTTTACGTATTTTAAAATCTCATCGACGGCCATAGCCTCCTCAAAGTACCGCGTCCCGTCTGATCCGCGAAGTCAACTAGGAGAGCGCTCGGTTAGTACCAGGGTGGGGGACCACCTGGGAATCCCGGGTGCCGTCGTTTTTGTCTTTTTGGCATTCTTTCTTGACTCAAGAGTACACTCGGCTGGCGTGCATACATGAGCACAATGATGGAGATGTGTCAAGGTGTACCTGACAGTAGATAAACCGTCCGTAATGCGCCCAGAAAAGGACTTCCGTTCAGACGTTGATTGATCCTTGCAGTTCCTCGTCGGACCTCGCCGCTTCCTCCCGTATGTGCCGTCTTAAGTTCATGACTCGTGTGACATCTACTTAATTCGCCTTCCTCGCCATTTCCTCTGTGCATCAAGTATTTATATGCAAGGCAAACATCTCCCAGATTATCTCCTGTCCATGTGAGCCCAGCATCGCTCGTTTCGTTCGCATACGCTCCCGACCACCGATGCCTTACGTGTTTGGTCCCGTCGGCCGAGGCGCGCAGTTACTTGCTGCGCGGCGGCGTTCATTTGCCTGGCATACATGGACAAAATGTGAAGCGATGCACAGCAGCTTCTTCCTCCATAAATAATGCCGCCACCGTCTTCCGCTTTCTCATCTCTCCCCATGATTCCCTCCAACATGAAGCTTCCCATCGTCACCTCTTTCACCCTCCTCCTCACCCTCGTCTTCCTCACAAGCACAACGACCGTCATCTCTGCGCCCATAGAGATCGTCAAGCCTACCTACAACAACAGGATCATCTTCATCCGCCATGCCGAGAAGGGATTTACCCCTGAGGACGGGCTTGGCAGTGACGAAAGATTGCCGCCGCCTCCTCCCAGATATGGATGGTTAGGATGGCTTTGGAATCACCCTCCTTGGGGTCCTCCCGGAGGGCCGAGGGGTGGTAAGGGCAAGCGAAAATTCCCTAGTGGACTGAGTGCTATTGGCAAAGAGCGGGCTCAATTCCTCAGAACGGTATGTTTTGTATCAAGATTGTCCCTAAATCCCGCTGACAATCTATTGCAGCTCTTCGGCAATGAGTCTGATTACGACTTTGGACTTATCTTTGCCGCTCCTCTAGATGGAGACAAGAAAGAGACGGAGAGGACATACGCGACTGTTGCGCCTTTGGCGGGGGATCTTGGTCTCGAGGTCTACATTGACTGGTCAATTTATCTCTCTACTCGTGGTTGAAATCGATGCTGACAGTGTACATCTAGTGCCAATGCTGAAGCCAGCTGTGTCAAGAAGAAGGTCGAGGAGTTTGCTGCTACTTCTGATAAAGACATTCTGATTAGCTGGGTACATCAAATTCCAGTCACCTTCGCTAACCCAACACTGACGTGTCTGTAGAAACACCGTGACTTGAACGTCATTGCTACCGCTCTCGGTGCCCCCAACGCCAAGAACCACTACCCCGATGACCGGTATGTCTTCAGTAGAGAATACTCACGGTCAAGGGCTGACATATGATAGCTACGACATCATCTGGATTATGCACGGCGGCGCTATCGTCGAGAAGCGCTCTCAACACTGTCCCGTCATCGACGATGGACGAGTCGACGAAGGGGATCCTGACCTTGTCGTTGAGAAGCCGCGCAGGTCGATCCTGTCGTGGGTGTGGGCGGCTTGGACGGCGCAGAGGCAGTTGGTCATCCAGGATAGTGCTTTCTCTGGTTGAGAGTAACTGGAAGGTTTAGAATCTTAGATCACCACGCTTCCTGCTGGTCAGCTACGTCGGTCTTCCGCCGAGCCAGTGCTTCTGAAGCTTTTGGCTCATTTTTGATACCTGCGTCGAAAATTATGTGGAAGTACATCTTGTCTCATTGGATGTATCACCCTAATATCTAGACTGGCATGGTCGTTCGTGTATCGTTTTGTCTCATGGACTCATAAACAACCGCCCCTTCTACTAAACCTCCACGGCATCATCGCCCTCTTCATCTGCGAAGAGTCCCCCAAATTCTTCCGCGGACCCATGAGGTATGGCGCCGAACGCATCCTGCATCATCGTCCCCAAATGCTCCAGCTCCACTATCACTTCCTGCGCATTCGATCAGCTTTGTCTCGTCCATACGCTCTTCGGAACCTACTCACCTGCATAGCGAGCGAATAAGCAAAGAACAGAAGGTGTCTTCCTCCTCCTTCGACACTCCTCTTGCGGACGACGTCGAGAGACCGGATAGCGTGTACGAGTTTCTGACGCCCGGATTCGGCTGGGGGCAGGTAAGGAGGCATGGGAGATCGAAGGCGTAAGCCGGCTGAAAGGGTATAGAACTAAGAGATTGTCAGTTCAATGCCGTCTTGAAATATTGCCAGATAGAACGGACAGATAGTATAACGTTGCCTGCCATTTCTCGGCGCTCTTTGTTGACAGGTAAAACAAAAGTTCGACGCATGTGCTAGGGATTCGAGTCAGCTATATGGACCACCAATGGAGCGAATCAGACATACATTGTCCCTGCAGACTTAGTCAGCCGATGTGCTCGAAAATGCAAATGGTTACTCACCACTCAACCCGCGTAGTGACACATCTCATACTGTGCAGCCTGTCCAGCACCCTTTCACAGCTCAGCAGCACCTCCTGATAGAACCCGTATGCAAACGGCCCTTTCAATCGGGGCTCATTACGGGTGTGAGCAAGGAGATTGCGGAGGGAGCCGAGTTGAGATTGGAGGTGAAGCTCCATGCTCATGAATTGACGGACGCTCTTGCTGAGGTGGGTTCGGCAAATGGAAGAGGTGGGTAAGAGGGGTGTCGTCTCGCCGGATCTGCTGCTGCCTTCATTGTCACAGATACAGTCGTCAACAACCTCATCGTCGGTTGATCCTTTACTGTAAGTCGTCACAAGCTTTGAGTAGAGGTATGATAGATCCAAGCAGAAGCTACGAGGATGGTCAGTGCCGACCTGGCAAAGATGACAGATACTCACTCGCTGAGGCCCATTCGAAGTTCCCTTCTTGCGGTAAAAGGCCACCAATACCTCGATATAAGACCTGCCCATACAATCCCCACAGTGACACTCAACGTTCGCTCGACGGCGATGAGATCTACGGTAACGTCGGAATGATTTCGCGAGTTGTACGCAAAGAGGCAAGAGAGATTCTGCAGATAGTCAGCACATGTTGTCATCCGGAAGGAACGGAAGACGAACATAAGTCAAGAGCGTAAACCGGCCGGCGTCAAAGTAGTCGGGCATCTGGGTGATAACATAGTAGCAGACCAAGGAGAACAGAAAGCCAACTAAAGGCAAAATTATTGGGCTTTCTGAGAAGCTACACTGGTTGTCAGCATCGTATAGGCGTATAGGGCAGGGCTTACAGTCTTGAAAATATGACAGCAACGAGACCGCCGGTGACGGTTCCAAAGATTCTCGCTAAAGAACTGTAATGATCCAGTTAGTACACGAGTGGGACTTTGGTGCCGCACTTACATGTAGTTGGTCTGGCCGACCGTCTGGCTCATAGCTGACAAGAACGCCACCAAAGCCCACTCGCCCCTGTAATGTAGAAACAGTTCTCTTGTCGCAGGGAGATAAGCTGGTAAGGCCAGCAAAGCTGTAAGAGTAAATGAGCGCAAGCCCGCGCGCGACGAGCCACTCACCTCCTCCAAGTCCAGTCTTGATGGCGTATCTCATATCAGGCTGCTCCATCCTCTCTTCCCATTCACCCCAAGCTCGCATAAACTTTTCAAACTTTGTGCGCGGTGGCTGGATGCGCTCGGTGAGGCGACTGGTGGCATCTTTGCTGCTGACGGGGTGGAGGGGTGCTTGAAGCTTGGAAGGACCGACCGGGACGATGTTGGCTAAACATGATATGAGCAAAGGAAACAAAGGATTGGGTGAGACGTACTGAGTTGAGCGTACAAGAATTGACCCTCGGTTATTCCTCGCTTGCCTCTCAGGGTGTACGACTTGATCTGGTCCCATGCTGACACTTGTCGGGATGTGACGATCTGGGAGTGGAAGGTCTAAGTGACATGCTTGCTCTTGTATAATGTCAGAGCACTTACTTCTGCCATTGTATCCAAAAGAAATAGCATCTCACGAGCAAACTCCTCGAAAGTGAAGAGAAAGCTGTCGAAACGTCAGCAAAGCTCGAACGTCATCTGCAGCATACGTACAAGTAGATCAAAAAGACCGTCTCATTGGGTCCATTGCCCGAATCCTCTCCTTCATGCAGAGTAGCCTCTCCATGTTCGCTCCCGACAGAACCACCGTGGCTTCCATCCGCGCCTACATACACCTTTGTGATGGCTTCGCCAGCCGCTTCTTTGAAAGTTTGTAGAGCATCGGCGAGATTCGACCTGACGGAGACAAGGGTGTGAGTGTTAATGCTGTCTTTGCGGGATAGGCCTTGTACAGCGTCGAGAGCTTGGTCACAAGAGACCTTCAGAACGAGTTAGCTTGGGCAGAGTCATCAGGAATGGCAACGTACGTTCAAAGCATCCATCCTGGCACCTGCAAGCTCTCGAAACTCCACAAGCACCCTCAAGCTATCCTCTGCCACCTCGTCCTGACCAGACGTTTGAGCGGTCTCGCTATTGTCGTCGACAATGACGAGTCTGGGTCGACCGTCGACACCCTGCTCCCATCTGATTCTTCCTCCAGTAGTAGCCTTGATCAAACTTTCTTGAAGTCTCTCGCAGCTTCTCAATCCGCTCAGATGTTGCGCCAACCTCCCCAGACTTGCCACAGCCGCCTCGTACAAATGAAGCTTCTTCCCTCTGATCCTCCCATCGAATATCCTCTCCCTCTTGGCCTCGGCCAGATCATTCTTGAGCTGGCTGAAGGTTGCGGTATGGTCTCTGACGGCATCTTTGAGGTGGAGCCGAGCATCTTTGACGACAGTCTTTTCGAGCAGGAAAGTAGAGGTGAGGAGGTCGAGAAGGGTTTTGAATGAATCGAGAGACTTGGAGATGGAGGTCTGAAGGGTGGTAGTTGATGATACGGGAAAGACGGCAAGGTTGATGAAGTTGGTGATGATGACTGTGGGATGTCAGCTGCATAGCATATATGGACAAGACTTCGACTGACCTCCGAAGCAGATGATTTCCAGAATCTCGAACAGCTTCGGAATAGACCCCTCTCTCAGAACCACATTGTACAGCAAAATCGCGGCCATAGAGCATCCTAGCAGCACATTTAGCAGGGCCTTCTAATTCTGACAATCTGCTCACCTCCATTGAAATGCAGACTTCCAATCCAAACTTTTGCCCACGCAATGACACCCATCGTACCACCTATCCAGGCAAAACATACCGTCCAGCCCGCTATCTCCGTCACAGAATCCCATTCTTTGCCTTCTGTTGGCGAGAACCGGTCGAACACCTGGAAAGTTGCAATAGAAAGAAGGGAGGCAATTGTGGCGAGGGTCACGAGACCGAGACAGTATTGATTCGAGAGGAGCATATTGCCCAATGACTTGCCGGCGTTGAACTGGGAAGATATGCGTCAGCTCGAGTCTGAAAATCTGTGATGGGTAGCACTCACAAATACCACCATAGTTGCTACCATATGCCCCAGTTCTGCCGGCTGCCGTATGACCCGGCCATGCTCATCGACGATAGCTGCTGTCGATAAGATCGATGATAGAGCCGGCACAAATGTGAACAGTGAAGCCACAAAATATGCCAGAGAGCATTTGAGAACAACTGCTGATACGGGCGAGAGAGGCCATATAGCAGACCAATCTGCAGGGTTAAGTCAGAATTTGTCGTAGAGCCGGAAAGAGACACTCACATGACTTGAGTTTTCTGGGCCGTTTTGTCGAAGGCTCTTGTTGTTTCTTGTAGGTTGGGTAGAAGCTACTTGCCTGATCATCCGTATGACCTGACGTGAAGGGGTTCTGCGCCATTAAACAATTTCGAGCCGGGGCTGGAGCCTCATCCACATCTTCATCCACATCTTCATCCCCACCGCCCACAGCGTCCTCTAGAGGCTGCCAATTGCTCCAGCCCCCTACCAGTTCGGTTTTGTCATCGTGCACCCCCAGTGTACCCAGACCAGTGCGCCCCTCAGTACCGGGGCCACTGAAGACGCTGCTCCTTCGGTGGCGCGAGGTGGTAGAGGTCGAGCCGTATTGTGCGTTTCGCTGAGATATTGGAGAGCTCGGGTGTGATTCCATAGTCGTCGTTTCAGTTCAGCGATGTGGCCGGATCACTAGGCTGATTATATGGGGCTCGAGGTTGCGAATTATATAGGCTGAAACGATGAGAAGCCAAGAGGAAAACAAGTTTACATACTCGGAAACACGCCCGCAGGTATCTGCTCTCGGCCGATCTCGGCTAGTGCAGATCATGGAGATCAGTGCGTCTACCTTGCGTGCAGAAAGCGGTGTATTTGTAGAGGGCATTTATTTGTAGAGGAAAAAGAAATTCGTCCTGGTTGCGTGTTGAATTTGTAGAAACCGATCCCGAGATTACAAACAACAGCCGAGGGTCGATTCAGGGTCGTACCTGGAAGATAACGGCGATGTCCGACCAGCTGCAGGGATGAGAATACAGTGTATGGAGTGAGAATTTCGACTCGGCATTGCTCTCATACATCTCATGTTTATCACCGATTAGACTATGATCAATCGATGGTCAATCAGCCGAGAAACAAATCAAAGGCACATGGTCGCGGAGATGGGAGCGCCACGCGAGCCATGTCTTCCTTCAGGGAGCTCACTCACCACCACCACCGCACAGGTCGTCAGCGAAAGTCTTACCTTGAACTGCCTTGCTCACCTAAGAGAAATGAGGACTGTGGCCAGCTCATTGATCCGCATCAAGCAGCGCTACAAAATGCATCAATTCCTCGCTGTTTCTGTTCTATCAGCAACAACAATCCAGAATGACGCAAGCGCCCAAAGTGCTCCTCTTGTTGACGTCTTTCGTTCTACTCGCTACAAAGGCTCGAGCAGAGTCAGAGACGGATGACTCTTCCTGCGCACCTGGAGCAGCAGGCGTGTATGACCTACCCCTCCACATCGCAAGCATTTTCGTCCTTCTTGTCGCTTCGGGCCTGGGTGTCTTTTTGCCCGTGGTTTTGGGAGAGAAGGGAAGTAATGGTGGATGGTTTGGGGGCGTGTTTTTTGCCTTGAAGTATTTCGGGACTGGTATAATTGTCAGCTTGGGGTGAGTATCGGTTCTGTCGAGTACTTGCGAGTGATAGACTGACTTAATTATGGCAGATTCTGCCATCTCTTGCAAGATTCTTTTGAGACCTTCGCCAAGTACGTCGTATCTCTATCCTCGATGATATGACTAATGTTACGGGCAGTGAGTGTATAGGAGAGCTCGCGTACGAGCCGACAGCGCCTGCGATAGCGATGGGCTCAATGCTCGTCATTTGGTTGATCGATTTCTTCTGTTCACGATGGGTATGATCTCGGACTCGAGGTGAAGTCGTATCTGATACTCCTCTAGATTGAAAAGAAACACGAAGGCAATCCCAAAGACATATGCGAACTCGCAAAGCCACCTTCGCCGGACGGCGGCAAATCCCCTTTCATCGACTTGTGCTGCGATTCGGGCTGCAAACCAGTGGTACACTTCGACGGATCAAAAAAGAGGGCACACTGGGATGTTCAACTCCTTGAAGGAGGGATTGTATTTCATTCTGTCATGATGTGAGATCTAAATGGAAAGGAGGGAGACCTTTGCAAGTCCGAGACTGATTCGATTTCCGACAGTGGTGTCTCTCTGGGTGCACAGGCGAATGGCTTTGCTGCTACTTTCGCAGGTAGGTCCTACCCACTTTGAGTGTTACACTTCTGAGCCCTGCTAGCTCTCGTCTTCCATCAACTCTTCGAAGGACTGGGCCTCGGTGCTCGTATAGGGATGCTTGTGTGGCCAGCTACAGTCGCTTCAACATGGAAAAAGTACCTTATGTGTATGGTCTACACCCTTATTACCCCCATTGGCATTGCTATCGTAAGTTTCGTCTCTGTTCAATGATGATCCTCGCTGACTGTCGCCAGGGCATCGGTGTTCACCAGTCATTCAACGAGAATGGCCGTTCGGAACTGCTCGCTATTGGCACCTTGAACGCCATCTCGGCAGGCATCTTGCTGTATAGCGCACTTTGTCAGCTGCTCTACAAAGAGTGGGTCGTGGGGGACATGAGACAGGCTGAGAGCTGGAGGGTCGGGGTGGCCTTGGGAGCGATGATGTTGGGGGTGTTTGCTATGAGTCTGATAGGGAAGTGGACATGAGTCCAGCTCTAGAACACTCTTGATCGTGTTTGCACATACCTTGAGATAGCAGGGGCCATTTGTCGGGCATTGCCGAACCAAACAATTGCGGGATGCATTAAACTCATTAGAAATGATCTGATTCCGCTAATGACGGGATTGTAATGACGGGATTGTGCCACATTCTGGCGGGGTTTGGGGTTTGGCTGGCAGTCAGTCACCATACATCCATAGTCTGATAAATCACAACAAATCCAGTATTTTCGACGCCCCCGTCGCCCCCGCTCGTCCTCCCCTACGCTCCCCTTGGCAGCCAGTGCCCTACAGGCTCGACAGATCGCATCGCATAGAGGCCAATCACACCGACGCCCACCATCGAGCACGCGACCGCAGTAGTCAAGCCGACAGATCCGGACCGGCTTCATCAATAATCGCCTCGGGAAAGCCTCTTGTGAATAAGGAGATCGAAATTTGAGAGCTTTGAAAGGAGAATAAGATAACGGCAGGATGCTTTGGCGGTTTAATCTGGCGTCGACATCGACGCTGGACTCGCTCTTGACGCGGGAGGTCCCTCCGACGCTCGAAGAGCTTATGGATGAGCCCGATGTGTTGACAGAATGCAAAGGACAAAATAACAGGTTTGTGATAGCCATCCGAATACACGTTCAAAGCTTAATTAAATGATTGCAGACTTGTGACTTTTCTGTCACGCGAAGACTCGGCCAAGTCGCTCCTGCAATGGGTCGTCGCTGGCCTCGACGAGCTTGACCAAGCAGCCGCCGACGCCGACGATGAGATTATTGCCCAGGCTATCACCTCTCCCGATCTGTATCCTGCTTACAAGGCGCCGACACCACTCGTGATCCCCGGCGCAGGACCGGGCAGTCCGCCTTTAGAACCGGCCAAGCTTGGTGAAGTGAATGGTGATCAGGGAAGGAAGGAAGGTGAGGTGGAAGAGGAAGAGGACCTTGGGGAGCTCAACGTACCTGGGCTTGGACAGGGGCTGCGGCGGAAAAGCGAGGCGGACGACGATATATCTCGGTCAAAGTGCGTACATTGCGCAAACGAGCATACTGGAATACTGACCCCTCTCTAGATACCCTACGACAGCTACAGAGATTTTGACTTGTCAGGAAATATGGTCCATCGCCGACACCATCATTCGCAACGCCGATACCCTCCTCACCCCGTTTTGGGATGCTGTCGTTCCGCCTATAGATTCGTCCACGCCCACTACCAATGAAGATGGCTTTGCATCCATGAGTAGCTCTGCAATCCTTGCTCGACAAGAAGCGGGCGAACGAGATAGAGCGAGGAATGAATTTTGGTCAGAGAAGGATGAAGAGAGGGACCGTCGGAGAGAGATCATCAGAGGGTTGTGGATGCGCGTCAATGCTGCTCTATTGGTCAAAAGAGGGTCCGAGGTACGCCTTCCGTCTGCTGATCTACACGTAAGCTGACGCAAAGCAGATGGTCCGTTTCATCCAAACCCTTCCCAACATTGTTGAACGTCTACTTGCTCGCATTTCCTCGCCCGCCGTCCAATCACTCCTCATCACTCTGATATCTCGCGAAGAAGGCGACAGTGCGGTCACCATCGACTGGTTAGCAGATGAAAAACTCGTACCTCGTCTTCTCAACATCCTCTCCCCCGAATACCCCTCTTCCCAACACACCATCGTGTCCGATCTGATCAAACAGATTATCACCCTCTGTGCCCCTTCGCCATTCAACCCGCTCGGCGGAAACGCAGAGTTACAAGCTGGTCAGGGACAAGCTGGTGGAAGAGATAATCGGCTCATTAGGGAGCTTGTCAGTGAGGAGAGTGTGGACAAGATGATTGGTTACATGTTGGACGACATTGAATTGTCAGATGCTCAGTGGAAAGGCAGGAACGGCGAGGACACAGAAGCTGCAGCTTGTGACCCCTTTATCGTTCACCCATTACCCTCGATTGCATCAGCCACATCGTCCCTTGTCGAAATATCCTCCATCCTCATCGAAATCATTCGCCGCAACAACTCGGACTTTTCTGAACCTCATCTGTTCCACACGCTGAGAAACAGGTTGATCTCTGTGCGTATGCAGGAAGTTTCAGAGGAGCGGGAAAGCGAAGTGGTGGGTGAGGGAGAGAAGCCTGAAGCGACGGAGGATGAGCAGGAGGAAAAGGAGAGGAAGCATATGGAAGATGCCATGGTGGATATGAGCTCAAAGATGGGTATCGTTCACCTGGGACATCTGTTAGATGTCATCAGTGAGAGGTTTGCAAAGCTGCAGGCGCTTGTTCTGCAACCGAGGTCGCAAGTGAGTGATTCCTGGACGCTATCTGACCAGCGCTGATGTGATGTAGGAACGCGCAGCGTCTGTGTCAAATCCCAAGCCTTTCACAATGGAACGTTTCCGGATAATAGAGCTCTACGCCGAACTCCTTCACTCATCCAACATGTCCATTCTGAACCGTCTTCCCGGTACCGGCCCCATATACAATGGCGAAGGCATCCTCTCAGGCGGTCTTGAAGGTCTCGAAGCGCTTGGGGAGGCAATCGTAGAGAATGACAATGACGGTGCTGCTGACACTTCTAGAGGAGACGACGATCTGGTCACCCAAGCGAGGGAGCTGCCCGTCAGTGACTCGACTGGAGGAAGCTTGTCGGGAAGTGACGATGTTGAGAGCGAGGATGAGGATGTCTTGGAGGCGGCCAACGATGACACAACGCCTTCGCCTTCGCCTGGGTCCTCGAGTTTATTCGAAACACCTTTAACGTTTGATTCTCAGCCGCCGCCCCCAACCGTTGAGGTGTCAGAAAGGCTGAGGGATATGATGGAGACAGAATCGCAGAGACCGTCGTCATCGGCAGCGTCAGAAGTCGCTTCAGCAACTTCACGTATGGCAGAGGCCAGCTCTACGGCCGCCCCCTCAATCGCCTCCGACCCCCCCGAACCGCGCGACGAGACACCTCACGTTTCCACCAAGCCCCTTCCTGCCGACACCCCTCTCGCCCCAGGCGACAAGCTCAAGGAGCAGTACCTCATCAACCGTGTCATGCCTTCCATCGTCGACCTGTTCTTCGACTATCCCGAGAACGACTTCATGCACCATGTGGTGTATGACATCTTCCAGCAGGTGCTTAACGGAAAGCTCGGCCAGGGGCTGAATCGGGACTTGATTGTGCAGTTGATGGGCGAAGGGAGGCTGGTCGAGAGGGTGTTGGATGCACAAAGGCTCAACGATGAGCTGGTGAAGAAACCGAGGGGAGCGCGGTTACCCTATATGGGACACTTGATGTTGATCGCGGAGGAAATCGTCAAGTTCTTCGCCCGCTGCCCCTCGGATCTCTTCGCGCTCATCGAAGATACCTTTGTCCACACCGAATGGGAAGAGTTTGTCAATACATCTCTTCGGGAAGCCAAGGCGAAAGACGAAAAACCTTTGGCTGGCGGTAAACCGGAGCCTCCTCCTGGTCAGAACAAGGATGACTCGGCGAGCGAGGAGGATGACGATGATGAGCCGGAAGAGGGCTCCGGGGGCATGAGGTTTGGCGAGCCGTTAACGCGGACGCAGGCGAAAGACAACTTTACGCCAAGGGGCGAATTTGATGCCTACGCGGATCACGATGAGAACGGAGATGGAGAAGATGACGAGGAGACGATGGATCGGGTAAGTCCACTCGTCATGACACTAATGATGCACAGTCGCTGATGTATTGGTTCAGTATTGGAAGAACTCTGGTTTGGGTTTGGCGAGAAGAGGTGTGGCCGACTCTTCGGACGAGGATGATGACGATGATGCGGATTGGCTTCAACCTCCTGGGGGCAATTCATGGAGTGCTTCTGGTGACGACGACGATTTTGGTGTACGTATCAAGCCGTCCTGTCACGAACCAAACTGATATATGGGCATTAGGCTTGGGAAACGGGAGAAGTTGCCCACCCTGGTACCGGAGACGACTTTGATAACGACGCGTGGGGCAACTTTGCTTCAGGTCCGGCAGGTGACAGCGCCGAGAATCCCTTCGACTTTGGCGATGACAACTTTGCCCCATCGGTCATTCGCGCCGAGCCTCAACGGCATCAAGACGGGGACAGAGGCGAGCCCCTCACGCCTCTGGACTGGGCCGAGCAGTTCGACCGAGCGTTCAGAGAAGGTGGCGGAGACGATACCCCTCCAGGATCGTCGCCGAAGCAGACTGCCCAGGACCAGGGGAAATCCCCCGAGAAAGATGTGGCCAAGGAGGTTGTGCCAATCGTCATGCCGAGTCTGGATGACGATGAAGGTGACGATGATGTGTCCCTCGCGATGAGCAAGAGCATGGAAATGTCGGTCTCGGCCGGCACCAATTCGTGGACGTTTGCGGGTGATGACGCTGGTGTCGACTTGCCTCCTACGGATTCACCGATCATCCCCGACATTCCCAAGAGTCCCGTCTCTCCCGCTCGGCAACGATCTAGTTCCATAGCATCATCCTCCTCAGATTCGAGTACCGCCAGTACAGCCGCTACTGCGACACCTGGTGGTGGCTCAGCCCCGATCCCGATCCCAAAAAGGCGGGGTTCCAAATCCCATTCCCGCACCGCTTCTCTGTCCCGCTCGTTCGGCCATCGACCCCACCCTGGACATCCAGTCACGTCTCCATCATCTAGCCCATCATCATCCCACTCCTCTCTATCATCACCCACATCCCCCAGTCGTGTGCAACGATGGGGCGAGGCTTTCTCGCCTCCTGATCCTGCTCTCATAGCGGCTGCCACGCAGGACAGCCCGCTTGGTCCCGGTGTCAGCCCGGATACGAAGATTACGGAGGATGGATTATTAGAGAGAGAAGTGAATGGGAAACAGGTCAGGGTTCCGCAGGATGAGATTGTGGAGGCCATCGAGAGAAATGCGGATGAGCAAGAGACAGAGTCGTTGTAGAGAGGCTATGCCCAGTCATGGCGAGGAGAGCATCACGGAGACGAGCGTATCTATGATAGAGTAATGATATCACTGTATGCCTAGTTTGACTTTCTTCGCAGGCAGCATCCCAAGCGTCAAGATATTATACATGTTCGATAATGGCGGTTCGTGACTAACACTTTGTTACAGCTGGTCGTTACTGGTCAATTCTCTGTGTCGTTTG